TAAATAAATACGCAGAATATAAAAAAGCATACGTACCACGTCCTACGTCTTTTGGATATTGAAGTTAATTTTTGTAATTCTTCTAACACGGCAAATGAAAAACAACTTAATTACAATATCAGAAACGTCGAAAATAACGATCCAAACTCAGACAAACATCGCAAATAAGTATGAAACAAGCAACAACAACTAGTTGGAAGCAATTAATCATTTCGACACGAAATTCCAGACTGTTAAATTATCTAATAATTTAATAAAGTAATTAATGAACTTAAAAATACACATCGAATGATCGTATGGAAGTCTTTCACTTCTTCAGTGGAGATATATTATATAGATAGGACAATAAAAATAAATAAATAATACGAGCATTTCACATTTCCTTTCACAGCACCTTATTATTAGTACTCAAACTTTTACGAAAACATACCAAGCATTTTTTTTCCTTTTTAGAAAAAATCATACACAAAACCTTACAGAAAACTGTAACAATTTCAGGATTCAACTATTCAACCTTCATGGAAGTGGGTATTACATTACTTTCTCAATACTTCAGATACGCTAACCTAATCCAGAACCTAAGCCTAAACGTAGGCTTTGATCAGCTACTTTTTCGATTACAATTTCAACAATTCAGCCTCGACGATAGCTTAAAACCTAACTCAATATCCACCACCCATCCTTTAATATCTGTGAAATTGGTTTTAACGTAAATTGGAAGGGAGAATTCGGAGAGCATCGAAATTGATCACGTCAAATTCCATTTGTGACGTAAAGTGATTATATGAGATCATTTTTCGGCTATAATATATTTTTTAATAAAATTTATTTTATTATTATTAATGGAATTGGTAATTTTCATTATTTTAATAAGCAAATAACTATTATTTAAAAAAATATTGCCTTGCTAAATTAACGAATCTCGGCTGAATATAACTTTACTAGGAATTACGTCATTTGGGGCTAAAATAATGAAGCAGCATTAAATTTCACTATGCATCGTAATTGCTACTTGACACGAGTGTGTGTGAAAACCATTAGGTTGAATTAAAATTTTAAACCCTTAATAATTCACCAAAGCAGTGATTGAAAAACCATTTTTGGTTTCATTTTTATTTCATTCTTGAGAGTTTGGAAATGATACAGTCCAGTTTCAGAACAAATTCTTTGTCTAAACTTTTAAGTTTCAGTCGAACCAGTTAATATTTTGTACCTTGTTATTGGGATTACATTTTTCTAGCAACATTTTATTCTGTGCCATTTTTATTCTCGTATGCGGCTGAAAGTAAGTAAGACTTTTGTTAACGATTTCAAGAAAATGATTTTTCAATTCATTACGGCAGCCTAATGCCAACAATAGTTAATAGACTGACAAATTTAAGTATTCAAGCTTCGACTGGATAACAAAAGTAATGGTTTTGGACATGTCTTTAACAAACAACATATACTGTATATCTGTCATAAAACACTCTAACTCGGAACCATAGAAGTTTGAAGGGAGAAGCAGTCACAGTACATTGCCAATCCAGTTTTCGGGCTCATGTTGGGCGAAGGAATTATTGTTATGTTACGTATGAGCTCGGGTAATCTCATAATTCCATGTGAGCGATGAACTTTTCCTTCAAGATGTACTTATGTACAGACAGAGATATAACAAAATGAATGGTACCAACCTCTTCAAGTCTATTATAGGGTAAATCGCTTTTCTAACTTGAGATTGGAATGTATAAGTGCTTCGCGCTAGAAATTGGCAGGATTGTGGTACAGTAATTACATATAATCGATGTGGATTTTTATTTTATTTTATTGCTTAGTTGGGTGGACGAGCTCACAGCCCACCTAGTGTTAAGTGGTTACTGGAGCCCATAAACATCTACAACGTAAATGCACCACCCACTTAGAGATATAAGTTCTAAGATCTCAGTATAGTTACAATGGCTGCCCCGCCCTTCAAACCGAAACGCATGACTGCTTCACGGCAGAAATAGGCGGGGTGATGGTACCTACCCGTGCGGACTCACAAAAGGTCCTACCACCAGTAAAAATTTCTATTACACTACGTTATTCCTTTAGCGTGGAAGTCATTTATGAATGCATGTTAAGTGCACATTTCCGAAAAATTCATATCTGACCATGACTGTCATTTGAATGCTGGCACAGTCAGTTCAAGCAAATGCAAGTGAAGCGGACGTCTCATTATTTAGAGCAAACGGCTTCAAATTATAATAATATGTGATATACAAAATCTGTATGATTAATTGATTCTTACTGGTGGTAGGACCTCCCTCTTGTGAGTCCGCACGGGTAGGTACCACCGCCCCGCCTATTTCTGCCGTGAAGCAGTAATGCGTTTCGGTTTGAAGGGTGGGGCAGCCGTTGTGACTATACTGAGACCTTAGAACTATATCTCAAGGTGTGTGGCGCATTTACGTTGTAGATGTCTATGGGCTTCAGTAACCACTTAACACCAGGTGGGCTGTGAGCTCATCCACACATCTAAGCAATAATAAAAAAAAAAAAAAAAAAAAAAATTAGTAACGTCGAGTCACCCTTACGTATCGCCATAGATGAAGACCCCAATTGCTCCCGAAATGTAGCAGCCTTTCAATCAAACTTTGTGAAATTCAGTACGTAAATAGTTTCTACGGATATCTAATACTTTTTGTCTAACCTCCCTAGAGTACATTGAGACGTAGCGGAAAATTACAATTTTACCCCCCAGCACTACTGTTTGTTGCTTATTTCTTTTAAGCATTTTTCGTTCCGGTCCGAAAAATAGGATACCCATTATCTGTATATAATGGAGATTTTGGCCTTAACACGATGTGGCATCTTCAGTCAGATGCCTATACGTATGATGGTCATAAAAAATGTATATACGAGTTTATGAAGGATTTCTAAACTAGAATGCTACGCGTTAATAATAGGTAAGAAGCTAACTAATAGTCATGCGAACTTAAATCCAATAAATAAATAACTTATTTAGTATAAAAAAGTGATTTGTTTTTTCAAGCTCTTTTTGGGATGGAAAGATAGCTGGTGGTCCGAAGACCCTAGCGCCTCCGAATGAGATCTGATAGTTCAAGAGCAGCAGCCTCGCGAATGTATCTCCACTGAATCGGAATCTCGACCCGATGAAAAGTTCTAGCTAGCAACTCAGCGGGCTGATGCAGTAAACTAGATTTCACGTCAAACTCATCGACGAGTTCGACGAGTACGGTTTCCAGGGTCCCTAGGCCTGCTCCTAATGTTAGAGGTACAGGGGTCTGATAAAACTGGCTTGTAAATCTGTGTTTAAACCCGTGTACCGATTTAAGGGGTCAAATCTGCCAAGACCTGAATACTGTTTATGGTATTGTCAAAATGAGCATACATATTGTAGATTAATCTACATGGCATTTTGTTCTGAGTCTATTTTCCTATGAAATACTTTTTACATCTTGACACTTTATCAATAAATCCTCTCGGATTCTTGCCAAGTTTTGCCAGTTAAAACTGCCAAGCTAATGGCCTGTATCCTAGGAAACAGAACGGTGACCAATTAAAATAAAATTGTACGTTTTTTTCTGTGAATCTATTTTTTTATTTTAGCGTGATGTTTGTAACGATAAGTGTTTACTCAACTTCAAATACTTACTATTTATGATCGCTTTTTCGTTTGAAACAAAGGCAAGCGTATTGTCTACTAGTGTGTACACCGTGAATATTTTTCAACTTGTAGGCAACCGATTCCAGAGACATGGCTAAGTTATCGTCTACTGCTGAGGATTCCTTTCGAAACTAGTTTGAATAAGGACATGTCGCAGTACTCAGGAAACTATTGGACGAAAAGAAAGGAGAGAAATATGCTCAAAAGTCTAACATTTTGTGACAGAAATTAACTTTACAATTGCACTATATTTCAGGGCTTTAGAGTCTATAGATAATAATTCCTATAGAGCTAAGCTTATAGATCCAGCTAAGAATGAAAACTGCTCTGGTTGTGAGTGCTGTGATGTAAAAAAGAGATAAGTAAGCAGTCATTGGAAGCAACCACTGATATCAAAAAAATACTTTGCAGCATTACAAATAGCTTTGACCTTATATAACACGATGGGATAAGACCATTGAAAATAACATTTTGTCTCATAGCCGTATTAGAGTCATTGTCACTCTACAAAACTTTCTTGATAGTAAGATATTTGAATATAAACTGCATCCGAGATCAAATGGTCTGCACGAACAGTGAACAAATGTTCTTCTAGCTCGGTCTTTTATAAATCCTAAAATTTAATTTTGATTCAAAATGTAAAGGATATTTTTATTAGATTAGTTATATAATCCCAGAGTCCTTCTAATATTAAGCGTCTTTGGAACTCATAGACAAATCAACCTCACGTCCGCGATGACACAGGAGTCCTTAGTGGATCCAAAAAAGAGATGTTTAAAAACAAATTACGATTGAAGCTTTTTTAAAACAGCTTGGGAAGATAACAGTAAACAAACGTAACTAAGTTCTCTCTTTTAAGCTTTTTTTTTAATATTGTTATTAAAAATGTATACTCGTCATACTGTTGTGATTATTTGCAGAGTAAATACATACTCATAGCATTAACATAAAACATGTAATTGTTCATACTGAATAGACAGGGATTGTATTGCTGCCTGAGCAGTGTAATTCTTGTTCACAGGTCACAATTTCTATCCATACAGCCTTTATAACGTAAAATCTAAATTAAAGCATACCACTTAGTGCTTAATCACTGCCATAACCTAACTGAGATCTCTTCCCCTCAAATCGCTCCAAAAAAAGGTTACAACCAATACCAGTTTACTAAATTCTTTTTCGATATACTTATAAAACTTTGAACAGACTGTCAGTAAAGCTTGACAAGAAAATTCAATGAAACAAAACTTGTGTCATTAACGAAGAAATATTAAAAATGTGAAAATCAAAACCATTCAATAAACAAACAAAAGTTTTACACAGCATTTCATAGTTGAAACTGGTAATAAATAACATGGAAAATCGAAGTTTTGGTGAGTAATAAAAATATTCCGATCCATTACCGGAATCTCGGAGACGTTAGAACATTGAACTTGGCTGTAATATGGCTGGAATATAATGGTGCTGTTTTGTCTTTTATGTCTCGAAATCAGAATCAGAAGGCCGTATCTCTGAGCAAAACCAGTCGAAAATCTTCTTTGTTTTCCGACAACGGAAGTTCATAATCGTGTACCAAAATGATGTAACTTCAGACTTAACGATGTGATAAAAAAAAGTTGGACTTCAGCCATCATTTTGTCTTTACTAGCTGAAGAAAACAAAACTGCTTTTAATTTTTCTCGACATGCGAACTTTGAAGTATTGAAAAGAGAGAATGGACATAATTGGCAATAATAACTAATTTGCTCAAAAAAAGCATTTATACAGTAATTAATACAAGCTTGAACAATCTTCATGAAATATTTTATCTTCAATAGCACAAAATACCTATGATTCCTGACTCTAATAAAAACTTTTTTTGTTTGGAAGTATAATGCTACAATGTTAATTTGCTATTTTATTATTTCTACAGAGAATTTCAGTAGGCAGTATTAAAAGTAAAGGATGCTTATGTTTTGCTTAAGCTATTTATAGCTTATTGCCCATTTCACAAAACATAAGCTTATGTATATTTAATTGTATCTTGATTTCACTTTCTTAAAAGTCTGGCATTTTGAAATTTAATTTTCTAAAATAAGTCTTGAGTTTGCTACTTTAGTAGAACTTAACAAAACTAAGTCTATCCAAATAGATGTTGAAGATATTCTCGATCTAACTGATACCGAAGATACGTCTTCGTCTTCTTCAAATATTGGGGTATACGACAACCGAACACCTCTTGTGATGGATATTCATGAGGTTAAGAAAGACGATCCTATTGCGGAAAATAGTTCACCTGAAACAAAGGTATGCAAATAACTTCGTATTTTTAAAATCAGCTTAGTCATTTCACAAGACGTATCTAACCTTAGTATAGAGCTTGCCAGAAATTTCTATGGTTAGTATTTATCATCATTATTGCCATTCCAATAGTCAAGAGAGTAAAGTAAAGAGAAAATCCTTTTGCCTCAATGACTGTGAATTTTATGCATACCCTAGGTCCAAAAAGGTGAAATTTTGTGATAATTTTCGAATGAAGAAATAACTTTTAAAAAGCTACCTCGACTTAAATTACATCTCATGTATCCGCGGTCTTGTATAGATTAAGAAGCTGAAAAAGAAGAAGAAAGTTAAGCAAGTCACCGATAAAATGGAGCCGAGTATTTCTTCGGAGAGCGCAGCAGAAGTCAATTCTCTCGTTGCAGCAGTTGAGGAAGGCGCTAAAGAGGAGTTTTTCGATGCACACGAGAGTTACCATGTTATTCCAGGTTGTAATTTTTATTTATTTACTGTTTCTCAAATTTACACTCATTATTTTAAAACATTAAATGTATTATCATTATGTTTCCGGGTTTCGATTTGGATAAAGGCGTACAAATTGATTTAGCTATAGATTTGGATTTCATTACATTTATAATTCGAGCTACTATTAAAAATTCACATTGATATTGATTTTAATTAATTCTTTTAAATTGTACTCGATTTATTTTAGATAATCAAATCGAAAATTCAGAAGCTCAAGTAATTCTGGCTTTAGCTGCTTCTGAGCATGAGCAAGGACCAAAAACAACTACACAACAGACCTCAAGTACCCAACCACCTTCCGCAAACCTTACCGAATCGGATAAAAAGCCTTCGATTATTTCAGTTAGTATAACTATAGTTAACAGTCACATTAACACTATTCTTGAGTACAGACTAACAAAACATGTTATTTACGGTTAAATCTGGCGTTTTTTATTGTCCTTATATTATTTTACTGGTGGTAGGACCTCTTGTGAGTCCGCGCGGGTAGGTACCACCACCCTGCTTGTTTCTGCCGTGAAGTAGTAATGAGTTTCGGCTTAAAGGGTGGGGCAGCCGTTATAACTATACTTGAGACTTTAGAACTTATATCTCAAGGTGGGTGGCGCATTTACGTTGTAGATGTCTATGGGCTCCAGTAATCACTTAAAATCAGGTGGGCTGTGAGCTCGTCCAGCCATCTAAGCAATAAAAAAATAGAAAATTCTGAAGTCACGAAGGACTGGTCTTTTTTCACCTACCTGTTTTAGTAACTTCGAGGGCTCATACTAGATTCACCGAACGTCTAAGTTAAGCTCTCAGGGCTCTAACTTGGAGCTGTTGCTAACACTAGCCCTAGCAAAGCAGTGTTTCGCAGAATCTTTCACCGGATCGTAAGCGCGACCCACTGAGAAAATCCGGCGAGAAACTCAGTGGGCTGTGTCTGAGGGTTAGGTCTTATCGTGAGTCGTGCGTGACTATGAAAACTATAAAACAGTCGAAACGTCGCGAATAATAAAATGACGATAATAAACGAGGTTTTAAACCGTAAAAGTAGTTTTAATTATCTACATATATCTACGATTAGCGAAATCCGAACAAACTACTATAATATTAATATTGTATTAATATTGTAAACTAACGACCCGCCCTCGTTTCGCTTCGGAAACTGTTATTTATCCACTATTTAATAGATGTTATATTATACATATAAACCTTCCTCTTCAATCACTCTATCTATTAAAAAAACCGCATCAAAATCCGTTGCGTAGTTTTAAAGATTTAAGCATACATAACGATATAGGGACAGAGAAAGCGACTTTGTTTTATACTATTTAGTGATCCGCTGTTAGTATTCTACTATTTAGCGTTTATTAACGTCTCTGGGATTTGTCAACGCAATCGAGTTACCGCCGAAAAGTAAGTTTTCGTTTCGTGAGAAGACCCAATCGATTGATTCACTGAGCCATGCCATTATTTCCATAAATAGGTACCAACGTGCAAAGTCGCAGGTTAAATTTGCTATGAAATCAAAGCACGGCCGGCGGTCGTGATCACGCCTACGCCTTTTTTGCAGGATCGATATTTTAAAACGTATCTCTTTAAATAACTTATTTTGAATTTCATTAGTGTTTGAAATTTTTTTTTTAATATTTATCTATTATAAAAAAAAATACAGATGTTTTTGTTGTTTTCCTCGTAGGTTGACCGTCGGTAATGGACGGCTCAGACAAACCATTATTTACAAGTCACCAAGGATTTTATTTCTTTAATTATTTAGTAAAGATTGATTTTAGAGCACCATAATTGCGATATCATAAACAGCTGAGCGGTTCCTAAAAAGAAATAATGCAAACAACATCCCTATATTGATACTTTAATTTTTTTTATTAAAATAACATCGTCAAAGTTTTATTTATTTATTTTTGAGACGTATAAATAAATTATAAGCATGTTGTTTTGTTTCTAAAGTCATTCTCGTTCGCATTGCTTAGATTACACACTGATAGAGTATAAAGTGGTTAATAATGTGATAATGGTGGTAATGTCGTACTATAGTGAAGAGTGAATTTCAAGAATAAAATCAAATAGAGTTTCGAAGAGACAGAGTCCTCAATAGCGCGCGGTCACGATATGTAGAACTGTAGGTCAAATTTTAATTTAATAATCATGACAACTGGTGAGAAACTCACCTAACGTTTAAGTACAAAATAACATACCTACACTTGTTTTTCACAGAAACCAGTAACACGTCACGATTGAAGAAAAATGCCCCACAGGTATGTATGTAAAGATTGATATATAGTTGCACAATATCATTGAATATGATTTATTAGTATTTACTTTCTTATGTATTTCGAAGTTGGGGAACAATAATCCAGATTTTTTACCATCACCATTTGTTTTTTTTTTAAATGATTCGATTTTTAGTTAAACTATTTTCAATGACCATTCGTAATTTGCAAAAGTAAATAATCGATTTCAGATAAGTAAATTGTTTTTTTATTAAATCAAGGGGTGAGTGAGCTCATTGTCTCGCCTGGTGTTAAGCGGTTACCGGAGCCCGTGAATATTGACAAAGTTAATGCTTCTACCCTTTTGGAAGCTTGTGGTCTAAGATTCATTAATATTTTATTTATTTATTTTTATTTATTACACTTCATGTAAAATTTACATTGGCGGACTGAATGCCTAAGGCATTATCTACTTGTCAACTAAAGGTAGTGCAGAGTAAATGGTAGTAGGTGCAATGAAATTTATATTAAATTACAAATACATACAGAAACAAATATATGTATTAGAAAGATTATATTAATAAATTCATGACGATATTATTATTATTTTATAATATATTACTTATAAATAATAAAATAATGATATTTTAATATTATTTTTATGAATAAAGGATTACTGGTGGCCCGGATTTCTCTCAGGTTCACCAGAACAGGCCATTAATATTATTTATAGACACAATATTATACATTCTATTCTATCAGCTCACAGACTCCCATTACTGGACATGGGTCTCCCCCAAACCTCACCACAACGATCGGTCCTGCGTTGCTTGCATTCAGCGGATTCCTAATGATAATATATAAAGACTGTCGTATATTAGAGGAAGACTGAAAGTGGCACCTGTGACAGAGAAGTTGAGATTTACGCGTTTGGGATGGTATCGACATGTATGTGATGAGACGAAATGAAAATGAGGTTGGTAAGAGAGTGTTAACTATGAATATGGAAGGATATAGAGGGAGAGGTAGACCTAAGAAGAAATTGACGGATTGCGTGAAAGACGATATGGGTAAGAGGGGAGTGAGCGAAGAAACAGTATATGATAGAGGAGTATGGAAGGAGAAAACATGTTGCGCCGACCCCAGGTGGCTGGGAGAAGGGCAAGAGAATGAATAAAGACTGTGTTCGCGCGATAAACCTTAAATCTCAATAAAATAATTTTATATAACAGACTGTCGTACCTAATCGTACAGCATCGTATACTGTATAATCAAATTTCGTGTAGATCTGATCAGACGGACGCTTTGGGCTGCGACCTCACGATCTTTTTTCTTCCACTTTGTCAGTGACCATCATTCTTAAATATCAGCAGATTGTATCAAAGTGTATAAATTTTCTTTGCTACAAATGTGTTTTGTAATAATTACCTTAAAAGGAATGCAGCCGATCGCCCGCTTCGAACTAGTTTAAAGTAGATAAATACGTTTTTTTTTGTTTCAGAAATGCACAGGATATCGGAAAGTGAAATTAAATAAAGATATTTGATATGACCAGTAATTGTTTTATTGAGCTTTAAGATTGAAAACTGGGTTTTTGTTGTATTTATTTTGGTATTAACTAGCATTCACAACATAGATCTGCAACCTGGAGAGCATCACACCTTAATAGTATCTATTCTGTAGTACCTAACGGTAGGCCGCTGCATACCTAACGGTAGGCAGCGGCTTGGCTCTGCCCCTGGCATTGCTGAAGTCCATGGGCGACGGTAACCAATCACCATCAGGTGGGCCGTATGCTCGTCTGCCTACAAGGGCAATTTAAAAAAAAAACTATATAAAGCGGCGGTAGTTTTTTAATAATTAAATAGGTAGTGGCAGTAGGATGTCTTGTAAGTCCGCACCGGTAGGTACCACTACCCTGCCTATTTCTGCCGTGAAGCAGTAATGCGTGTGGAACAGCCATTGTACTGTAAAAACAGAACTAGAGTTTCAAGATTGATGGCGGCATTTACGTTGTTAATATCTATGGGCTCCGGTAACCACTTAACCCCAGGAGTACCGTGAGCTTATCCACTCATCTCGGCAATGAATAAACAAACGTCGAACTACTATGAATGTTGTTGCGCTTGCGCTGTCATGTAGTCTCATAGATGATAATTCATAATAATGCAGAGTAAAGTAGGAGTTTTTTATATTTTCACATAATAAAATTTCTTTATTTTCATTTTTAATAATAGCGATTACACAAGCTTTTTAGCATCAATTTCCACAGGTGCGCCAACCACTCCTCTTCCATAGATAATATTTTATGAACAAACCACATAAAGCCTTTACGTTTGATAACTTCACTGACATTAGTGACAGATTTGACGGATGTCAATATTACATAGCAACCGAATGTCATTTTTGATGTGATAAAGTTAAAATTTGTAGTTTGATGCTTTTAATTTTTATATGGTTAGTGTAAGACAATTTGATGAAAAGTTTATTTGGAAGCCCCTGCACAGGGGGCTTTCTTTTCCACATTTGAGTAAGTTTTCAATTGAAACTAATGAAGGGTAAATTTAATGAAAATATTGTTAACAAGTTTGGTTATTAAATATTCGAATTATTGAATGAAGTACCCGAAAGCTTTCGTTTTTCAGAAGTTTACTTAATTTTTTCTTAATTTTTGATACATCCTATATATTAGAAGAGGGTATAGAGGTTTTTTTTTTTTGCATATCACAGATATCCGCTTCTTAACAATACGATTATTACTGTAATACTAAACATATTTATTTACAGTAATGGAAAAACATTCCCGTGGCAAAGGAAAAAACAAAAAAGCGGCACCGAAAGCGAAAACACCGAAGAAACGAACAAGCGAAGGTGTGCCTTATCTCACAGAGTTAGAGTTGTCTTTTGCGTATTAAAAAAAAAGTGATTAGCTTTTAAGAATCTATCGTTAATTTTCAAAGCGTCTTGCAAATTACCGTACTAATAATCAACATCTGTGAATTAATTTTTGGATAAAATATTTTCACTTCATTGCTTCTACATTCTTGCTGAATTAACATTCTTACGAATTAATTAATTTGTTTTCAATGTTCTTCGAAGCGATTTTTTGCATGGCTTTTTGTTGTTGATTTAAGAAGAATTTCGTGTACCTAGCAGTCGTTTTAGCATTTTCTAAGATGAGATTGGTAGTCTTATTTATCCTTACCCATATCTATCTATCCAGATATCGTATAATCTTATTAATCGTCGCTTATTATTAATATAACGTTAACGATATAATTAGTGTTGATTAACGAAATCTGTTCGCTCAGGAGTATTGACTAATAAAACAATTATACGTTCTATTTTGAGGCCCAACCTGTTCCTTATTCTTGGCTGAACTAACTAGAAAGCTGGCGTCCAAAAAGAAAGAAGAGGAGGAAAAGCCTAAGAACATCATCCGTAAGTCATCCTCAAGAACAGCATTAGCATTGGATATCAATTAGATTTTATGGCCACGATCATAAGATGACAGAATCTTGCATCAAAACAAGGCGTAGTTTAGACTAATCATAGTTTTTATTTCAAAATATCCATAATTTCTACAAGTTAATGGTAAGTAGCTAAGACTGCAATGAGAGGCCTAATATAGTACCATCGCATTGAGAGTCCGCACGAGTGTGTGTCAACACAATTTCTGACACGAGTCAATCATGCGTTCCGGCTGTTACAGCTACTATACTATACAACTAAGATCACACCTACACACTCATGTGCCATTATCATCATTATCAGCCTGTATCTCTCCGCTACTGGATGTGGGGCCTCTCCCATAGTCCGCCATGGACCGCCCATGGTCCGTCACTCATGTCCCACATTAAAAAAATATACGAGACATTCCAACAAACCTAAAACGGGAGACAGCATTCAGATCGTGATGTTCATGAGCTATAATAACCATTCCATCACCACGGCATAATCTTTTTTTTTTATTGCCCTTGTAGGCAGACGAGCGCACGGCCCACCTGATGGTGAGTGGTTACCGTCGCCCATGGACTTGAGCAATGCCAGGGGCAGAGCCAAGCCGCTGCCTACCGAAATCTCGTTCGGTCATATGTAGAAACTATTATCATTAACGTCTTAACGTTAACGTTTTTCACAGAAACAATAATAGAAAGTATCACAAACGCATTACCCATAAAACTATCAAGAAGGACGACTCCGCCCAAAAAGGAATCGCCTATGAAAATTGAAACATTACAAAAATTTGCTCCTGAATTGGTACCAAAGAATACTGTTGAAATAGTTTCGATACCAAATCAAGTTTTAGAAATTATAGAAGCAGAGAAAGCAGTGGATAATGTTATTTCTATGACAGAAGTTTCAGTAACAGAAACGATCGCGAAGAACTCTTCCTTCAAAATTCCTAAAATGCCATTGGTTAACAGTGAAGTTCTTAAAAACGCGATTGAGAAAAGAAAGAAGTCTTTAATGAAGGACGCGTCTATGAATACAAACACGGATCACGATATTGCCGCTGAGTTGACTAAGCACGTTGGAACCCTGCGAAAGATATCTCTGATAGCTGAAGAGTTTAATAAAAAAACTGGTTTGTATGCTTTTGTTCTAGTCTAGCTACTTCTTTAGAGATTTTGATAAGAGATAAAGAAAGCAACTTCTACTCAACTTAAAAAGTCGTGTACATAATATCACAAATACAGTAATATCATTATTACTAAAAGTTGATGGATTTTTGCAATTGAAATCAGTGATTATTTTTTCTGTGAAATTTTTTATATTCCAATTTATTACCTTATACGTAAAACTAGAGGGACTTAATTCATTGAATCTATGGATTTCGGTGTCCATATGAACATTTTTTTACTTATTACCATGTAGAAGAGTGATTTGAAGAAAACAAATTTTCGACATTGAATGCCGCACTAGAATTATGTTTTTTGAGACGGGTATCAGCAACATGCGTATGTCACTGAACATCCAGATGCTCTGCTATTGTATCAGGTCCAAAGGCCGCGATCGATACTTTCATTATGATAAATTTTCTATGGAGATGATATCGAGGGTTGAAAGGTTATTTGCTTGAAGTGACGTTTATTCGACATTCAAATAGCTGAAGAAGTTTTTTTGTTACGATATTTTTTTCAATTATACATTAATTTTAAATGGCTTCTATGGCTGATGGTAAAGTTGCAAAAATGTCGCTTAATTTTTTTTTATGACTGAAAGATTACTGGTGGCCCAGAGGCCTTTCCAGTTTCACTAGAACAGGTGGGCGAGCAAAGGCTCAGCCGGGAGGGGTGAGATTTGCTAACAACTGCCCGAGCGCCTCCGAAGGAGACCTAACAACTCAAGAGCAATTTCTTCGCGAATGAATCTACTACCGGATCGGAATCGCGAACCGCTGAGAAGATCCGGTGAGAAACTCAACGGGCTGATGCATAGGTTAAGTTGCACGTTGACCTTTTTGTCGAGTTCGACGAGTACGGTTACCGGGATCCCTAAGCCTGCTCCTAGTGTTAGAGCTGAAGGCGTCCGTCGCTCAAATCAAATGGCCCCTCAATTACCCCTCGATATTATCTACCATTCCACATTTTATTACAGTAATACCCTAATGTTACACAGAATGAACGTCTATGATTTTTTTTAGTCTTATCTCTCTCTACAATAATTTGTATGAATCACAACAAAAGTTGTAAAATTAAATAAAATAATTTTCAGCGAAAAACTTGAAAGAAATCGTTGATAGCGTCCAAGAAGAATTAATACAGAAATTAGAAGAAATCAAAGCAAAACAAAAACCAGGAGCAGTACACATAGAAACTGTGAGGGAATAAAAAGAAAAATATCAACTTCAAGAAAGAAAAATAAAAAAATTAAATCTGACAAATTCAAATAGTGACAGAAGAGCTTTGTCAAAATGAAATGATGTTAAAATTTTTAGTAATAAACACACAATATTTTTGATTTGTTAAAAAATGTATTTATTTAGTTGTTAATTTTAAATGAACCAGATTAATTAGTATGTTATGAGTTATGGCCGAAGTTTTAGATAGATTGAAAACCTCAAAAGATGATCAACGCTTTCCGAGGCAAAAACCAAACGCACTTTATGATAGGCTTACGAAAAATCGTAAGTAAAATTTTATGATGATGCTAAAAATTAGCTTAGCAGAAGATATTCTCCTGTTTAAATGGAGTTAATAGCATGATAGTGGATATTGTATCAAAATGATAGTCACAAACAAGCAACGACTTACCCGTTCCTGTGGTTTTGATGATGTCCATGAGTATTGATGACCACTTAGCATCTAGTACGCTGTACGTTCATCAGCCTTGGTAGGCATGAGATGGAGTTAAGAGTTTTTCCGAAGTTATTGTGGTATATATATTATGGTAAGTGGCGGAATTTACTTGGTATGGTCTATGGACTTCGGTAACCACTAAGTAACAGTTAGATCGTGAACAAGTTCACTCACCTTTGTTATGAAATAACTGATTCCCAATTTGGACGAATCGTAGCCATTCTCGAAATATGTATATAGAAATATCCACAACGATCACCTCAATGATTTTTCGAGAAACTCCATCGTCATGGCCATTCTCCATCCTCGGTATTTTACTATTGTTAGAATAAAGTTTACATGAAAGGAAACTCGTGAAAATTCACCGGAGATTTTTCGCACGATTAATAAATAGCCTCAGCGGAGTGTGGTCTGGTTGTATTATAATAGTGTAGAGCGGCTAGTATCTTTTTTTCGTTTTTATGACTTTAATATTTAGTTATACTATTGAATTTTTTTAGTAGCATGGTTGAAAAAGGAGATTATATCATAAAATGTCTTTAAATAGTACGTGCTGGCCAGTGTCCCAGCTCAATTAAGGCTCTATTTATTAGTGTATATAGGTTTGTGTCAAAAGCCCAAAGAAGGGCTTTAGAGTATTTTTTTTAGTGCATAGATGGGTGGACGACCTCACAGCCCACCTGGTGTTAAGTGGTTACTGGAGCCCATAGACATCTACGACGTAAATGCGCCACCCACCTTGAGATATACGTTCTAAGGTCTCAGTACAGTTGCGACGGCTGCCCCACCCTTCAAACCGAAACGCATTACTGTTTCACGGCAGAAATAGGCAGGGTGGTGATACCTACCCGTCACAAGAGGTCCTACCAAATTTTGCGGGTTTGATTTTTATTACACGATGTTATTCCTTTATCGTGAAAGTCAATCGTGAACAATTATTAAGGAGGTACGCATTTCATTAGAAAAATTGATATCCATCCAATGCATCGCTCAACACGAAGGCATCGGACGTCTTAACTTCTTGGCCACAACGACTTCAAATATTTGTATACTAACAAATTCAGGACAATTCGGCTACTTTCGGTTTTTTTTAGTCAATAAATCGAGCCCCCAACCAACATTTGCAACAAGCAAGCTACCGAAGATCGTGAAACCACCTGCGTCGTATGCCTCCGATAAAAACATAACAAGAACAAAAGTAAAAGTAGATGCAGGTAAGTTAGCTGTTTGATAGTCTATCGAATTATTGCCTGAATCAATTTAATTGTCATCCGTAAATTTTTACTGGTGGTAGGACCTCTTGTGAGTCCGCACCGGTAGGTACCACCGCCCTGCCTATTTCTGCCGTGAAGCAGTAATGCGCTTCGGCTTGAAGGGTGGGGCAGCCGTTGTAACTATACTGAGATCTTAGAACTTATATCTCAAGGTGGGTGGCGCATTTACGTTGTAGATGTCCATGGGCTCCAGTAACCACTTAACACCAGGTGAGCTGTGAGCTCGTCCACCTATCTAAGCTATAAAAAAAAAACCTTTTGATTCATAGAATAGTATATGAGGGGAATTGGCTGGGTCTAGAAAAGCCTATCCACCGACAGTATATAGATTTCAGAACTCTTCGGTGTACCTTGTATTGTATTTATGTTTTCATATTACAAGGACGCTCATTTTTAGGAGACAATTTTGCTGGGACCAGTAAGCGCACGGGCTCACAGAAATCCAACAAAAATGACAAACGTATGTATGCCTAAAATTTATATTAATGTATTATGCATATTGATGTGCAATAGAATCTTAAATCTTAAAGAACACCTTGTCATTCCTGCCAATGTTTTGGATTTCATTTGAGAATCGCCACCGTCGTCTCAAGATCGAAATATTATTACTAAGCACGAGTTCGGTACATCGCCCTCCTCTTAAGCCGGCTGCCTCGCTTTTTAAATCAGCACTCATAATTGCTTCGCGGCAAAAAATACGTACATTTTAACATTTAGCGGATTTGATTTTTACTAAACGATGCTATTACTTCACTGTGTTTTGACAAAAAATCTCTGGTAGATTTGAACATCAGTGTAATAGGATCGTTTGATAGGAGTGCACTAGGCTTCTTATGATTTAAGGCCACGACGACTTCAAACTAAATTTCCTTAAATTATACTTTCATAAGTCGAAAAATCAAAACCAAGTCATATACCGCGACGACTACAAGAAGCAACGGCTAAAAGGAATTCAATAAACACAGAAGACATCCCTAGTTTTGAGCAAACCGAAGAGAAAACACTCGCTGAAATTAAAAACATTCAAAGGGTTCAACTTTTGATCAATACAGGTAGGTTTAAACTTTATTTCATTGTAAACTCCTGTCTGACCTTTAAACATATTGTTTCCTATTATTATTTTTCTACGTTAAAAAGTTCTCAAAAACATATACTACCTATGTTCTTGCTTTTACGTAATTGCTGTCGAAGACAAATGTGCTTAGGTTCTGCGGGATTACTTTTACTCAGGAACTTCATCTAAGATCAGAGTAACGTCGATGCTATACCAACTATTTTCTGGCCTTGTTTGATTAAACATATGTCCTAGTACTTCAGCCACAATTTCAAACAAAGTACAAGCATAACAGGTTCCTACAGGAAATTATGGCAATACAAAAGTTGTAAGAGTAAATTAGTAAGAAAGGCATAACTCTATTGAGACAATATTGGAAAGTTCGGGAGGGGTTGCATCACCTATAAACTGCTAATTCCTATCGCAGCCATGACGAAAGCATGCCGCAGACTCCTAAGGAATTTGAAAAGGAAAACGAAACGCGAAAAACAAATGAAAGAAACAAAAATTAAGCTCACAAATTAATATGTCGCTACAGATCTTTGCGAAGAAGACGAACGAACGAATCTCTTTGTACCGGCTAGGCCTATACCTACTTTGGGACAGATTTATGGAGCAAACAACGTGATTGATAACGATCTGTTGGACGGTAAGCAAACATAGAATATTTATTGTCAAGCATCTTATTTGGCCAATCAGACTAAGGGACTGATTTAAAGAGATTTTCTCGAACCCTACTAGGAATAAAGTTACAATATGTGAGAGCTATAATAGATATAAGAGACAGAGAATAGATGAGAAGATTGTACTACACTTTTTTTTAGTGTTTACCAAAACCAATAAACCCCTGCATGTCATTATATATTTGAATTTCGGATTTAAGCATGGCTACGTCTCCGCCCTTCAAAGTACACTGCTTAACTGCTTCGTAACAAAACAGATAGACACGGTGGCACAAATGATCACGCGTGCTCACGCTATGCTATACCAGTTACACAATGCTACTATTAATTTGTTCAAATTTCCAATCACTTATTCGATTTTCGGGCTTTCAGTAACTTTAAAACCTGCTGAATAGAAGAAAATTAATTATTTGCTTGTTTTTGCGCATTTTATCCCCCACCTCTCATCATCAGGTCGAACATATGTTCGTTTACCGACAAAAGCAGTAAAAAACTTTTGAATTTATGAATTAACTTTCAATTCTAATTCTAATATTTTCAGACTGGCTTATATCAATAGGACCTCCTGTGAATTCATTAGAAGCTAGTCTCAGAAGTATAAATCTTCCAACTACAGTGGATGCTGGAAATACGAACATGTGTGGTTAGCTTTCGAAATGACATATTGGCAAACAATCAAACCAAATTGGCAAAGGAATATTTTTTTAGTACCGTACATTCTTATTATGTTCATTGATTACCTATGTTATATAATTTACTAATTTATATTACCAATTTTAAGGCGTTATTTTTTTTTGTCACGATTTGGTAAACGTAATAATTGGACACTACTACTACGAAAACTGCAAAGTTTTAGTGGTCAGACCATACGAATACGATAGGTCCGAAATAATGTAATAACAATAAAAAACGTGAAATTATGTGTCTTACCTTGTTGCGTTAGTCGACGTAAAGCCTTCGATATTTGAAGTTCACAAAAGCATTTGAGAAATTACGGGTTGTCTCCCAGATAGTGACTTGAAAGTGAATTCGGAATCAGTGTTTATTTAAATTAGTGCTTACGATCAAATAAATTGACATTTCAATTATATATTTAGACTTGCTTTGGCCCGCGACTCCATCCGCGTGGAATAGTTACTTTGGCATAACGGTAAATTTTACCCCCACTTCATTTACGTAGAAAGCGAAAATATTTTGAAACATTCTTTATTGGTGCTCCACTTGTATCGGTCTCATGATGTTATATAGCCTATAACCTTCCTCAATAAATGGGCTATCTAATACTGAAAGAATTTTTCAAATCGAACCAGTAGTTCCTGAGATTAGCGCGTTCAAACAAACAAGCTCTTAAGCTTTATAATATTGGTATAGATGAAACATTATTTTTAACCAACATAACTACACATCAACCAAGACATATTCACTAGTTTTGATTCATAAGGTTTTCACAATGTTTTGTTAACGCTGTATTTATTTTTTCGTATATGCGAGTCATCTTTTAGTACCTACATACATATTTCTCTAGTACTTTTTAAACCAAAATTCATAATTTCTAGACTTGAACTTTAAATTATATAATAAATACAATTGCATTATAAACTTACACAGCATTTTATAAATAAACTAGCAACCCGTCATCGCTTCGTTTCGGAAACTGTAATTTATTATTAATTTCTCCAGTATTTAATGGATGTTATTATACATATAAACCTTCCTCTTCAATCACTCTATCTATTAAAAAAATCTGTTGCGTAGTTTTAAAGATTTAAGCATACATAGGGACAGATATAGGGACAGAGAAAGCGACTTTGTTTTATACTATGTAGTGAAGTGTTTGAACATTCACATAATATGGATTTATTAACAACTTTTTTGTCTCATTCACTGAAATTACTTAGGAGCAGACGAGCAAGATATATCAAACAATAATAGAACTTCCTCGCGCAGGCGAACTGGCGTAAGAACACAAGATGATTTCACCGACTTGACGAATTTGGAAGTGGAATATCCCACTAGAGATTATGAATCTGGTAATTATATATACCTAAATGGAGCGAATACATTTTATCTAACAAGATAGGATAATAATCATAATCGATAATAATCAAGAGATAAAGATAAAAATGCAATTGCGTTATGAATGATTCTAGTGAAAGTATAAATTAAACCTCACGGTTTTAGTTGAAGTCACTATTATTTTTCTGAATATTCACGATTGATTTAATCGATTCTAACTTTTTAAAAGGTCCTCTACTCTAGTAAGCATATTTAGGTTATATGAGAAATAAATAAGATTTACGTAAATTATACTGTTATTTAATTTTATGTCGCTATATTTCTTTGCAGCTGTAATTGCAGTTAGTAAGCAATCCCCTATAGAAGCAAAATCAACACGTAGTGAAAGGATTACACCAGTAACTGTAGAACAAAAATTTAGATTATCCATTGAAGGTAAAAGTTTGATTCCTCGTATAATCAATACATAAAATACCATAGTAATAATTTATTGTTGCAACAACATTAGTACCTGTAATGTAGAAACTTAAAGTTATTTGAATTCTTCTATTTCTACGACCGTAAATAAACGATCATTAACAGTAAGTTAAATTACAGATGAAATCAAAATACCAAAAGAAAACGTAAAAAATATGCTAGTCAAAGAAAATCAAGTCACGGCTGATTCGTATATTGAGCATCCTTCGGAGTTGCTTCAGAAGACTACCACATTCAGTAAAGAAGGTATCTTAGTAGGAAATTCTATAGATTGAGTTCGTAATGGAGTAGTTACTTCTTTTCACTCCGTTAATTTAATAGCAGCTGTTAAATTGTGCATTGAATCTATAGTTAAACTGTCACATGAATTTGATCCTTGATAGGTTGCGAATCGACGAGAACCCTAAGCAGTATCGGAACAGATTTAGCTGACGATTTATCAAGTCGATATACTTTAGAACATGCGGAGGATGTTCTAGATGAACATTCTCTAGACGATTGGGATGCAAATGGTAAAGAGAAGAATTTCATTTTGATGAAGACGAAAGGCTGTCTAGGTACTGAAGTGCTATCTGAATATTGGCAATATCAATGGGAAAAAGAATTCAGTGGAGTTAGCTTAATGCCGAATTCAGGTGAGTTAGAAAAAAAAAATAACACCATTCATTTCGGGACGTTACTAAGTTTTCCTGGCTTGGAGTGACAAACTACCTTTCCAATTCTAAGCTGTTAACGCATAAACATCAAAATATGAATGGTGCCAGAGCAACAAACTCTATGAAATAATCACAGCAGAAATAAACAGTACGATTGAACTACCTCGCGCTCCTTATACAGTAAACGCTAATCATGTCTTCAACATAAGCGATGAAGGCAAATTTATGGCGATTTTATAGGAAAATAGCAAGACTCAGGCACCTATCAAATATCTTGTGTTCTATGATGGGTACTGCCAGAAAATGGACTGATCGTATTATATCGATGAAAATAATTTAGCTTCGGCTAGTTTACGGGGATGTTTATTTTGCAGAGAGCTCTCGTACCTATCGCTGTTATAAATGCGGTCAACAAATTAGGCGGAAGAGATGTGGAAAAAAACAGGACAATGACAATCGGAAACGATGCAAGAAGTGTGACAGCAGCAAACTGTTGCTGAGTGGCCCAGTCAAACGTAACATATTTTTTTTTGTACACAAAAGCAAACGGGTTCACGGCCCGTCCTGTGTAAAATGATTACTACAGCCTATAAACGTTATGCTAATAGATTTCAACAAAATTTAAAGAAGAAATAAAAGATTCTATTTAATATTCCAACTAAGCTCACGGATCGTTTCGAAGATATGGGTCTTCAGAGAAACTGGTTTTCAGTGTGTTTTATACCGTAAGTTCCATAGGGGAGTGCTCTGCGGAATTGCTTGAGATGGTCCCGTTATCTGCATTTTACAATCGCATCGCCCGCTACTGGAGCAAAGTCCGTTTCTATTATCCTGAAACATTATCTAGAGCACATTTCAAAAGATAATTAGCGTCGGGTCGCCGTGACTCCTTATGGGGGCACGGGGTGGGTCTTGGGATACCCCCCTCTGTTTGGCCTTGAACCTAACAGAGCAGGGGTGTTCTACTTGCAGGCTGCAACATTGAATGGGTTGGCGGAATCGTGGGATGAAAATTTTTGGTGGTGGTAATGTTGCTGAATATGCTTAAGATTGTTTAAGCTTGGATGGTAGAAGTGTCTTGACGCAGAAGAGCACTTGTTCTGAAACAACGAAACACGGGGTGGTCTGCTTTTGTCTTCTTCTCCGGATATTCGCTGCTCTTCCACTTCCGATTCTCAACTGACCTTTTAATTATTAACTAACTATCTTATTTGAACTTAGGCTAAATCGAAATAAAACACTTTATTACAGTTTCTAGCCGTTTCGACTCCATAAGAAAGCAAATTTCAATACGCTTTTGTAGAAAGAGATGGAATCACGTCTGGAAAAAGACGGCTGAGAGATGGGCATTGTGGTCCAAATCGCCAACAAAATCTAACCGAGGTAGGCAATACATTGAAAATATGTGCAGACACTCTTAGAAAATGATGAGGTATTCAAACCAGTATAGCGCCAATTAATTCACCGCTACCACTTGGCAAGAATTTTCTTACGTAGGCTTGTATGGTTTGAAAATCTTCCAATTTTAATAGTAAAAACAATGTATCACGCTTTAGCCAAAAAAATGGAAATCAAAAAAGGAAGAAAGAATGATTTAGTTTAATTACATTTTTGGAAATTATAATTTGCGTAATCACTGGTGGTAGGACCTCTTGGGAGTCCGCACGGGTAGGTACCACCACCCCGCCTATTTCCGCCGTGAAGCAGTAATGCGTTTCGGTTCGAAGGGTAGGGTAGCCGTTGTAACTATACTGAGACCTTAGAAATTATACAGGGTGGCCCATAAGTCCTTTGATATGAAAAAAAAATTATTAAAATAAAACTAATTACATTATGAATTAAATTTTTATTTACATAAAAAGTTTAAAAAACGGGAATTATTTTTTGAAAATAACATCTCCTAAATGTAATCCGTTGCGATCACGGCACTCTTGCAAACGACGTCTAAAATTGTCGATGACTGCGCGGCACGTCACTGCTGAAATGCTTGTCATTTCTCTGCGGATGTTTTCTTTTAGGGCCTCAATTGACCGCGGGTTTGTGTCGTATACTTTAGCCTTAAGGTAGCCCCACAAAAAAAAATCCATCGGGGTCAGATCTGGACTACGTGGAGGCCAGGAAATGTCTCCTCTCTTAGAGATAACTTTGCCAGGAAAAAGTTGACGGATAACGGGCATAGCAGTGTTAGAGGTGTGAGAAGTGGCCCCATCCTGTTGAAACCACGTCCTGGCATTAAAGCCTGAAAAGTTTTGCAATTCTGGTATGAAAAACTCTTCGATCATAGCCACATATCGCTCCGACGTAACAGTAACTGCGCGCCCTCTGCCATCCTCAAAGAAGTAAGGCCCTAGGATACCATGGGCTGACATAGCGGCCCAAACAGTCACTTTCGGACTATGTAAGGGCTTCTGATGCTTAAGTTTTGGATTGATGGGGCTCCAATAGCGGCAATTTTGTTTACTAACATGCCCGTTAAGATGGAAATGAGCCTCGTCAGAGAACATTATGTTATTGAAGGAAGTAAACCGATTCAACATTTCATTCGCATAATTTTGTCTTTGAATACCGTCAGTTTCCTTTAATTCTTGAACCAACTGAATTTTGTAAGGGTGCATATGTAAATCTTTCTTCAAAATCCGTTGTAACGATGTCCTGGATACGTTTAATGCTCTGGCGCGCTTACGAGTTGACTGTGTCGGATTTTCGCGAATAGACTGTGTCACTGTGTCTATGTTTTGTTCCGTACGTGACGTCCTTGGGCGACCCAACCGCGGTTTATCTAACGTCGAACCGGTCTCCTCGAACTTAGCAACCCAGTTCTTAATCGTTTGAAGAGTTGGAGTGTCGTCAAAGTTGTGTAAACCTTTGTGTTCTCGAAATTTACGCCGCGCAACGGTTGCCGAATTGTCGTTTTTATAAAACTCGCGCACACAAAACGCACGGTCCGCTCCGGTAAAACGCTCCATCGCGACTAAATTCCCAGAAACCGAAGTTACTCCCCCCGCTTCCCCTGCACCGCTCACGCGCGCCCTGTTCGTTTTATTCAAATTTTACTTTTCAAAGGACTTATGGGCCACCCTGTATCTCGAGGTGGGTGGCCCACTTACGTTGTAGATGTCTATGGGCTCCAGTAACCACTTAACACCAGGTGGGCTGTGAGCTCGTCCAACCATCTAAGCAATAAAAAAAAATAAAAAATAAAAATTTGACTTGCAGAAGCTAAGTACGAAATTTATTATGTCAAAAGGGATCAAATCTACGCGTTGACTGTCTTTGGAAAAAAACACGTCACCACAAATTATGGTGTACTTCTAGATTATAATAAGGAAAAAAACATTTTCTAGTATTAGATATGCCAAATATACGTACAGTAATTATACCGAACCAATGAGACCTATATACTTCATGTATGATAACAAATAGCTGATCTTGAGTATTCATGACGTACTTTGGATTCTTTATTATTTATTAGGTAGACCGATAGAGCTTACGTCCTCTAGTGTCAAGTGGCTACCGGATCGTCGATACTTCACAACGTGAATGTAATACATACACCTTGTGTCATGAAGCCTCAATTGAATAGCATAGCCGCTGTCCCGTCTTTCGAACCGAAACGCATTACTGCTTCATGGCAGAAATAGCTGGATTTAATATTTGTTACACAATGTTACTGCTTCATCTTGGATGTAATTCGTGAACAATTTCCGTATTTGACAAAAAATAGCCATATTTATTGTGTGTACTATTTACAAGTTTTAAATTTAGTAAGATTTTATATTTAAAGATTTTGTTATCAGCTCGACTGGCTCAATACTTGCAGCGTTCAATCGTTTGGGAAAACGCCGATGTGCAGACAACAATACAATGCAAAGAAATCGGTAATTCATCTTAATCGATAAATTCATGACAGACGTCTGTTCAGCTCTGTAACGTAATTCCTTACACTTATAAGCTGCTCGTCCTTACAGTAATAATTGTGGAATATTAACCAATTAATATATAGAACCGAAACATAGATTTTTAAGCTATTGCATAACTTTTATCGCGGGCTTTGAGTACGGCGACCGAATCAAGGAATTCCGTAACGACAATAAAACCTAACACCCCCACTCCGCCTACCATGTAGCTCGCGCTCAACACATTCACACGTTGCGCTTGTGTAGTGTTTGTGAATAAGCGCGCGACGTGACGTCGCACTGCATGCGCGTCATGAAAGGTCTGCTCATCTCTCTCGCGCGGTCTCGCTTATGAGTGTGAAGGGGACAGTTAATGTTTTGCTTTTATTAATGTTTATAAATATAGCGTGGTCTTATTTTATTATTGATTTAATATTAAATTATTATTGTCTAATTATAATTGCATAAGTTGATAAAAAATGCTATGCAATAGCTTTACCGCGGCAGTCCCCGAATGTCACAGGTTTTTTTTTTTTCAGTAATAGGGAACTGGTTGTTAAGGAAACTCAAAGAAAATTATGATAGTGATTAAATTTATAAAACATATTGCACCTTTGCATATTGCAGCCTTTTTTAGAATAAGTTGTTTAATTCTTCTTAAGATTAAAGCAAGCTACGTCTAAAGCCTGAGTTTTTTTATTGCTATAGGCAGACGAGCATACGGTCCACCTGATGGTGAGTGGTTACCGTTGCTCATGGACGTCAGCAATACCAGGAGTAGCCAAGCCAGGAGCCAAGCCACTGCTATCGTTAAATACTCCCTGCAAGCTTCGTTTGAAGAAGGACATCACGACCTAGCAAAATATTATTTGTACTGGTACATGGCTTTTAGAGCACATTTCTTTCTACTGTTAACCTTTCACCAAACGGCAATCCATAACATATTCTAAAAACCGGATTACTATCACATCTTGACGCGTTAAACACACATAAATGTGTATTAGCAAATTTAGAGGTACGCTTTGGGAAAAGTAATGATTAAAAAAGTACTTTCCGATTTCAATTTATCAAATTTAATATGGCAACAAACACAAACATATAAATGTATCTTTCAGGTATCGAAGCGTTTGTAAAGAAAGTTTCTGAGGCGATCAGCGCTGTCGTGAAATGTGGCGACAAATCGACCGAACACATAGGATCTACATACGAAAGTAATGACTATAACTTAATACTGAAATGTACAAAAACCAGCATTTTTTTCCGTGAATACTATATTATACATATTTAGGGATATTCACAGTCAAATATTCCATATATCCATAGGCATCTACAACGTAAATGCGCCACCCACCTTGAGATATAAGTTCGAAGGTCTCAAGTATAGTTACAATCACTGCTTCACGGCAGAAATAGGCAGGGTGGTGGCACCTACCCGCGCGCTGACTCACAAGAGGTCCTGCCACTAGTCAACATTTAAATTTTCGAAATTTGTAATTAAAGATACGTTTTATTAAGTATTAGCATCAACGGTTGAATGTTTTTAATTGGACTTCAGTTAAATTTACTCCATTGACATAGCTAAAGAAGTTTTTTTTTGTTATAATATTTTTTCTAAATTTTAAATCTTAAATGGCTCTCCTGTAAAGTCGCAAAAATGTTGCTTAAGCCTTGCACCCGTTGATATATAAGCTAATAAGCTCTTCCAAACAACGAGTTCCTATGGCACCCGAAATTTTCGGAGTTGGACTGAAAGTTTCCGCTCTGAACACGCTCAAACATAAAAACCCCAAACTCTAGACGAATAGAGATAAATAAATCGAATGCACAAATTGAATTTTGTTTACCATATCAAAGGAAGTCTTTATTGAAAATGTTCACGGCAACTTCAGAGGGGTGATTTATTTCGTTTCGTTTCACTTCACTAGGCGAGTCACCTAATTTTGCGATTGGAGTGGTAGTTAATTAGTTTAATTTTTTTTTTCTTTTCTTGAACGATACTTTTGACGCCATATTTATCATACAAGGAGGAGATTCTTTAATTATTCACCGTACATTCCTCTATTCATTTCAATCAATTTTAACCTGGTCTTAACAACAAATCGATTTTATAAATTTAAGTTTTTTAATTGCGCTTTTAGGCAAACGAGTACAAAGTGCTAAGTAATGGTGAGCAGTTACTACGGCTCATGGACGTCAGCAATACTAGGGACATTTTGGCGGGAACGCGAGGAGTGAATTTGTGTCATTTGTTTTATTTTGTCTATTTAGTGTTTCTTCAGGTTTAAATGTGTGATAACGATGGTTTATTAACTGTTTAGTATTTGTGAAAGTGCACAAATGTGGGAAAATCAAACAGAGCCGCTGAACGTAACTTCTCGGGATTCTCCAAAAAGTCTGCTGAAAAAGCCTCAGTAAATGACTACCATTTTACTGACATTATATTTTATCCCATAGCATCTCATCCCATTACACGAATGTTTGCCCGATGTGGAAGTCGAACCCGCGACCCTAGGCGCAGCAGTCAGGAGCGCTTACTACTGCCCCACCGAGTCAGTCAGATTAGATTAATAATAATTAAAATTAAAGACATTCTAAAATCATGTTTTGTTCTGTATAGATCTGAAGAGCGTGGCACGTGATAATAGATCAAGAATTAACTTGGGACCTTCTATGTTTCCATTCCTCGGTGCATCGAGTAAGTATAATGTAATTGTGTGTAATGTTAAATTTAGTTTATAAAACGAAGCTCTTTATGAAGTGGTGTGAACATTTCTGGAAATATCCATACCAGTGAACAAGCAATGTACAAATTGTTATCGGACCGTGACGGGTCACGCAAAGCCACGGTCGCCCGTAACATGTCTTGCCGGATCCCCCGGATTCACTCTCGGTGCTTTTAGGCCTCTCAAGCACCGGCCACGGTCCTTATGACCTTATGACGAACGAGCGAACTAACCCATAGACACATCCCACTGAATTTCTCGCCGGATCTTCTCAGTGGGTCGCGATTCCGATCCGGTGGTTGATTCTGCAAAGCACTTGCTACTCTGCAAAACACTAGCACTAGGCCTAGTGTTGGCAATTTCTCTGAGGTTGAGCCCGTGAGCTCACCTACCCGTCTGAGCGTAGCTGCAATAGCCAGGCTACCAGCGAATAGGGAATAAAGAAAAGCACAAATTACGCACAAACATATTTCATTACTTGTCTCCGCCTAAAAACCTTTTAGTACGAACAAGCAAGTGATTTAATCAATTTTTGACAAAACATTTCTTTATGAAAATAATACCCTTACACTCCGGGTTCAGTGACCCGTTACAACGGGTGCCTCCCAAATCATATCTCTCCATTTTCCTCCCGATCTTTTCTTTTGTTGCGCTGTGGTTCACGCAGAACCGCTTGCACCGACCAATATCTAGGGCGTTCCAGGCTGAGTTCATTGTGACTTATGATAGTCAAAACATGCAAAATATTTTTTTATTTTTTGCAGTAAATTCTCTGCATTTAGAGCGCATCAAACAGCGTCACAATTTACATTATCCAAGCGCTCCCGATACTAGAATCAAACAACAAATTTCTCAGGTTGATGCTATTTACGACGTGGTCCGCAGTGATCAAAGTGAGTATAATATGTTTGTACAAATAAGTATTATAAGTATTTTTACTGGTGGTAGGACCTCTTGTGAGTCCGCTAGAGTAGGTACCACCGCCCCGCCTATTTCTGCCGTGAAGCAGTAATGCGTTTCGGTTTGAAGGGTGGGGCAGCCGTTGTAACTATACTGAGACCTTAGAACTTATATCTCAAGGTGTGTGGCGCGTTTACGTTGTATATGTCTATGGGTTCCAGTAACCACTTAACACCAGGTGGGCTGTGAGCTCGTCCACACATCTAGGCAATAAAAAATAAATAAATAAAAAGTAGTAAAATGCAACGTTGACGATGATTTGACTATTACAATAATAGTAAGTCACGAAGTCAACAGCCTTATAATTTCGGTAGGCAGCTGCTTGGCTCTGCCCCTGGCATTGCTGAAGTCCATGGGCGATTGTAACCACTACCCCATCAGGTGGGCTGTATGCTCGTCTGCCTACAAAGGCAATAATTTTTTTTTAAATTTGTTTTTCAAGATTTTATGACCTGATTGACCAGACCTTTAAGCTAAGTCTTTATTTCTTATCATATTCTGTAATTATAAAAATGAAAATGTGTGTGTCATATGAAAATAAAAGCGGTGAAGTTGAACAGTTTGAGTCAACTGATATCAAAACTAATGAAACAAGATAAGATGAGATGAAATAAAGTGTCATGAAAATGGTTGTTATTTACTGAACCATAAGAGAATATGGGGAGATTCGCCTTCGCATTACAATGCGGGCTAACTATCTAAAACAAGTTAGCTTGGAAAATGAATAATAATTTAATTTATATCAGGGTACTAGTGAAACGAGACTCTTACGCTAAAAAATGGAAAATCAACCTCCACTGAATTTAAATTAATTTCCTCCGTTTGTGTTTAGATATAAAGCACAAGGATAACGCAATGAGTTCTGATTGTTTAGAAACGACGACATCCAAAGAAGAGAATTTCCACAATTACATTATTTGCGAAAACACAGGTACCTACTACGTCCTGAACTTTTCAAACTAAACTGAGCTTTATAGGGTAGATCATCCGCTGTTAAACTTTAGTTAAACTATAGTTTATTAAACTATAGTTTTTTTTTTATTGCTTAGATGGGTGGACGACCTCACAGCCCACCTGGTGTTAAGTGGTTACTGGAGCCCATAGACATCTACAACGTAAATGCGCCACCCACCTTGAGATAGGAGTTCTAAGATCTCAATATAGTTACAATGGCTGCCCCACCCTTCAAACCGAAACGCATTACTGCTTCACGACAGAAAGGGGCGGAGGAAGTTTGGTGACGTTAGCTGCGAATTGCGTATACATATGTCGCAAAGACATTTACATCGTCACAATTAAATCCATTCAGACTCTAATTAAAAGCTTTATTTCAGAAGCGGACCTTAGATTCAGTCCCAAATCACCGACGCAATCCAGTATGGATATCACAACAAGCGGCACTCCACTCGACAGAGCTTTTGGAATCAACACCGGTAATATGAAATTCTTTTAAAGTTGGTCCTCGTAAGTTTTTTTGTTTTTTATTCTTTAGATGGGTAGACGAGCTCACAGCCCACTTGGTGTTAAGTGGTTACTGGAGCCTATAGATATTATTATCTTCAACGTAAATTCCTCCACCCACTTTGAGATATGAGTTCTAAGGTCTCAGTATAGTTACAACGGCTGCCACCCCCTTCAAACCGAAACGTATTACTGCTTCACGGCAGGGTTGTGGTACCTACCCGCGCCGACTCACAAGAGGTCCTACCACCAGTAATAAAGTAGTTATGTTACGTGTTGTTGGCGAGTGCTGACACCTAACATTGGATTAATTGAAAGTTGCGTTAGTCATTGACAGGTCTGTCAGGATATTTTAATGTTATTATGAAAGTATTTTTTAAGCTATTGCAAAGCTTTTATCTTGGGCTTTGAGTGCGGCGACCGAATTAAGAAATTCCGTAACCAAAATAAAACCTAACACCCCCCTCCGCCTACCATGTAGCTCGCATTCAACACATTTACACGTTGCGTTTTTGTGGTGTTTGTGAATAAGCGCGCGGCGTGACGTCGCACTGCATGCGCATCATGAAAGGTCTGCCATCTCTCTCTTGCGCGGTCTAGCTTATGAGTGTGAAGGGGACAGTTAATGTTTTGCTTTTGGTGGTGTTCATAAATATAGCGTGGTCTTATTTTATCATTGTTTTAATATTAGATTATTATTGTCTAATTATAATTGCATAAGTTGATAAAAAATGCCATGCAATAGCTTTACCGCGGCAGTCCCCGAGTGCCACACGTGTTTTTTTTAATTTAATTTTCCCACCTCACGTAATTTTTTGTAAGTTTTTACATTTTAGAACATGTCACATAGCCCAAAAAACTTTGATAATGTCTCTAAAGCATTAAGTGGAGTATTTCCTCTCATCTTAATTCGCAGAATACTCTGTTGATGCAAAAGCGATTGTTTTACAAACTGCTTGCGTAATGACATCCCATGAAGAACTAAAGAATAATGTCAATGCAGGTAAAAAATAATGTTATATTTGTAATGGTATTAATTAAACGTTTTAACATTATACTACAGCTATCACTAAACTGTTTAAATATGTTCTTTTTACTACCGGCTTTCCTTTAAGGAGCATAAATTATTCACTTAAAATGTAAATCAAGAGTATACTAGAAAGATTAGGCACATTAATTAAGCATACATGCACTGTAAGCTTTTTTTTTTTTTTTTTTTGGTCAGGAGGAAATCGCCGGACTTCCGCCCTCCCCTGGGGATGGAAGGCGGGGCATGTCGGAGTCGAACTGACTAAAACCTCCTGTCGCTCAACAACCCGCGTCCGAACCTCGCATGGGACAGAACCCATGCAAAGGCAAAGGGGGGAAAGTGAAGCGTTTAGTGCGGAGCACATCTCTCCCATCACCCTCCCCCTCGGGACGCCGGACCGGCGGTCGTCGGCGCCACGACCACCAGCCCTCTCGGTCGGCAGGCTATCCGGAGCCCGCCTAGATGGCGCCGGTTAGAATGGTCTATCCTACGGAATACCCCGCTGGGTCAGAACCAGCGTGGGTCGAGGATAGCCGGCCTTCCATCACCCGGATGCTCTTGCGTAAAACGCGACATGCACTGTAAGCTTGGCTAAAGTTATACAAAGCTAAACTCGACTGAGTATGTTAAGCCTCTCCAATGTAGGTAGTTTTAAATCCGAATAACTTTAGACAACAACATGTAGCCAAATGTGAAATGCAATTTTTGTTACAACAAAAATAATTGTTATTTATAATTTGATTATTATTTTTGAAGCTATTGCATAGCTTTTCAATTATTTGACTTGCGCCTGCCTTTTCTACAAATGTGGCCAATGCGTGTCCATGTCCATGTCATAATAATAATTTATCTTAGGGTTTTATATTAGTTAACACTCTAACAGTTGATTTTTTTTTTTTTTTTTTTTTTTTTTTTATTGCCTTTGTAGGCAGACGAGCGTACGGCCCACCTGATGGTAAGTGGTTACCGTCGCCCATGGACTTCAGCAATGCCAGGAGCAGAGCCAAGCCGCTGCCTACTGCTTAATACTCTCCACAAGCCTCGTTTGAAGAAGGACATGTCATAGCGTTCGGGAAACACCGTGGAGGGGAGNATCCGGCCGGATCCGTGGTCAGCAGAAGGTCCAACAGAGAAGGTTCGTGCCCCTCGATATCTGGGACACGGGTGGGCTGTGTCACCAGCTGGGAGAAGCCGTAGGCCAAGGCGAAATCGTAGGCAGTCCGACCCGGGAGGTCAGTGGTTCTGGACCCCAACCACTCTTGGTGGTGAGCGTTGAAGTCTCCAAGGACCACCACCTCCGCATTTACTGGAGCTTTCTTGACCATGACAACTAATTTAAGAAACTCTGATTTTATTTTTATTTTTATTTATTTATTGCTTAGATGGGTGGAAGAGCTCACAGCCCACCTGGTGTTAAGTGGTTACTGGAGCCCATAGACATCTATAACGTAAATGCGCCCCCCACCTTGAGATATAAGTTCTAAGGTCTCAGTATAGTTACAACGGCTACCCCACCCTTCAAACCGAAACGCATTACTGCTTCACGGCAGAAATAGGTAGGGCGGTGGTACCTACCCGTGCGGACTCACAATAGGTCCTACCACCAGTGATATATTTTATTCATTTAATATTTATTAATTTTATTATCTCGGCCTTCTTCCATGTCTGTCTTCACATAGACACGAAATACTGCAAATAAAAATAAGAATATTTTTTTAAAAACATTTTTAATAATAGAAAATCTAATCAAAATTGAGATTTTATCGTCTTCCCGAAAAGTTTATCACGGTTTATAAGGACGATGAAAATTTTATTTTATTCAGAAACTCAGTTAAAATTCCCGACCGCAATTAAAATAACAAGAGGCGTAACGACCACAAAGGAAATTAACGAAACGCCTCTAGCTGTTGTTTGTTAGTATTTTTCCTTTACAGAAATATCTGTAGCTATTTCTTTGTAATTGTGAATTTTCGGAGGTAGACTTTACCAAATCGTAGCGTAATTAACTTGATTAGTTAGTTGGTAATGTTGTTTTGGTTTTTTTTTCCCTGAAATACGTGACTTCGAACAGTTCTTTAGATTATTTAGTTTTTATTGGCCCAATGACAAGAAAAACCTCAGCCCACTGAGTTTCTCGCCGGATCTTCTCAGTGGGTCGCGTTTCCGATCCGGTGGTAGATTCTGCGAAGCACGGCTCTTGCTAGGGTTCGTGTTAGCAACGTCGTGAGGTTTGAGCCCCGTGAGCTCACCTACTAGTTAAGGTTACGCTGAAATAGCCTCTCAAGGCTCTCAGATTAGGAAGGAAAAAAAGGCCCAATGAATCAGACTCAAAGCATATTTTTAGAACGTTTGGATTTTGGATTAATAACAGTAACTGTTTTCTTTTGTAGCCGCAACCACGTCCGACTTTAAAGTCGAAAAAATGAACGCATCCGCACAAACCTCACACCCTCTTTCTGTCCTCACTTATGCAGGTACATATTATGTCCACTACTTATGTTTATTTTCTATTATACTATAATTTTTACATTAATAACAAACACAAAAAAAAATGTTTATTTTCTATTATACTATATTTTTTACATTAATAACAAACACAAAAAAAAATGTTTATTTTCTATTATACTATAATTTTTACATTAATAACAAACACAAAAAAATATAACAATCATATTTTTGTAACAGTGCACCTTATTATCCGAATATATGGATTGTTACAATAGTTTTAAAGATTAGACAAACAAAATTAAGACGTCTTGTATTTTCGCATCGTGAACACTACTATGCCAAAGCTCAAGTCCCGTAAGCACGCACAACATTTTTCTGAGGAATGGTGTACCTGATTCACGGAAGAAGTCCACGATGAAAAAAAAATTGTAATAAAATTAAACTTGCAAAATTTATACATAAAATACATAAATAGTGGTAGTAAAGACGCTGTACCCTCTTGCCTATGTGTGCCGTGAAGCAGTCACGTCAGTCAGTTCTAATCTCAGCAAGTGGGTTCATTGCTACTATTCCTATAAGCTCTTGAATACCACGAGCGTCAAAAGCCCATCGTCGATTACGATGAAAAGTTCGACGGGCGAACTAATCGAAAGACACAGTCCACTGAGTGTGTTGACGGATCTTCTGTGGGTCGCGATTCCGATCCAGTTGTAGATTCTGCAAAGCACTGCTCTTATTATGGCTGGCTATTGGCAAATTCTCTAAGGTTGAGCCCGTGAGGTCACCAACCCGTCCGGGCGTAGATGGGATAGCCCCAGCCAACAGTAGGGAAAAAAGTACAGAATAGTAAATTATTCTTAATCTTCCAACCATGGACATAATTATCAAATCTGAACCAGCATACCTATTGTGACATACAATGTTTTTGTTTCTACAATTATATCTATTGAGCATGATTTTTTGTAAAATTTTAATGTTTAGAGATCATTGCATAAACACTTAATTTAAAGGCCCAAAACTCATCTCGATTTCGTCTGCAACAATGCACACCGCTTCGGTTTCGACTTCAATGAAGAACTTTTCAAATAAAGGTAAGATCGTTTTAAGACATTCAACATGAAAATGTGTTTTTATAACAAATATTCTATTTGTACACTGTACCGTACTGTGCAGTTTATGATTTCAATAAAACAAAGTTTCTAACAAATTTTGCAGAAATCCAAACATGTAACGACAAGACTAATCGTGACTGCAATACGTCATCATCACGACGATTTGAGAAGAAATGCACGGAAGCTTTCAAAGGTAATACCAACCTTCCGTCCCAGATAAGCAACTGTCTAGCAACTGGGTCACTTGTAGTAAAAAGCTGTCAAGAGTGTAGCACTATTGTAACATCCAGTTACACCGAAATTAATACGGTGCTAATACAGCTTTTAGATTTATAATATTAATAGCTGTACCCGACCGCTGCGCTAGGCATTTAAAATTAACATTATTATTTCTCACCCCCACAAAGATTCTCATCATTAACGCCTCCGCAACTGGTGTAGGGAGTTCAACACTCATATAAATATTAGCCTATCTATTAAGTACATGTATTTTCTACATGGATACCAAGTTTCAAGTCAATCGGATGCATAGTTCAATAGTTATAACGGAACATCCGTAAAAACCACTTTAGATGTATATATTAGTATAGATATATATTTAGACTAAAAAAGAGCACTCAACTCTTTACAATATACTGGATTGCCAGTAATACAAGAATTAGCAGGAGAAGTAGAAGATATTAGGCATGAAACTAAGTCGACGGGTCCACTACTATAAAAGTTGTGGAAGGAATAATGATAGGAGAACATCACGCCTCTAAGTATCCTAAGTATGTATCTGGAGAGAAAGGTAGAAATAAGAGCTAGCAAGACTGTGGGGGAATAAAATTGCCAACTCCAAGAAATCGGGGCTATACAATCTGGTATTTTAACTACTAACCAGGCAATAGACAAGAATTAATATCCTCTAGCCTCAAAAAAGGTTTTACTGTACTGCTTTGTGATTATAATTATAACAATTTTATATTGAAAAAGTACAATATAATATCAGTGTGTTTTTAAAATTCTAACTACCAGAATCCAGACAAGCGCTTGCGTAGACGCGAACTTTGTGTTATTTCTGCCCCTAAGTCGTGATTCTCTCCAGTTTAAAAATTAGAATGGTAAATATTCAAATGTAGTTAAGACTTTAACTACACAAATGGGCTAATTATCTCATCAATTTCATTGACGATGCACAAAGACGTGCTTTAAGGCCGCAACGTTGCGATCCTCAGTAGGTCATACCTCACTTTTATGGTCAAGGCAAGTCGTGACAATTGTCTAGTTTTGTCTGCTCATCCACATTAATAAAGTAGAATCGAAGTCGGAACAAACTCACACGCGCGTGTTCGTTGTGTATAAGTGTTCACAGCCGTGGCTAATTTGACGCACGAGGGAATGTTAAAGACCGATTTCAACCTTAATGTCAACAAATTACCCTTTACGAATCCTCAGGGTCGCATTTTTTATAATCTTTATGTTAAGGTCGGAGTACACTGTAAAGAGTGATTCAGCTTGTTTTCTTAACATTCTGTAGTTTATGTTCTTCAAATACATTGGTGAAACTGTTCCAAGTTTGAAGTTGAAAAATGAAATGTATATATTTTTCATTTTCCTGCGCTTTATAATTGTGGATTCATGAAAAATAGATAGCTTGTTTGTAACATTATTGTTTATGCTTCGAGTTTATAATATTGTGCTTAGTTTAGGAATTGAATGAACTTATGGGTTAATTATTAAGGGACACGTAAGATGCTAATATATTGATTAATGGTATTTGTTGTTAAAATAGTATCAAGTGATTGACTGATTCGAATTTATTCCGGAAATCTTTGGAAATACCATACTTATATTCTATCAAGTACTCAATACTCAATGCCTATCAGCAATTATTCCACTATTGATTACTCGTTGACAGTGAGTGTGGCAATGAAAACATTATCCTGAATTAAATTTACAATAGAAATGATTTTTTTGTTATTGGAACGAAGTTCCTTATGGGACGATGCGGAGGGGTACCCTAACCGAGAAAAAACGTCCGTAACGTAAGATTTTTATTAGTAATGCACACAGTGTACGACTTAACGTTGTAATAAGTTACAAAAAATAACATTTTTTTAACATTCATTGACCACGATCTCAGAGCGTTCGTTTGCGCAATACACTAACTCTTATGCAAACAACTGAGTGAAGTGTACCACAATAAGTTCGCACGTTACCGAATGACCGTGGGTTGTTGCGAAACCTCCAGTTTTATTTTCTTTATACCTCGAATAGAACTTAAAATTAATATTTTTATAATAAGGAACTTCGTTCCTATCCGGTGTCTCACGACTTCACACATTTAGTTGTTATTTTATTCATACAGACGTCGAGCCATTCTCATCGACGCGCTTTTGTCAGAGTCGGCTTATATCTGCGTGTATGCTGAATCGATCTCTGCACGAAACTGGCTTGCAAACTGCTCCAGAGTCGCATGGACGCGGTAAGCGGTTAAAAATATGGTTATTATAAACATAAATGAAGAAGAACCTAAATAGTCTATGTTTTTTTTTTTATTGCTTAGATGTGTGGACGAGCTCACAGCCCACCTGGTGTTAAGTGGTTACTGGAGCCCATAGACATCTACAGCGTAAATGCGCCACACACCTTGAGATATAAGTTCTAAGATCTCAGTATAGTTACAACGGCTGCCCCACCCTTCCAACCGAAACGCATTATTGCTTCACGGCAGAAATAGGCGGGGCGGTGGAACCTACCCGTGCGGACTCACAAGAGGTCCTACCACCAGTAAAAGCATTTAGTTTTGGCACCTGTGTCGTCAGTCGGTACTAGCGTGGCAATTGATATATCCAATGTCATTATCATTGCCTTTTTTTATCGCTTAGATTGGTGGACGAACTCATGGCCCTACTGGTAACCGGAGTGGTTACTGGAGCCCATAGACATCTACAACATAAATGCTGCCACCCACCTTGAGACATGAGTTCTGTAGGGCCAGTTGTTACAGTACAATGGCTGCCTTACCCATCAAACCGAAACGCATTACTGCCTCACGGTAGAAACAACCAGGGTGGTGGTACCTACCCATGTGGGTTCAGAAGGCGTCCTACCAGTAATTACGTAAATTATAAATTTGCGGATTTTATTTTCGTTAACACGTTATTAGATAGTTCTAATATTACTCGTAATATAATATAGTTTCTTCTTCTCAATCGTGTCACTTTTGACAGAATGGTCGTGATCGTAATGTAGTGTTAGAGGGAGCAGACTTAATGCGTCTCACGATGTCCCGCCATCTCTCCCTGCTCGAGGCCATTCTACTGCACTCATTTAGGGGACCTCCCATTGCAGTTTTAATTTTAAATAATAATGTAGACCAGTACATAATTTCGTACTAAATTATAATCTTTGCGATTTCACTGGATTCATGTTGTTGTTTGCTGCTTCATTGGATTATTGGATTGAAGAATGTGTATCCCACTCTTTTTGCTGTTAAGCTAGGCAGGATTATCGTCCATGTTCCAGCCGCATTGGAAATTCAAACAACGCTCCAAATTTTATCATGTAGCCCATTCTTAACAACATAAGTGCCTACACAAGCTGTTGAGCACTCACCGCGACGATTTCTCACTCGTCTGCATCTTTGAACTTCCTCAGAAATTGTACCTAATGGAACGGAGCCCCGAGGTTGTATCGACGACTGAGTATTAGCGTGACGTATTCCGTATTCCGACTATTGATTGCGAGTTCAAATGTTTTTTTTTAAATTCTCATTGTTTGATCAAGGATTTTTTTGTAATAAATTGCACTACTCAATCAATTTCAACGGATTTCGGTCCGTGAAAATCAGTTGAGGCATGTTTTCAACGTGTGAACTGTATCTATCTTGTTGCTTCAGGTATATTTGTTGAGAGTAGGAACATTGCAACGCTAACAGCTACCGCTGGTACCTCCAGATCAACACAGTATCAATTTTTCCCCGATGAATACGATTCTTATCAAGGTAATAAATAAAGACTTTCAAGTAAGATAAAACTTTCGAGTATAGTTCTACTTGGTTCATTACTTTGTATGTTTAAATTCTAATAATAATATTATCAATATTATCGTCCATAATTATTAATAAAATATTTTGTATCTCAGGAATGTGGACAAGATAGGATCATAATAACAAATTACATTAATATTTTTGCAACGTTTCGGTCTTTTATTAGACCTTCATCAGGCATCTGAAAATTACACATATTAATAACCAACATTACACAATTGTCCACATTACAATATTTACCAAAATATAAACATTCGGTACATAGACTATACTATACTATACAATATAGTAGTATCAAATTCCATTGATATTTAGCGCGGTTGGCGCTAGTATAAGGGACGAATGTTTTTATATTGTATAGTATATATAGTCTATGTACCGAATGTTTTGATAGTAGGCTAACCGTTGTCACGTAATATCAATTTTTATGTGTCGTGTTTGCTTTATTTCTAAAATCAAAAATAATAATTAACTAATTTATCAATTTTATTAATTTGTATTAATTTATGACGACTAAGGCAACTGTGCAATGTAAGATAGTGATTGTTGGAATTCATATTATGGTAAATATTGTAATGTTGACAATTGTTATTTTTATATTGTTGGTTATTAATATGTGTAATTTTCAGATGCCTGATGAAGGTCTAATAAAAGACCGAAACGTTGCAAAAATAATAATGTAATTTGTTATTATGATCCTATCTTGTCCACATTCCTGAGATACAAAATATTCTAATAATAATATAAATATAATACAGTACCTACTATTAGAGTAACGATTATGATTTTGTAATATACCTTCATATTATGTAAAGATGTGATAAATTTGAATTCTTTTGCCTATAAAAGAAAATGAAAATGTTTTGTTGCTTTGCCTTTATATCAAAACGTTCCTATTTTAAGAAGCCAAAAATAAATATAATATGATAGATTTTTGTCTATATCCGACACGCTATATTGGTTCTATCTCATATTTTTCGGTGACGTAAAACCGTTGATAAAGGAAATGTCAAAAAACTCACCTTTTTTCCTGCAATTAATAGAATCGATTTTAAAAGAAATATTGCCGTAACCATTTCATAATGCAAAGAGAAGATCTTACAGTGAGGGAAGTCGTCACCGCGGTCCAAATGTTGTTTGTTAGGGACTTTGATATCATTCATTCATATTAATTCAGTCTACTATTTATAATACTATAACGCAAGATTTCTTTGAATTTTCACAAAAGTGAATCACGGTTTTATATTTTATTCTTGATGCATTGAAATATTTTACCCACCAGTAATGTAATAAGTACAAAACGAAAAATTCTATTCACCCTAAAAATAGCGAATAGATTTTTTACTGAATAGGAAAAATCTTCTCAACGTCGCATACGTCGTCACTTCGTGAATTATTCACGGATACCGAATAGGGAATACCTACTCGATGAATAACGAAATTAATTTATGTATTAACATTGAATCTTCATACGTTGAATAGATGAATGTCCTTCGCAAACATCTGAACGGGAAGTTCAAAGGAACGCGCGGATAAAAGGCGGTTGCACACGAGAAATTCTCGAAAGAAGCGCTCGAGGTTCGTATGGAAATCATCTGTCGTTTCGCATGTGTATCTTTCAAGCAAAATTTAGGTAAACATAAAGGATACAAAACAATGTTATTGCCTCTACAGTGGGCTTTGAAACGAAATGTTTTAGGTTTTTTTTAATTGCTTAGATAGGTGAACGAGCTCACAGCCCACCTGGTGTTAAGTGGTTACTGGAACCCATAGACATCTACAACGTGAATGCGCCACCCACCTTGAGATATAAGTTCTAAGGCGCAAGTACCTATAGTTACAACGGCTGCCCCACCCTTCAAACCGAAACGCATTACTGCTTCACGGAAGAAATAGGTAGGGTGGTGGTACCTACCCGCGCGGAATCTCAAGAGGTCCTACCACCAGGTTATGCCAGAATGCGTCCGTGACTTTATAAATAAGATTCGGCGTGCTCGCATCGAGTGACACTAGTAAGGGGTGGCGTCTATCTTAAGGCCATTGCGTGTTGTTCAGAATAATTTTCTTACAATTTTGACGAGTGACTTTGGAGCTAATGCTATTCTGTAAGTTCACTACCGCATGTTCCATAGGAGTGCTCTGAGCAATTGTTCGAAATCTCATTACCTACCTTATTTTCACTACTGTAATACCTATATTCGGAGTAAAGTTTACCAGTGCTGTTGAGAAGCACTGCGTTCATTCATAGTGCTATGACATGCCTTTCTTCAAACGAGGTTTATGGAGATTACCTACCCAGTGGCAGGCAGCGAATTGGCTGGACTTTTGAATTTTTTTATGTATATGAGCTACGGTTACCATTGATCGATAGACGGGCCATATGCTCGTCTGCCTACAGAGTGATTAATAAATAGAAATCACTGGATAAGCTGTGAATCCGTATGTTGTTAACATGATGAGTAATCTTTTTCTGTGAAAAGTTTCTGTGAACAGATATTGCCACATGATACCCGGCTAGAATAAGGGAAGCTCTTTGGTTTTTCCCGAAATCTATAGCATATAATTTTTGAAAATATTTCTGATAAACCCCTACCAGTAGGCAAAGGCTTGCACGTACACCTGGCATTGCTGACACCCGTGAGTGACTAAGGCCAAACACTATCTGATAAGTCGTATAGTGGCCAATAAGTCGGTGGTGGCCAATTAAAAAAAAATTGACTCTATTCCCACAATTAAGTCGGAATACTTCTTTCTCCAAATGTCGTTTTATTTTCAGAAAAAATCAATGATCAAATTGTGTCTCTATCGAAATTGATTAGTAGAAAAAAAGCGAGCTCTCAGACGCATCCTGACTGTCGCACAAGTATGGTACTGTCCAGTGATTTGAATGCCGAAAAGTGGATAAGAAGAGGCGCAGCTTTTGAGAAAGGTTTCACTTTTACATTGACTATTTGAAAACAGTAGGATCGGCGTTGTGGTCAGAATATTTCACAATGCTTTAACCGGGTGGACGAGCTCACAGCCCACCTGGTGTTAAGAGGTTACTTGAGCCCATAGACATCTACAACATAAATGCGCCACCCACCTTGAGATATAAGTTCTAAGGTCTCAACTATAGTTACAACGGCTGCCCCGTCCTTCAAACCGAAAAGCATTACTGCTTCACGGCAGAAATAGGCAGGGCGGTGGTACCTACTCGCGCAGACTCACAAGACGTCCTACCACCAGTAATTACGCAAATTATAATTTTGCGGGTTTGATTTCTTATTACACGATGTTATTTCTTCACCGTGGAAGTCAATTATGAACATTTGTTGAGTACGTATTTCATTAGAAAAATTGGTACCCGCCTGCGGGATTCGAACACCGGTGCATCGCTCAACACGAATGCACCGGACGTCTTATCCTTTAGGCCACGACGACTTCATTTGTGTATCAATTAACATTTTAATTTATTTTGGTTGCAGAATACCCAACGTTTATAAAGTGCAATCAATCGTTCACCAACGGTAATGAAGCTCCAACAAAATTGTCTGTTGAAAATGTAATAGACGAAACGGATAACGAAATTAAGAAGCGGGATCTAAGCTATGGTAAAAATTTGATGACACCTAGCATTTACTATTAACTGATGCGTCAATACTCAGACACAGCCCACTGAGTTTCTCGCCGGATCTTCTCAGTGGGTCGCGTTTCCGATACGGTGGTAGTTTCCGCGAAGCACGGCTCTTGCTAGGGTTCGTGGTAGCAACGTCATCAGTTTTGAGCCCCCGTGAGCTCACCTACTAGTTAAGGTTACGTTGATATAGCCTCTCAAGGCTCTCAGCTTGGGTAGGAAAAAAAAAAGATCCGTCATTATATTTACGCACAGAGTATATACGACCTTGTGAGTAGATATTTTTTCATCTTTTTTTTCCCCTACCTATGCTGATAGCCTTGAGAGGCTTTTTCAGTTTTACCTTGACGTGTGGTCGAGTTTACGGGGCTCAAACCGAGATTGTTGCTAGCACTGGCCCTAGCAAGAACCGTGCTTCGCAGAATCTACCACCGGATCGGAAACGCGACCCACTGAAAAGATCCGGTTTTTCATCAATGCAATTGACTAAATTATATAAGTATAAAAACTGTCCGACTTCTCAAACCTGACGCTTTGCAGTAGAGATTGGTAGAATTTTGATACCTGACCGTGCGGACTTGTAGTACTTCCTACCACCGTCTTGATTTGCCTGTCTCAGGATTCCTACATTATCATCTAAATAATAAAACTATTGAATTTAATCCTGTTTTAGTGATAACAACTGCACCGACGTTGGCAATGTCGAGAGACAGCTTGGCCGATGTCCTTCCTGTACAGGATCTAGCAAGGAAATCTCCGTCTCCAGCCGCAAAGGAACGAATATTAATGGTTGATGAAGTCACTTCAGGTGATGTTAACGAAAACCTTTGAAATTAATTTTTTACAAATGAAATATTGCTCCTTCGTGATCAGGAAAATTTGTTGAACCAAAGTTTTTTTTCTCTCTCAGATGACACCATAAATAAATCTGCAAAAGATATTGTCTTGCAAGCAAAACCAGAAGTCACAGATGCGGGTTAGTGTTTCAACAAATGCTCGAAAAGTTCTACTAAAATATTTTTGTATTTGATTTTTTGTTAGTGTATTTAAAAAAAACTATGTTATCATATAATATATACTAATGTATAGTATATTAATACAGTAACAAATAGCTAGTTTCAATAATTCTGTTGACAAAGGCATTGTTTTGTTTTTTTCAACAGCAACTCCCAAACATGAACCGAAAATGAGTATTATATTCAAAATGGATAAGAGCTTGATTAGCAAATGCATGATAACGATTAACTTAAAGAAATCGAGAAAACGCAAGTAGGTAGGATTTTTTTTAAAATAGAATTATTGTATTGTATTTTAAATATGTTCGTTGTATTAAAACCTTACTGGTGGTAGACCTCTTGTGAGTCCGCGCGGGTAGGTACCACCACCTTGCCTATTTCTGCCGTGAAGCAGTAACTCGTTTCGGTTTGAAAGGTGGGCCAGCCGCTGTAACTATACTTGAGACCTTAGAACTTATATCTCAAGGTGGGTGGCGCATTTACGTTGTAGGTGTCTATGGGCTCCAGTAACCACTTAACATCAGGTGGGCTGTGAGCTCGTCCACGCATCTAAGTAATAAAAATAAAAATAAAACATTATATATGTATGTGGTCGAAGTCTTATAATTACTAATAATTTTCTTATTATTACTAATTTTATATAAACTTTTAAGCCCCTTGGAAAACGCGTTAAGTATCGAATCATTTAGTTGTCATTAAATCTATATATTAATACTTGAAGCAAAAACTTTGTGCCCCTTTTTACGAAAAGTTCGCGGATGGAGGAGTATGAAATTTGCAACACTTATAGAGAATGTAGAGAAGAAGTGCAGAATTTTATTAACTTTTTTTTAAACTATGAACATAAAATGCATTAAATCAATAAAAAAAAACATTACATACACTACCATATATTTGCCTTACACACGCATATAGGTACTTACTCTTTTGTTTATTGTTTTATCAATTTGTGGTCAAATTGAGAATAGATTAATATTGTTTGTCTTTAATATAATTTGTCTAAAGTGTAGTCTTAGCGAAGTCTCTTATTATAGAAGTATAGTCTGACAAATGAACTATTGTAATATTCAAACTTATAATTTAAATTAAATATGGTCTAATTTCGACCGCAGGGCGACCACTAGTTAATATTAAAGTGTATTCGATTTTTATCCGTTCATAGATTTTTTTTTTGTATTGCAGAAACTCAGTTCGTGAAGAAAACTGATTCCGCTTGTGTTTCGACGTCAAGATGTGTTTTTGCTGGTTCTACGTGCTGTGAACGAAACGGTAACTCTCTTAATTTCGGTTTCAAAATTAAATCTATATATTAATACGTGAAGCAAAAACTTTGTATACCTTTTTACGAAAATTGCGCGGACGGAGGAGTATGAAATTTTCCACGCTTATAGAGAATATAGAGAAGAAGTGCACAATGCAAATATTTTTCTAAAATAATGCATAAAAGATACATTAAATCAATAAAGAAAACATTACACACACTACATACCATGTATTTGACGCACACACGTATGCATACTATTTATTGTCAAACTTTTGTTCTTGACGTCTGTTGTCAAATTGAGATAGATTAAATATTGTTTGTCGTTATTAGTATTTTTTTATAGTGTAGCCTTGGCGAAATTTGTGATTATAGTATGTGTACAAACTTACAATTCCAATTTCATTATAGTCAAATTTCGACTACTGTGGGACCTCTAGTTAAAGATAATGAAGCCTACTAGTCCGTGATAAAAGTTCATTAAAAACACATTAATCGCGGGGCATACGTTCCGTGAATATGGAAAACGGCGTTTACAAAGGAGATTCGGTTGGATAGCTACATATTGGAATCATTTTTATCAATGTATATTATGTACCACTGTACCGATTAGATCCGCGAATAAAGAATGCTTTAGCCGCGAATACAGGAATTGCGTCGCATTTTTTTAAACGTGAAAGCGTGAATAAAGGAAGCGCGAATAAAGAGCTTTAACTGTATTTAATAAACATTACGTTGTTTTTTAAAGGTAACCTCGATTTTAATAAGTGCTTAAATGTTGGATCTGTAATTTTTTTTTAATGGCACCCAATATAAGTACACAGATCGTGAAGGATAGAAAGGCTTTTAACCAACTTTAAATAAAATAGACGTTCAATATGGGGCATGTGTTTTTTTTTACAGATTGTCTATTTGTTTATCGCAAGCCACGCTGCGTTATACATGATAAATCCAATGATACCGGTGTTCAAATCAACATTTTATCAGCAGGTAAAACGCTAAACAATTAGATGTAATACAACTTTTTTCCCGCTTTATCTTAAAGTTACGTGCTTTTTTTGTTTTTTTTTTTGCAGAACATTCGAAAGAATCTCTTCCAAACCATCGTTCAGTTGGCTTAGTGACTTCAAATGTTAATGAGACGGATAACAGTTTGAGATGGTCTGAAAGCCTCAAACGAAATGTCCTTCCACCGAGAGGTAGCTGCTTAAATTTAAATAACTATTTGAACATAAGTTATCCTTATAACTCTGCAACTAAGATTACTGCTACCATATTAGCGGGAAATCTACACTCAGAAATAAATAAGTCAATCACACTATTTTATAAACACAATGTTTTGTTAGTATACACTGTACCTATACAGTATATTATAATGTTAATTAACAAGAAATGCAGAAAAGGAAGCTAGGCACCAGGAGATAGTAATTATATTCCGAAGATATTATTTTTAAGTTAAACGTTAAATCACCGCGCGAGTGGTTGTCGACTGACATTGTTTGTAGTGACATCTGCGTGTTCGGGAATTCCGATTTCGCCCGAAGTCGCCTGAGTCCGACTTACATGTACCTTCTTTTTTTCCTTCCTAAGCTGATAGCCTTGAGAGGCTATGTCAGCGTAACCGGGAGAGTAGGTGAGCTCACGGGGCTCAAACCGGGAGTGTTGCTAACACTGGCCCTAGCAAGAGCAGTACTTCGCAGAATCTACCACCAGATTGGAAACGCGACCAACTGAGAAGATCCGGCGAGATACTCAGTGGGCTGTGTCTGTGGGTTAATTTACTCGTTGAGCCCTTCCTCGCAAGCGACGGGTTCGGCGCGGCGGTGACCTGTGCCTGAGGTACCTAAAAGCTTCGATGGATTGTGAGGATCCGTAATGATGTGCTTTGGGCGACGTCGACTGTTTACCATTCGGTCCACAGGATCGGGTAATTATTCCTTGTGCTAGTGTTGTTCGCTACAATATTCACTAGTACCTACTTACCTAATTACGTCAATTTAGGTATTATTAGATTTAAGTTTATAGATTAAGATTACGGGCAGCGGCAGAATAACAGCGATAGTTTCACAAAGCTGAGCCGCGGCGTTTTTATCTCTACTTTGTTAGTAGGTATAATATATTGTAATATTGTTTAGAATTAAATTTTTTATGTATATTATCTGAAAATTTATTTGTATTTGTATTGTGGAGTAAATAAATGCAATTATTATTATTATTATTACAGTTTACAAAGCATTGTATGAGACAGCGAAATTAATCTGGAACGAGGAGCCAAACGATTCGAGCGGTGAAACGAAAAAGAAACTATCGACAAAAACAGTCGACGTTGCGTATGGTTAGTTGTCGCGTCACGATTCACCAATAAGGCCAGGGACGAAGCGCACATAGGTACACGCGCGTCTTTAATCCAGTCACGGAGCGAGCGGGAACGCGTCGCGGAGAACAAATCGCTCTGCTATTGACGCTTTTCATGTTAACCTACGCGTGCTCGTGTTGTGGTATGGCGATATGTGATATTTGACAAGAGCAGATCGCGGCCGTGTTTTGTTTCCATCTACAGAGGGATCTAGGTTGTCTACCGTAGATACGATAAGATTTTTTTTTGTTTTTGGAACGAAGTTCCTTATGTGACGATGCGGAGGGGTGGGTACCCTAACCGGGAAAAAACGTCCGTAACGTAAGATTTTTATTAGTAATGCACACAGTGTACGACTTAACTTTGTAATAACGTAGAAATTGGTATAGCACACAGTGTAGGACTTAACTTTGTAATAACGTACAAAAAATAACATATTTTTTTATCATTCATTGACCACGATCTCAGCGCGTTCGTTTGCGCAATACACTAACTCTTATGCCGTTATAACCGTGAATGAAGTGTACCACAATAAGTTCGCACGTTACCGAATGACCGTGGGTTGTTGCGAAACCTCCAGTTTTATTTTCTTTATACCTCGAATTGAACTTAAAATTAATATAATAATAAGGAACTTCGTTCCTAGCCGGTGTCGCACGACACCACACATCTTTTTTTATTTCTTAGATGAGTGGACGAGCTCACAGCCCACCTGGTGTTAGTTAAGTGGTTACTGGAGCCCATAGACATCTACAACGTAAATGCGCCACCCACCTTGAGATATCAGTTCTAAGATCTCAAGTATAGTTACAACGGCTGCCCCACCCTTCAAACCGAAACGCATTACTGCTTCACGGCAGATTTAGGCGGGGTGGTGGTGGTACCCGCACGGACTCACAAGAGGCCCTACCACCAGAATACTCTGAGGCAACATTCCGAACGGTGCATTTTACATATAAACTACGAGTTTTTTTCCCCTTCCTATTCGCTGGTAGTCTAAGAGGCTAAACCTGAGAGTATTTACTAACACTGGCCCTAGCAAAAGCAGTGCTTCGCAGAAACTACCACTGGATTGGAATGTAAACTACGTGCCTCTGAAGTGTCCTCTCTTTTTATTGCCCTTGTAGGCAGACGAGCATACGGCCCATCTAATGGTGAGTGTTTACCGTCGCCCATGGATCTCAGCAATGCCAGGGGCAGAGCCAAGCCGCTGCCTACTGCAAATCTCCTCTAAGGGGGGGGGGGGGGGGCAGAATATTATGCCATGAGAAAATAAAGAAGAAGGCCACAATGATCGGTAAATAGCGTTATCGACAGCTTAAAGATAAATCTTTAGTTCTGTTAAAATGTATTTATTATTCCTATTCTTTTTGTTTTAAGCTATTGCATAGCTTTTATCGCGGGCTTTGAGCGCGGCGACCGAATCAAGAAACTCAGTAACGAAAATAAAGCCTAACACCCCCACTCCGCCTACCATGTAGCTCGCGATCAACAAATTCACACGTTGCGCTTGTGTAGTGTTTGTGAATAAGCGCGCGGCGTGACGTCGCACTGGATGCGCATCATGAAAAGTCCGCCCATCTCTCTCTCGCGCGGTCTAGCTTATGAGTGTGAAGGGGACAGTTAATGTTTTGCTTTTGTTAATGTTTACAAATATAGCTTGGTCTTATTTTATTATTGATTTAATATTAAATTATTATTGTCTAATTATAATTGCATAAGTTGGTAAAAAATGCTATGCAATAGCTTTACCGCGGCAGTCCTCGAGTGCCACACGTGTTTTTTTGTTTGGTTTTAAACTACCTACCTATATTTATTACTTAATCCTAATTGCATTTCACAATTTTAGAGTCATCACTGAAGAAACGTGCACTGAAAACGCGATCCGCTTGTGTTTACACTTCACTCATCGATCACTTCTTTATGCAGAGGGATTGTCTGGATCACTCGACCGATATGCGTTAGTGGAAGAAATGTTATTAAGTATAATAGGACTACTGAAGTTCACAAGCTCTTTATAGTTCGAATCAAAGTCTTTTCACTCCACTTAGTTTATTTAAATATTATAATAAATCAAAACAGAAAATTTTCGGGTGCACAAAAATAAAACTTAAATATGAGATCGCGTGATATTGAGACGTGGTGGCCGAGTTGAAATTGTGCGTGCGTTCGCCGTCAGATCGTGGCTCGACTAGTCGCTGCGACCGAGCGCAAGCGATTTTGTATTTTACAATACGAGTACTGAGTAGGTATCGTTCCTACACTACTAAATATAGGATATTATGCATTCGCGAAGCAGCTGCTCTTGAGCTTTAGGTCTCCTACGGGCGGGGTAGTTGTTAGCAAACCATACGCCCGTCCACCTATCCTGGTAAAACTTGCATTATTTGATAATCGCTTTTTTTACTAGTGGTAGGACGCATTGTGAGTCCGCACGGGTAAGTACCACCACCCTGCGTATTTCTGCCGTGAAGCAGCAATGCGTTTCGGTTTGAAGGATGGAGCAGCCGTTGTACTGTTAAAACGGAGAACCTTACAACTCATGTCTCAAGGTGGGTGGCGGCATTTACGTTATAAATGTCTATGGGCTCCGGTAACCACTTAACACCAGAAGGGCCGTGAGCTCATCCACCCATCTAAGCAAGAAAAATAAAATAAAAACACATATTAAAAATGCCAATTTTTTCCTGTTTCACTGTCGACGCGATCCTTAGGAGAAGACCTTGGTCTACGTTCTCCGGTTTTATTTTTCAGAATCGAATTTCATCGTAAGACCTGCAAAGAATAAGACAACACAAACATGTTCCGAATGCAAAGTGAAAATTTTGAACGATAATATTAAGTCTGGTCAGTTCCTTTTTATATCTATATGTATAGAAATTTCGAACTATTTTTTATAATATTATGAGAGAAATTTTAGAAAGTGGTCAATTGCTAATAAAAAATGTGTAAAAAAGATACCTAAGTAATAAAAATTTACAAATCGATTACGGCAAAGCGTCACGCCACGCCACGACAAGACAAGCGAACCGTGGTTTGTCTACCTACCAGCATAGAGAAACAATTTCGTGGAGGGTTGTTTTGGCTTGCGTTTGGAATAAATAGTTGAGTTTAACTACTAATGCTTGATAGTTGGGGGGAGGGTCACAAACGACACATCAGCATAGAGCCTCGACGTTGGAATGGATCTATCGATTAAGTCCCATGTGTCCCAACCCTATTTTCCGAGCTGGCGCTAATACAAGATATAATATGAACTATGATGTCAAGCCCTGTGTCGAGCAGTCAAATTTTAAATATCACTCACTATCAATGCAATATCACTAGAAACTACACTATTCAAATTAATATTGTGCCTCAATCTGAGAGCGTTGCCAAAGACCATTGATACTACATTTGACGAACCGGACATGATTACTTAGAAGCAAAAATAGGGAGGAGCCTAGCTATTCTTTAAGCACGCTTTAAAATCAGTCAGACCTAGCTTAATAATTTTTAAAAATCCAAACAGCGCCATCTAACGGAGCATTTCCGTACGAATTGCTGAATGCGGTGTTCATTGAAGCCTGCACTATGAAGCCAAGCGGCCGCCGGGAAATAGCCTGTCAGACCAACGAAAAAGCTGAAAGATTGGACAAGATTGCTTTACAATGTATTTTGTCGCCTGCACCTAGTTTGACTGACATTTGTAAGAGCGACAAACAACATTTGAAAGCGGTGTACAATATTTTGAGCGCCATCGAAGGTAGAATAAGGAGAATGAGAGCAAATTTATAGTGCACTTAGTTTGAATGATTTCTAATAGATGGCGCTTTACTAAAGAAAATGTTTTATTTTTCCAATAGATGACGCTTTACTAAAAAATGCATTGTCCTGAGTTTAGTTAAAAAATAAAACAATATCAGACGTTTTGTAATTGATTTTTTTGTTGTAATAATCGTAAAAATGTGCTTACAAACAAATATAATGCATATTAATGTCTATATTTTATATTTTGATTTAAAAAACAAGTAATCCATGTTTGTGCGATAAAATCAATAAAGATTCAATTCATATTTATCTTGTGAAACTAGGCACCTTAGATAGAGCCCTTAGATTTGACAATACCGCAGTAAAATAAATGCATATTGTAATTAAATTACAAATAATTCCTTTTATTAATAATATATCAACATTCAACTGAAAATAGTTATTTTTACTCATAATACACACGATTCGTCTTAGTAAAGTAAGACTTGCATTGAAAACTACAAATGAGATGAAATATTTACAGTAATTCGACATTTCTATGCGCAAGCCGACATTTCTGTGTGCAGAAGTATTTTTTTACATTCAATAAATTAATTTTGTAGTAATCAAAGGCTTTCTCAAACATAATCGAGATTTTTTTTAATTTAGAAAGGAATTTACTATTAGTTTTTTTTTATGCCCTGGTAACGTGACCTTTACGCCAAGTGTTATTTCTTCTTATATTCTCATATGAGGCAGTCAGCGCAAAAGTGTCCTAAGCTTATCATAGTTAGCATAGAGATAATGAGGTTGGAATTTACTTTTAGACTGCTTCGTAGGCAAAAACAATACGCGCAAAAATTATGTTTATAAAGCCATCTGTTCTCTATAGGTGAGACTATGGATAGGCCGGTTTTGCATCGACATTTATTATGTTTTAAATTAATTGCAATATATAAGCGCGAATATGAAAAATTGTGGGTTAGGCCGCTTTTGCACGGACGGTCTCGTATATAAAATTGACATGAAGCAAAATGAGATGAAGATGTTTAATATGAGAACTTAATCAATCAGAATGAAATTAAATCAATCGACATGGGATGGAACGAGATAAAGTATCAGTAAAATTGTGGTTATTTTGTCTGTGGACGTTTTGGAAGAAACCTAGATGTCAAATCCAGCGGCTTTGTTGTATTTCCTCACGTTTGGGCAGTTTCAATTCACAGAACTTCACTCCTCTCATCAATATGTCTTACGTTACAACTGACTTCAAATATACATTTAGATTGTTTACAATTTACGAAAATAATAACGGATTTTTTTTCATACACAAAAGATCTTTGCGAATAAGAATATATTTTTTAAACATAAATGATACACGTCACATCAATAACGTTATGAAGCATTTTACATATGTACACATTCAATATAGAACTATAAATGGAACATTTTAAAATATATCGTAAAAATTAAAATTTATTAACACTATTTTAGAAGAAAATTTCTTTCATTTAAAAACTAAAGCATACACTTCGATAACTGATAATAATAATAATTTGTTTAAAAAGGAAGCTGAAAAAAAAGAGCTGATCTTGTCAATTTTTCCTTTTTTTACCTTCAATGGCCAACGAGCTTACCGTCCATGTGATTGAGAGCTCATGGACATCAACAATAGGCAAGGGGCTGTCTCCTGTTGCTGCCACCTCACCGCCTGTTATCGTCGCAGAGTTCTCGAAGGACTCATTCCAGGATTTCCCCTGAGCGGTATTGAGCTTGGTTTGAAAATTTCTCAGCTGCAGACAGCGTCTTGACTACGCCGATGGCATTCACAATGTCCATGATCAACGCTCAGACGGACCGTAAACTCATTTGTCTCGAAAGGCAAACAATAATCCTTAATACAATCTATACATTCAGTCAGCAAGTTCCCTGTTCGCACATCGGTAGCAAAGTTTAATATCTATAAACGACATTTGGACTCCTTAGAGGTCCACCCCTTGTCCGTGGATGGGGGACGTCTGGGGGACGCTAGGGGGACGCATGGGGGACGCGTGGGGGGCGCGCGGGGGACGCGTGGGGGACGCCTAGTCGCGTAGGTACAATACCAGTGTATTCGAGAACAGAGTGACGTCTATAGATAGTAAAGCTTTTATAAAACGCGCACCGCTCGCTCGCCAAGCGACTTTCGACCCTGATACGTCAAGTTTCTTCACACATACGGTTCATTTTGGCACACTAATACTTCGTTTCCACAGCCATTTTTGTTTTCGCACCAGAAGCTTGGTGTTGCCTGAAAAAAAAAACAATACATTTAGATTTAGCAACCTGTTTTTTTAACATATTTTTTTTAATCAATCGATATGAATGGGAATAAAATGTAATAATTTCATAATATATGTTAAATGTTGCCAAATTCGAACAAAAGAACAGAAATGGCAATTTTGGAAAAAATATGAGTAAAAATGATCTGGTTGAACGCTCCGGGGCTCATCTGTTCGCTTCAGAGCATTGTGTACCTATCCGCGCGGACTCACAAGACGTTCTACCACCAGTTATTACGCAAATCATAATTTTGCGGGTTTTGAATTTTATTACACGATTCACCGTGGAAGTCAATCGTGAACGTTTGTCAAGTACGTATTTAATTCGAAAAATTGGTACGCGCCTAAGATTCGAACACCGGTGCATCGCTACATACTGTTAGGCCAGTAAGAGTAACGCTATATATCGCCGAATAGTCGAACGAATATCCAAGGATCTAGTAGCACCTAGAAGCCTTGGGAAGTACAACGCCATCTATTATCAGATGGTGGAAACTACTACTAGAGATGTGTGGAATATTCTCGATAATTCTAGAGATGTGGTATCGGCTATAAAAGCGTTGCAGGGATGGTACGCAGTCAGTCAGTAATCGGAACTGCTCGAAGCGAAACGGAACATACGAATTGAGAGTTTTAAAGTGTTTGTGAAGTGTTTAAGTGTTGAATACAGTTTTTTAGTTGTACTTTGGTGGAATTTTATTTATCCCGAACTCCAGCGCGTAACAATACGAATGCATGCACCGGACGTCTTATCCTGTAGGCCGCGACTGCACGTGCTGTATATAAGTGGCACCGACCCTCACGCGAGCGAGCGCGGCGTGAACACGTGCACGAGCGAGTCCCAGCCGCAGTCGGCGAGCTGGTGCGGGCGCAGCGGGCTCCACGCCAGCCCGTACGTGAACTCCGAGTGGTGCCGGATCGTCTCCAGGGGGTCGCAGCCGCGCTTCAGGTCCCAGATCCTGTTCAACATTTATCGAAGTGAAACTTATTTAGAATCGTTGTGGTTTCAAATTCGATGAAACGAAAAAATAAGTCCACAGAGACACAAACACATAAATGTATAGGATTCAGCCGGCGAGAGAATGAGATAGAACACATTATACGTGAAGTTAAAATATCAATTCACAGAGGGCGCTACCTCATACTATAAAAGATGATTTAGAATTATTTACTAATGACAATTTACATATACTTATACATTTAGGGTAATTGTATTTTAATTTTTGGTTTAGGTTTCACTTCTACCACGTGTGAATTGCACACATGTTTTTTTTTTTTTTTATCTAAATTGTACTAATAAAAAACTGAAGCTGATTTGTTTGAATAAATGCGCAATGTAAAGCAAAGTAGAATTCTCATATACTTGGGCCATTACAAACGTGAAAGGAATGTGACAATGCCGCGTAACTCGATATCGATAAAGAGATGCCGCTGGGGTCAGATAGTCAGATGACGTTGATAACTGGTACATGTAAATTGTAAGTTGTAGGTGTTTTTAAATTTTTTGTTAGATATCATTAGACAATCCTACGCGAACCATGGAAGCATTATTCGATAACTGTAAATAACGTTTTTTTTTGAAGTGAAAACTTCTTTAGAATCGTTGTGATTTCAAACCGGATGCAACGGAAAAAACGACAGGTAAGAGACATAAATACAAAAATGTGTAGGATGAAGCCAGCAAAGAATGAGACAGAAATATACATACTATTTAATACAGCGCCATCTGTGAGATTTTTTAATACTAACGTGTGTATGAAAGCTCTTGTAGTGAATTTTAANACTATTTAATACAGCGCCATCTGTGAGATTTTTTAATACTAACGTGTGTATGAAAGCTCTTGTAGTGAATTTTAATTTAGGATTATACGTGAAATTAAAATATCAATTCACAGAGGGCGCTACCTTACAATTATTTACTAATGACAAAATTTTACATATACTTAAGACGTTTAGGATAATTGTATTTTAATTTTAGAAGGTAATTCTACCACGTGTGAATTGCACACATTTTGGTTTTTTTTATTTTCTTGTAGTGATATTGATTTAAGTTTTATACGCACAACACTAGAAGTGTGATCGATAGATTATAAGTGTGAGCGAGTGGTCTGATAAAAAAGCATTATGACTCAGTTCGCACGTTTATAATGGCCCAAGTATAATAGCCGAATTCTCAGTGTTGGTAAAAAATTAAGCGTGTTTTGAATAAATGCGCAATGTAAAGCAAAATAGAATTTCCAAAGGATTACAATAGCATGTACTCGTATATGTTGCGAGGTCACTCACCTCGTGGTGAAGTCGTACGAGACGGCGGCCAGCACGGAGGGCGAGTGCGGCGAGAACTGCACCCGCCGCACAGCACACTCGCACCCTGCACGCAAAACCCAGAGCTAATATCCGCGTCATCAGTGTGCTTAGTGCGAGTTTTTTAACGTTCTCGATAGCGTAAAAGTTAACTCTAATTTGTATGCAGCTGGAACAGCGCCCCTAGCGGCAAACGTAAACAAACGTTCCAACTCCACACAGTTAACTTTTACGCTATCGAGAACGTTAAAAAACTCGCACTAATCACGCTGATTCCAAATTAAGTGTCCCTGTGTTATGGGTACCAGAACATATAACATACCTATATACGCTTTTTTAAGGAAATACATATATAGATGATAAACAGCCAGACAAAGAGCAAACAAATTTGTTCATCACAGAAATGTTTGCCAGATGTGAGCATCGAACCCACGACCCTCGGCGCAACACTCAGGATCACTGACTACCGCACCACCGAATCAGTCAATTTAGGTTGAGTAAATTTTGAATTCATCCTACCTACTTCGGCCAGACTAAGCTGTCTACCTTCACGCACGTACCTTTTAATGTGAACATCGGCGAGGTCAGTCTCCTGAGGTCCCAGCCCCGGACGAGCCCGTCGGAGCCGGCTGTCGCGAGCGCGTGCGTCTCGGTACTGCTCCAATCGCACGACAGCACCTATCACCGCGGGCATAAGGTTCAATTCGGTGCCGACACTACTATGACCCATGACAGAGCACGATATCAGATTTATTTTTTTAAGATCGTCGAGCTCATCGATGAGCCATTCGAAGCGTTAAAAATTTTTAAATGAAAATAATAAACGCTTTATTAGGCTGTAGACCTGTGAGTTTAGAGCGAGTTTCTTAACGTTCTCGATAGCGTAAAGTTAGCTCAAATTTGTATGGAGTTGAAACGTTTGCCTAGGTTTGCCGCGAGAGGCGCTGAACACTCGCACTAAGCACACTGGCGACGGTCGGACCCGTCCGTCTGAGAATCGTGGTCATCATTGGACCGTCCACACTGATTGCAGACGATCCTTGGCGATTCCCACCATCGGACTGAAATGTACCTACGACTCGCGAAAAACCCAAGAAAATATTAGAAATGCCTGTTTTACTCTCGATTACTATTTCTGCCGCAAATCTATCTCTTCTTCTTCTTCACCTTATCCCACTAGGTGAGGTCGACACAACAAAATTTTCTCTTTCGTTCTCTTCTATCAGCCGTCATCTCAACACTCACTCCTCTCTCTCTCTCATATTGTCATTCACACACTCCATCCATGTCTTCTTCGGTCGACCTCTTCCCCCTCTACCTTGCACTACCATTTCGATACATCTCCTAGTCACATGCATCTTCTCTCTACGCATCACATCGTCTTTTCTCATTAAAAGTGTACAATTTCCAAAAATATTCGAAATTGAATATGCGGAATCATTTGGTAGTATTTTTCTAATAAATACTGTCAAAAGAGCGTAGTTTAGTTTTAGTTCTTTTTTTTTTTAGTTTACCCATGTTTTGACTACTATTAACAAAATTAATACATAATTTTATCTTACTTTAAAAGANGTTTTAGTTCTTTTTTTTTTAGTTTACCCATGTTTTGACTACTATTAACAAAATTAATACATAATTTTATCTTACTTTAAAAGATTGATAATGTAACTGGTACAAAATAAAAAATAAATGTTGCAAAGATGATTAATATTAAAAATATCACATGTTAAGCCTTTAAAACACTCTCCTGTAAAATTAGGAAGTTTTGAGATTATACAGTTTTAATGCAAGAAGACGACATGTCCATACCACGCTAACCGTCCGCTTTCTGTCGCAAATCCATGTATGGTCAAAATAAGAATGATCCCATTGAAAAAACAAGGAAACCCACTTACCTCAGCATCGTGAGCCTTGACGACAGCAGCAGGCCTCACGGACTCGCTGCAGGCCCATAGTTTGAGGTGTCCGTCCCCGGAGACCGAAGCGAAAGTGGCCGGCGAATGGGGAGAGAACACCGCCGTGTACACCAGCTGCGAATGACCCGTGAACGTGCTGAGACACGTTTCTGACTCGGGGTCCCACTGTAATGGTTAGTAAACGAAATGTCATCGTTCTCGTCGAACCCGTCGCTTGTGACGAAGGGCTCGGCGAGTAAATTAACCCATAGACACAGCCCACTGAGTTTCTCGCCGGATCTTATCAGTGGGTCGCATTTCCGATCCGGTGGTAGAGTTTGCAAAGCACGACGCTTGCTATGGTTCGTGTTAGCAGCATCGAGGTTTAAGCCTCATGAGCTCACCTACTAGCCCGGTGAAATTAATATGGTCCACTAGACCAGCAGCTTAGGTAGAAAAAAAAACAAGAACGAAATGAGAACACATTGAAATAAATTTACATATAAAAACACAAAGCCTCACATTTCATCGTCAAATTAGACTATAGCGGTGTAGAAAATCTGCAGACAGATCTCAGATTTCCTGAGGAAAGATATACTTAGCATGTGTTCACGAATAACTTCATGATGATTACAATCATCGGTTATCCACTGACCACTGTATGGACTGTGAATTTGTTTGCGTATATTCGTATAATAAAAAAATAAAAAAATATCAGTCTGGCAGTTTTAGTGGGGCAAACATTTGCATGTCAGCCTACTAAATGTAATTCTAATAACTGACAACTAAATTGTTCAAATGATACCTGAACACAGATAAGACGAAAGTTCTTTTTCTTATTGATTCTACACACTATGGATAAAAAGTCAGGTTCCTATGCCAAATATTAAGAAATAAACAAAATTATGGCCTATTTGAAGATTTATCTATCATCTCTTTCTATCCTAGCAAAATGAATCAAGCACTCAGTTATTCCGTTAATGTGAAATAACATGTTACAAAATTTACCATTGAGAAAAGTTTTAAATATATGCTCACAAGTTTGACGGTTGTATCCCAACTGGCGCTCAGCAAATGGCCTCTGGGCCAATCAACGGAACACACTTCACTGGTATGCGCCCGGAGAACTCTCAAAGGAGCTGCACAACCGACCCTCCAAACAATCACTGTGCCATCTCCGGCCCCACAGGCAGCCGTATTGTCCGAGCTGCCTGACCAAGTCTGGAAAAGAAACATGTAGCATGTTGTCTCACAATATTTCTAACATTTTCGGAAATCACAGTAGATCACAGTGATCATAAAACCATTTTTTATTTTATTTTTATTGCCCTTGTAGGCAGACGAGCATACGGCCCACCTGATGGTGAGTGGTTACCGTCGCCCATGGACTTCAGCAATACCGGGGGAGAGCCAAGTCACTGCCTACCGCTATCAACTCTGCCTCTCAACGATTTATGAGTAGGTATCCATTCTCTCCATTTGAGTATTCATATGAGTATTCATTTTTGTAATGAAACGAAATGGTTGCTTCACCTTCACACCTTTCCAGTTGTACTTGCAATTTGAAATATTGTAACATCAAAATTACAGTAAAAAATCTCAAATGTAATTAAATAAATAGCAGCCTGCAAAAGTGAAGATCCCGCTATGATTTCCTAATAACAATCGGGACAGAAGTATATATGCGCATACTTTGTTGTAACATTAGGATATAACCAAAAAAATAAAAAATAAATTTTTGTAGTACAATAAAGTTAATAATTTAAAGATATGTTGTTATGTTTTTTTTTTAAGAAAACAGATTTGAAAATAATTCAAAATTCTCGACCACATCATGCTACTCTGCCATGGACTATATATACCTGAAGTAATAAGATTTAAATCTATCAAATCGTAAAAGAATAAGACGTTCAAAAAATTATTTTCAGGTACTTTTAGATTAATTGATCTAAATCAATGTGTTATGTCAACACTAAAAGCTTTAAATCTATAATAAATTAATTGAACAAAACTTAAAGCTCGAGCTTAATGAGAACTTTGCAATATTTCAGAATTAATGTTAAAATTAGTCAAGCAAAACACCCCTTTTAAACATAACAAACAAGGGTGATTTTATCTTATACATAACTCAAATTAACCTTTCTTCAAGTAATTTTACCGCTATCTAAATGTATTATATGTGATCCTGTTAGTGGCAATGAAAACAATTTTACACGTAAGTGACTTACATGGCTTCCTCGTGTGACCGTTAATGTGTTTGTGAAACTAGTATCATTCATTAATCTAAGATTCATTCTTTGGCGAAACAAACTAAGTCTAATTTTTTTTCATTTTAGATTTGATTGCATTTTCTTAATTTTGAAAATGATTGAAGAAAGTTTATCTATTGGTCATAATATAGCATAGTAACACAGATAGGTACTTTCCTGCCTAAACTGCTACAGAGTAGGCAACAATAATATAATTGAAACTTTATGCTGTTGTCTCAGGGTACATTATTCAGAATATTAATTCAAAGGCCCCGATAACCATTAAGCAAGAGAGGTAAGCCATCATCAGATGAACTTATCCAACACAATAAAAATTTACATCCTTCATTTTTTTATTTCTGATTTAATATTTGAATTTCGAATCTATCCACTATATTTGGTCATGTGGAATAGGTCTTAAAATGTAGAAAACAAAAAACTTAGTTCTGTTTCAGTTCAAAATGGCAATCAGCTTCTTGCCATGTCAGAATTGCCCTTGTCAAGTTTAAGATTCAATTCTTATTTTTATAGAAAAAACTGTAAGCAGGTACTTACTTAAAAAATAAGGTATTATTTGTTGAACTTCTATGGTGTGGATGAATGATACACTTACAATTTCCTTAAGATACTATGGATTAAAAGATTAAAATTCCTTATTTATTCACTTGAAATTTCTGTTAAGCTATTTACCACATCGAAAAGTCCATCGCTCCACTCTAATTTCTGAACTTCGATCAAGGTCCCGCCATCAGGAGCAAGCTCTAAGAAGAACAAGGTTCCTCCGCCTGCCAATCCGTAATACTGGCTGGTGGCAACTGCCAGTGCATCAGGCCGAGTCCGAGAGAACCTGACGCTATATCCANTTATTTATTCACTTGAAATTTCTGTTAAGCTATTTACCACATCGAAAAGTCCATCGCTCCACTCTAATTTCTGAACTTCGATCAAGGTCCCGCCATCAGGAGCAAGCTCTAAGAAGAACAAGGTTCCTCCGCCTGCCAATCCGTAATACTGGCTGGTGGCAACTGCCAGTGCATCAGGCCGAGTCCGAGAGAACCTGACGCTATATCCATGACGACCAGGCGTCAGAAATGTTGGCATGCTGAGAGTATAGCTAAACAAAAATTTATTAAATAAAAAATGATTCTGTTTTTTTATATTTAAATAATAATAACTTACTTTTACTATTTTACATTGTTCACCCTATTCATAGCAATCGTATTGGTTTTCTATCGAATTCTAATAAGTACTTTTATTGCTCTCATAAATGTTAAATAAAATTAAATAGTTCAAATCGAAACATAACCTTTTGATTCTGTTCTTGTCAAACAAAACGTCATTTGAGTGACGTACTCTTCGTTTGGGAAGTGTTGGGGTAACATTATCGATTAGGAAAGAGTATGCGTCAATGATAATCTTGTTAGATCGCTTACAGTTAAAATCCAATTAGTACTACTTATATCTGCATGAAACCTAACATTACCGGTATAAATAAGCTGGAATTTCCTATACCACTCATTTCTGGTGACAGCTTCAAACAATACATTCCACTACTTAATAAATTCTAGTCAATCCCATAATTCAATCTTTTATACGTTTTCAATTCATTTTACATTTATTTATTTTATCTCATCTCTTATTCAATACAAAATGTTAGATCTTATATCTCTGGTGTTGGTAGTTGCTGTTAAAGTGTTTAAGAAAACAACTCCAAATGGAAAAGTCACGGTTTACCTTGGCAAGCGCGACTTCATTGATCATGTGGATTATTGCGATCCTGTCGATGGAGTAGTGGTCGTTGACACCGAATATCTGAAAGGCAGAAAAGTTTATAGTCAGGTACAAAAAAGTGCAATGTGTTCTGTGCAGTGCTAAAATTTCGTTCGTGCTTATTAATTGGATGGATTTTCTATCATGCAGTTGGTGACAACATACCGCTACGGTAGAGAGGAAGATGAAGTGATGGGAGTGAAATTTTCCAAGGAAATGGTGATTGGACAAGAACAAGTCGTGCCTCTGGTCAATTCCAAAATGGAACTAACACCTGTCCAAGAAAAGTTGCTTAAGAAACTTGGTCCTAATGCTTATCCTTTCACTTTTAATTTCCCTGAAATGGCACCCAGCTCGGTAAGTTTAAAAGTATAAAGAAAAAGATTGGGCATAAATTAAACAAACAGTTCTTTGTTAATTTACAAATCTAATTCGGATAGGTGACACTGCAACCTGCTGAAGAAGATCAAGGCAAACCAATGGGCGTAGATTACTCCGTGAGAACGTATGTTGCCGAGCAAGAAGACCAGAAAAGTCATAAGAGGAGCTCCGTGACTCTCGCTATTAAAAAAGTATTTGTCTAACATGAAACAAAATAAAAGATTGTTATTTTTCAAATGATTTAAGCTGATTCACTTTATTTATTTCAGTTACAACACGCTCCGATAACTCGCGGACGTCGCCTTCCAAGCTCGCTNGATTACTCCGTGAGAACGTATGTTGCCGAGCAAGAAGACCAGAAAAGTCATAAGAGGAGCTCCGTGACTCTCGCTATTAAAAAAGTATTTGTCTAACATGAAACAAAATAAAAGATTGTTATTTTTCAAATGATTTAAGCTGATTCACTTTATTTATTTCAGTTACAACACGCTCCGATAACTCGCGGACGTCGCCTTCCAAGCTCGCTGGTCAGCAAAGGATTCACCTTCAGCAATGGCAAGATTAATCTCGAAGTAACTCTGGATCGTGAAATTTACTATCATGGAGAGAAAATTGCAGCTAACGTGATCGTTTCCAACAACTCAAGAAAATCCGTCCGTAACATTAGATGTATGGTTGTGCAGCATGTCGAAATTACGATGATCAACTCTCAATTCAGCCGCCATGTCGCTTCTCTTGAGAGTCGTGAAGGATGCCCCGTGACACCTGGAGCTAGCCTATCTAAGACTTTCTACATGGTACCTTTGGCTCGTAACAGCAAGGATGTCCGCGGTACAGAATATTAATAATTTCAGAAAATCACTTGCGATAGCGGCTTCATTGGATTGAACTAATTCGTAATTATTTTCAAAATTTTTGCAGGTGTGGCCCTGGATGGCCATCTCAAAGAAGACGACGTGAACTTGGCTAGTTCGACTCTTGTTGCTGAAGGTAAATGTCCTGCTGACGCCATTGGTATCGTGGTGTCTTACTCTGTGCGAGTGAAGTTGAACTGTGGAACTCTTGGAGGAGAACTGGTTACTGATGTGCCATTCAAACTGCTGCATCCTGCTGAAGGTAACCATAGAATCAATTATGAAAAATAGTACTAGCTACATGAAACTAGCTTAAATTACTGTAATTTTACAGGCACTGTTGAGCGTCAACGTTTCAATGCAATGAAGAAGATGCAGTCTATTGAGAGACATCGCTATGAAAATACTCTTTACACTAATGAAGAGGAAGACAACATTGTTTTCGAGGATTTTGCTCGTCTTCGAATGAATGAACCCGAATAAATATGCGAAGGCTAAATTTAAAGCCGCATCCCTTCATGCCATCGATAATCCACAATCGATTTTCACAAACCACTAGTCATTACACAATTATTATTTATCATTTCATACCAAAATATTCCCTATTTATCAAAAAAATCCATACATTTATCAAATAATATAAAGTATTTGATCTTTCAAATTTGAATAGCTATGTCTAAATCAGTAATCGCTTTAGTAAAAATACTATCTATTTTAATAAAAATATTATCTATTTATTAAAAAAATCTTACCTTTATTGTATGTCCCAACTATTTAAAAATAAAAATCACAAGAAAAACGGGTTATAATTTCACATAAAATCCTAACAACCTCAATTCAAGGACGAACTAGCGACTACTGTATCTAACACGATACTGATAACATGATTGCGTTTAGCGTATTCAACACAACATTTGCATACGCCTTTGTTACATCGATTAAGAATGGGGATGTGTCGCCGCCCTATCCGAGACATTTAGATCTTTTGTCCGGTCGAAATGTAGAGGGTAAGAAATGATAAGTCGTAACTACGTGTGATAGTAACCACATTTTATGGACTTAGAGTGTACTTAAATGGACAATAGAGTTCAGCTTTGACTAGTGTTACACTAAGGCCAGAATCATAGACATCAGAATCTAAATACGACCATCCTAACATTCAAACTAGAAACGAAAACTGCAATACAGCTTTTTTTTTATTGCTTAGATGGGTGGACCAGCTCGCAGCCCACCTGGTGTTAAGTGGTTACGGGAGCCCATAGACATTTACAACGTAAATGCGCCACCCACCTTGAGATAGAAGTTCAAAGGTCTCAGTATAGTTACAATGGCTGCCTTACCCTTCAAACCGAAACGCATTACTGCTTCACGGTAGAAATAGGCGGGGTGGTGGTACCTACCCGTGCGGACTCACAAGAGGTCCTCCCACCTGTGATCTTCGAGCGGTCGTAGCGATGCGATCATGAACCCACAAAATAGTTAGACTGTAATAAATAATATTAATATTTCTTAGTACTAGCCTTTTTGCTAAATAAAAACTGCGAAGGTACAGGACCTTCGAAGTTATCAATCAATAAATAACTAAATGCCAGTAGGTACCTACCAAAGTCAACGGCTAAGGTAAATTACTGAATATCTTTTTAAATTTCACTTGAAAAAGATATTAACATTTGCAGGGTAGTCTGATGAAACTATTGCGACCTTTGACAGCGAAAATAAAATTTTATTCTGGTCCACAGGAAAACCTAATTTATTTACACTGAAAAATAATTATAAACAAAATACGTTCTAGTATAGTCTATACGAACACAATCATTAGATAACAATAGTAAACTAGTGGTTCCCCAGTAGTCGAAATTCAACAATAATTAATTTCATAATTTAAAAAAAAATGGTATCCATGGTATTCATGTAGAAAATACGTGTAGGTACTTAATGGATAGGCTAATATTTATATGAGTGTTGGACTCCCTAATAATAATGAATGACTATAAATAATGATGTTAATTTTAAATGCCCTGCGACGCGCCCAGTACCGCTAGTATTGTCTATAAGTGTGGGAAACATACTTCTCTGTCCGCGCAATTTTCGTAAAAAAGGGAAAAAAGTTTTTGCTTCGCGTATTAATATTATTATATATATTGTTTATAACTCACGACAACTAAGAAAACTTTCTCACAGATCGGAAGTGTCCAAACCAGTTCCGCGGACAATGGACGCGGAAGACACTGTCCTGTAGGTACTCGCACAATTCATTCGCGAAGGGTTCGTCCTCAAACCAGTTTGACCGCTTACCGACGTGGGAACAACTGTCAGTGGAATGACCCTTTATTTGCATGTATCGCAATTTTAGCCGATACACACGGTCGTGCAGTTTATACAATCGTTTACGAATTTATTTATTTTTTATTGATTTATGTACACACAGAAAACAAGACATAGTACAGAGTAATAGGAAAAATATGTACAAAGGCACTGCTTATTTCTTTAAGAAATCTCTTCCAGCAGACCTGCGAGAGGATAATTAGAATAATAATAAAAAGTGATGAGTGTGTGTAGAACAAATAACACGTAACTAAAATAACAAATACAACATGAGAATTATAGTAATGCACATACACACAATTATTTTTAGCAGATATTTAATTAATAGCACTAGGTAGGTAATAAATAACATTGTCCAAAATATTAATAAAGTTAGCATTGCTAAACTGTCAACGCATTATACATTAGGTACGGATTTGTCACGTATACGGGAAGAAGTAGGCCCGCCTGTCGGATTAATACGAATTTTTTAACGTTCTCGATAGCGTAAAAGTTAACTCAAATTTGTATGGAGTTGGAACTTTTGCCTACGTTTGCCGATAGGGGCGCTGATCCAGCTGCATTCAATTTGAGTTAACTTTTACGCTATCGAGAACGTTAAAAACTCGCACTAAGCTGACAGGCCTCTTATTCTCTAGGCCACGAACGACTTTTAATTCATAATATGCGATCATTATCATCAAAAACATTATTTCCATCAAAAAAACAGAACAAACTATTCTATACCAATAAATTTATTTTAACACCACTTACAATCACACTTGATCAATCGAGCAATTAAAAAAAATACAAAAAAATCATGACACAACTTAAAATGGACCCCAATCTTTTTTTTCATCTAAGTCGCGTGCCATTTTTGCATCTCTATAGAGCAACACAATAGGGGAGGGGATGTGTTCAAAGATTATTTTTCAAGCGTTGTTACCAAACAATAGTACCTGCATCTCTGTTAGATTATTGTATTTTTACATTTACATCTCATTATATTATGTTCTATTCATAATCTTTCTCTATAAATAACATTAAATAAAACTAATTTAGGCAAAATAATCCATCCTGAATACGATGAAGCTATCTATCCACACAGTTTTATATTAACGATGACCAGCTGGATCATATAATTTAATTTGTCATACTAATGAAATACATACGAGAATACACACACACACACACAAAAAGAAATTTAAAGTTTAAAATTTAATCCCTTCAAGAGATAACATAATAATGAATCATTCCAAATAAAATTTAAGTTCACATAATTTTACCATTAACAAATACATATTTGTTCGTCACGTCACAGCTCTGAAGAACTGCTAAAAGTTGGTAAGATAACACCCCTGTCTTTTAAAACCCTCCCTTAAATAATAGTTATTATTGTGACCCAAAGGCCAACGTACTTGCTTTATTGTCAGGTCGCGATAACAATCTCAGGGTCGAATGTCCAGGTCAATTCCCACGTCCCTTGTCCAAACAGGTTTCAAACCGAAAACTAAAGTTACCGTTGCTAACTGTCTGCTTAGAGTATAAAAAACGTGGTGTTTTATATCTTATTATTAATGTTAATGGTAATGTCAATTCGTTTATAGTTTGTTAGCAACTAATATTAATAATAGATATTCGGTTTACTACGATCTGAGTATTGTTTTCGAGTATGTCTCGTTAATATTGGGCACATATATAATGACAAAATAAATTCAAGATTATGAATTTAACAGAAAATTTTAATAGTTTTTTTCTAATTATTATATATATTATATATATTATGATATATAATAAAAAAATACTCAAAAGACGCTGTGTTTCAGTTAAACCTGACCTAATCAATCAACATAAACAAACATATTTATTAAACAATAGAGAAGTTAGAAAACTTTCTCACAGTTCGGAAATGTCCAAACCAGTTCCGCGGACAATGGACGCGGAAGACACTGTCCTGCCCTCGCATGGTAATACACTATACTCCGCAAAGGGTTCGTCCTTAAACCAGTCTGACCGCTTATCGCCGTGAGAACAACTGTTAGTGGAGTGACCCTTTATTGGCATGTTTCGCTTTTTCTTGTCAGTAATAGTTATGCCTATGATTTTTTTGCACTTCTTAAAGACAATTTTTTGAAAATTTAGCATTACATTTGTAATTACCCGCAACTATACGTCAAATTAAAGTCCTAGCTTAACATTATCGAGCATTGGTACGCTATTTATTACTATAATCAAGATTAATAAAAAAGTCGTAGAAAAAATTTAAATTTGGTTACAATCATTTTTAAGGTTATTTTAATTAAATATCTACTCTTCCATCAGCGTTTAAAAGTTTGCTATCATTAAAATATGAAACTGCGAATTTAGCATTAAACTCAAATTCAGCTATTATAAAAATCCCATACGAACTTTACATTCGTATGTCAGAGAAATCAACGCCCTTTAGAACAAGTGTACCTAATCCCTACGAACTGTCTATGACAGTTAAATCGCAGGGGCAAGGGTACTTTCTCACGAATTGTGGTCAAACTGGTTTGTCTTGAAAAGGTAACTGTCGGACGGTAATATCCTTTGACCGATTTGTGACGTGCCGATTTCGACGGCGGACGGTTTAGTGAGTAATGTTGTCGCAGATGGGCAGGAAATCTCACGGGCTACTTCCTATTATCTGGTTAGCAGATCTTAAGGTAGACACTGTTTTTAGTTCATAGAGATTCACGCCGGATCTTCTCAGTGGGTCACGATTCCGATCCGGTAGTAGATTCAGCGAAGCACTCATCTTGCTAGGGCTAGTGTTAGAAATTCTCTGAGGTTGTGCCCGTGAACTCACCTAACGATCCGCGCAAAGTTGGAATAGCTTCTTAGGCTACCAACGATTAAGTAGGGAAAAAAAAAGTAGACTGACTGTCTAGTCAGCCAGGGAGTGCACTGAGGAATTGTTTGAGATGATACCATCATCTCGTTTCTACCATCGCACCGCCCGCCACCGGAGTAGAGTTCATCATACTACCTCGAGCCACTGCGGTCATCCACAGTGCGTTTCCAGAGGTCTTTTTTGCCACGTATCATTCGGCTATGGAATGAGCTCCCCTCCACGGTGTTTCCCGAGCGTTATATTCTTCTTCAAACGAAGCTTGGCTCTGCCCCTGGCATTGCTGAATTCCATGGGCGACGATAACCACTTACTATCAGGTGGGCGTATGCTCATCTGCCTACAAGGGAAATAAAAAAAAAGCCTAAGTTAATATCTTAAACGCTTATCTGTTCTGCCATGCTCTGATTTGACACGAAATTTTACTGCGATTTTGCTACGTCAAAAAACTTATCGCTTTATTATGTACTAGCGGCTTGCTCCGGCTCCGCTCGGGTCTTTAACAAAAAATTCAACGATATTTGACGTTGTTTTATTTTTTTAAATAAAAGAACACTTATTGCGGCATAACTACAATAGTTGGACAAATGCTGTCTCGACACTTTTTGTAATTAACAATGTATTCTACAAAGTCGTAGTACATTATTTTATTCTATCATCAAGAGTTTTCGCAGAGCACGCGATGTAAAGAATATTTTAGGTAATTTTTTACACCTTGGGTTACATTATTGGAGTTTTATTAAAGATCCCTAATTTTTTTCAAAAAATATTATAGCCTATGTCACTCGGGAATAGTGTAGCTTCCAAACAGTTAAAGGATTTTTCAAATCGGTTCAGTAGTTTCCGAGCCTATTCAATACAAACAAACAAACAAATCTTTCCTCTTTATAATATCAGTATACCTATAGATTTAATGCATTTACTACAGAGAAGTGAATGTCAATAAACAATTTCAACTTGACCAATTCCGTTGGTGAATGTTCTGTATAAATGGGGACATAAGATTTTTCACAGTCGGTCTAACACATTGTTCCCACAATGCCTAGCGGTGACCTATAGCATTTCTACTACTAATTTTATTAGTAACGGTTAATATTTGAAGGCGTATCGTGCGCATGTTATGATTTGCAAAAAAATTATGCCTAATTTAGTTAGAGTATCGTATGCTGTTGTATTTATGAATGTATGTATCTTATTGCCTATGGTAGACGACCTGGTTACCGTCGGTCATAGTCAATGGCGATGCCAAGGAACTGGGCGTAAAACAGAGGCACTGACGCCTAGAATGGCAAATTTCTAAATTTACCATTTTCTATATTAATTATTGGTGTACGTATAACAAACTATAACATACGTGGGTTCAATTATGGTGAATATGAAATATATTTGAAGATAATTAGATGCAACTATTTTGCGATAGAAATATGCAGGACACTCGTATCTGTCTAAGCTCATAAAATGCAATACCGCCTGCGAAGAAACTTTAAAATTTTATGTAAAATCCACTACATCTGGAGTCCATCCAACCCCAAACACCAGCACGTACAGTCAGTTACAATACTTTTGAGACTTCTAACTCTTGTCTCGGGATGTAGCATTCACATATTGATGAGCCATCCTTGCGGTAAAAATAGAATGACAAGTAAAAATAGAACCGTAATAAAAACTTTATTAAAATAAATAACTAGAAACTAAAAACATTACACACGTTCACTTAAATATTACTTGTACTATTAATTTGCAACTGGCTGTAAGACATACGCTTGTCCTGTGGCCCTATCAACGACATGTCCCGTCGAGGGTTCCAGGAAAAGTCTTGGCACCGAAGCAGCCACCGTGGCTTCAGGTGGCTGATGCTGCCTCACCCCAGCACCGCCTTCATAAGGAACAAAATGAGCCTTAACTTCAGGCTGTCTTTTAGGCTTTTCACTTACATCTTCCTCGTTTTTATGACTCACGACCAGAACAACTTGATTTCTGGTTTCCTTCGAATCATTATCCCTCCTCTGCTGTTGATGACGTCTGGGTTTCTTTTGCTCTACATCTGTTCGTTGAGGCGTGTCGTGTTGCTCCGCGGCCTCTTCCGAGATTTCTTTGTTTTTCTCCGGCAACGCGGTAAGCTCTCTGCGTTCGACTTTCGCCCGCGGATGGGCACGCTTCGATCGGCCGCTTTCATCGTAGCTCGCCTTCTCCGGGTCATACTCGTCCTTTTCATAAATCGGGCTCTGCTCACTGGGTTCATCATAAGAGTCATGATGCTCATTATCGCCATAGGGACTGTCATCGGAATGATTCTCGTAACCATCATTATCGTTATTGCCGGAGTGACCTGCGTGGTTCAAATCCCAATAATGCTCACCGTAGCCCCCTTTTTTATCCCCCCATCGCACCTATGAGATTTTTAATGGAGAATATTAGTCTTAAGAACAAAATTAGTGACAAACGTGTATCACAGAAGAGAAATAAAGTTATTTGCTGAAGAATTAAAGTTAATATAAATGAGTTACAAGAAATAAGAAGAAACGGCAGTACCTACTACAGCTTGAGAAGTTATCTATTAGCATTTGAAATTAAATTTAACAAAAGAATATTACGCAATACATTTTGAAAGTTGCCTTTTGTTAGTAAAATTATAGTTAAATAATCAAGAAGAGGCATGCGAGTTTGGAAAGAAGATGGCATTCAAAGAAGATACTGTCAATAAATATGGGTATTGTTAGGTACAATGAAAGTTCTGGCAAAAATAATGAATGAAGCATGGTAAGCGTACTTTAGCAGAGAAAAGTCCAGCAGAGGGGCGAGACCTCTCGTGTCGTTCAGTGAAGTGGTGTTCGCTCCCCAACCGGTGCCCCTGATCGAAGTCCTCGGAAGTGGGCAAGTGCCTATACCTTCAGCCAAGCGAAGCGAAGCGGGACAGAGAAAGAAAAATAGATCTCGTTAATTAGTACATAAGGTATACTTTGCCCATGTCCCTGTGGTTCTTAAAGTCTTTCTTCTCGTAACGTTGCTCCCACGTGTTGGGGTCCTCACACACGTGACCGAACTCTATCTTGTATGGACTCAACTGTACTGAGAAAAAATCCCTATAAAGCAAATTTAGACTTTCACTTATTTACAGTTATACTGGTTATTATGTAACTTGCAGTGGAAAGTTTTAATCAAGCTTTGCGGAATGTAAGCGTATGCTAGAATTTAAAACACAATATGAAGCCTGATATTAAATTATGCAAACTATAAATAGGCAAGGATAAATAAAATTCAACCGTTTCTTCTACGCTATTCAACGACCGGCTTTTTCGGTAAATAAGAAATAATTGAAAACTCTTTTTCCTAACTTTACAAGAAAAAATGAGAATATTAAATTAAAATGAAAATAACCTAAGACATAAATAACAAACATATTTTGAAGTGTCAGTGATTATGGTTGATCTTCGAAAACTATCTATTTACAGTGTTGCCAAAATAGTTAGGTTCAAGTTGGCAATAAAAATCAAATCATTGAAAGTGCCTTAATAAATTAAAATAAGAAGTAACGCTATTATTATCTTAATCAAAGTCTTCCTCTGATTTCTAATTGCCTACTGTTTCTAATACGCCAATAGTGACAAAACGAACGAAGTGAAAAAAAAGCCATTACAAACTTAACGCTTGTATGAGTGTGTATACATTAAAGTTTGGTTTTTAAACAGCCAACTTGATGGCAATTGGTTAAATCGCCTATAGATATGGGCAATGTCATAAACACGGACAGTCTACTGATGTAACTGTCATCTTTTCAATCGTTTGTGTCATTATATATGTTTTTGTTTGAATGACTGTTTTGAATTTGACTATAGAATTATGGTTCCAAAATATATGATACAGCTTTAAAAAAAAAAAAAACATAGCCGTTTCTTAATGTTACGGTGTCTCTAACATTTTTCCGCAACCCTCCATCCAAATTTTATACATACACATATTAATATCTTATATTATATACACATATGTTTAAGTAATATCCCTATCACACTACACCTACCAAGGTTCATCTCTGCACCTCCCTAAGGTAGACTGTCAGAGAATGACTATGGCATTAAGTCCACCTTTATACTGTCTAGTATATAAAGTCTTTATATATAAAAATGAATTGCTGTTCGTTAGTCTCGCTAAAACTCGAGAACGGCTGAACCGATTTGGCTAATTTTGATCTTGAATTATTTGTAGAAGTCCAGAGAAGGTTTAAAAGGTAGATAAATATGAAAATGCTCGGAATTAAATGTGATTGATGTGTCCCCCGTCGGACGGATTCCTTTTGTTTGTTTTAAATTTATTATATACAAAAGTTTGGGTCTTTTATTGATCGATTGAGGCACTACGAAGTATGCCGTGTTAGCTAGCTATAAATAAATAAATTTTACACACAATCTGAACTTTAAAATGTACGTCATTAAAAATTTAACTTAAAGTGCAGACAATAATGATATCGAATATCGATCTGCATATCACAATAGAATCTAATTAGGAGTGAAGGCTGTGTATTCGTTACGAGGCCACTTTCGACTCTTAATCAGCAACTCGATTCGGAAACGTAATAATTCTCGTTTAGATTACAAGTAAATGAACTACAGCTTTCATAATGTTTTTTATTGGGCAAGAAACTATGAACATTTTATGTTAACTAGTGGGCCCCGCAGTAGTCGAAATTCGACTATAATTAATTGGAATTGTAAGTTTGTACACTATTATGATTGTATTTTATACTTCTATAATCACAAATTTCGCCAAGACTACACTATAAAAAAATATTAATAAATAACAATAACAATCAATATTTAATCTATTCTCAATTTGAACACAGACGTCAAGAACAAAAGTTTGACAATAAATAGTACATATCCATTATACATGCGTGTGTGCGTCAAATACATGGCATGTAGTGTGTGTAATGTTTTCTTTATTGACTTAATGCATCTTTTATGCATTATTTAAAAAAAATATTAGCATTGTGCACTTCTTCTCTATTTTCTCTATAAGTGTGGAAAATTTCATACTCCTCCGTCCGCGCCATTTTCGTTAAAAGGGATACAAAGTTTTTGCTTCACGTATTAATATATAGATAAAATTACTTAAGTTTTTATATTTTTTTATTGCCTATATGGGTGGACGAGCTCACGGCCCACCGGGTGTTAAATGGTAACCGAAGCCCATAGACATCTACAACGTAATACCGCCACCCACCTTGAGGCCTGACTAAGGTCTCACTTTTTACCGTACAACGGCTACCTCGCTATTCAAGCCGAAACGCATTGTTGCTTCCCGGCAGAAATAGGCAGGGCGGTGGTACCTACCCGTGCGGATTCACAAGACGTTCTACCTTTCATCTTCCTTTTCTCTGTCATTCTGTCTGTCATACTCTTTTCCCTTTCTTGCCGTTTTCTCTCACTCGCATCATAACGCTCCGTTTCACACTATTTTCATACGTTCCGTTCTTACCAATCCTACATTATCAATCAGTAATCAGTTAAAGGTGTGGCAAGCTTAAAAGCTGTTTTTTATTAACCAAAGCATATTAATGAACGATTGAATACTTGAAAATTTAAATTGAACTTGTGTGCTTACTGAAAGAACTTAGCCTGTGCTTCGACGGTGGCCGGATTGCTGGGTGGAGTTCGAACTGTGACGGCCCTCGCCGGGACCCAGGAACCTTGGAGCACGAAAAAACACCAGAGCCATTTCTGAAATGTGAGCATTTGAACCTTTTTGACAATAAGATCATATCTAAATTTAGCAACGCTCAACGAAATGTTATGATTTTCTAATTTGCAACCGTAAAGTAAGAGTTGTCCCGTATCGAATGAAATCTACAATTTTTTTTTATTTTTTTTATTTTTTTTTTTATTGCCTTTGTAGGCAGACGAGCGTAGGGCCCACCTGATGGTAAGTGGTTACCGTCGCCCATGGACTTCAGCAATGCTAGGAGCAGAGCCAAGCCGCTGCCTACTGTTTCGGAAGTATCTTCTAGCTCTGTTAAAATGTGTTTCATTAAAACACTGCACTAATGTTTTTTTTTTTTCATAGATTTTCACAATGGTTTGCCGCGCTTTCTTATTTTGAATTCGATAATAGCATCACAATTTTTACTGTAACTGCAATTACCGATATAGAAAACATTTGACACTACAGAACACATATAGTTACAATATTTAAAAATAAAATATATTTTTTTTAATTAGGTTAAAGAGCAACACTTAACATTTTGTTTACTCATCACGAAAAGTACTTTAAAAAAAAATATCGATATCTTTACCGTTGTTCCCAAAACCCGTGGTGACATCTCGACTGAACGATGGTGTTTCCAAAACGACAGTGACCGTTAGATCATTTATAGACAGCAGGTGATCGTCCAACGTTTTCAGGGGACGTAAACATTTCATTGCAAATGTTGCGTTGTATTTTAACTCACGTATTTTTGCATTGATTGGTTATAATGAGCTTTTTTTTTGCTATATGAAGCAAACGATTTTAGTGATGCAATACCCAGCTTTTGTTAATTAAAATAAAAACAAAAAACACTTTACTCAAATATGATTATATCAGTGAGTGCGGATAGTTCTGATCAATTTAATTTCAAAACTATAATTCTGTCATTTCAAAATAAAAGCTTTTGTAATAAAGTTGAAAGCTGTGGTAATAAAGTTGAAACTGAACTTTCTTGTGATGTCTGAATGAGTTCAATCAGAGCGTATTAGAGAGCGTCTAACTATTCAATTCCCGGTGAACGGTTGATTGGATTTAATGAGAGTTTGATTGTCCAAAAGAAGTCTCTCATAGAAAATTATCGTTTCGCCTTTTATACCTGAAGACATATGACTCAAAGCTTAAAAGGATGCAATTGTATTAGATGGATACTTAACCCGTCATATCAGGAGAATTTACCAATTAAATCGACGATGCCACCAAGTCTACCAGTAACCAGTCCCAAGTCAAGCACCAGTGCTTACGTAGAAATAATACTGACTCTAGAAAAATAGATTGTTTATTATTTAGACCGGGAGTGATGTGAAGTCCGGGTCCACACGGATGTATTATGACTTTTTTGTTATTGCCTTTGTAGACGATAGAGCATACGGTCTACCCAGTGAGTGGTCACTATTGCTTACCGACATCGGTAATACCAGAGACAAAAGCGCTGCATGCTATTCGAAGTATCCATTAATTTTTGGGGAGGCTTAAACGACAAAGGGAAGAACTTCCACCAGCGGGTGATATTTGCTCGGTAGACCGACGACGGTCCGAATGTTGTTGTTCGGAACTTGTATATATGCGACCTTAACTTGAAAATGTCGTAAGCGAGATTCAGGCATCTGTCAAATATCTTGTGTTCTGTGGTGGCTACCGCTACAAACTTTCTCTCCAGGTCCAAATACAGTATAATCTGGACTAGTTAAGGATATGTTCTTGATCCAGTCAGAGCGGCAGAGGAAGTGCTTTTCGAGCAGTGTCTATCTCTTCAATGATTACCAATCAGCCGTCTGTGCAATTAAAATAATAATTTAAGGATTAGTAGTACGAATCAATGATGAAGAGTTTCTAGTTGGAGTAGCTTGAGATGGTATCTTGTCCTTTTGACGACAGTACGTACCAAACACCGAACATCTGAAAGGATGCGAATGAGATTGATAAAATAGCGGGCCGTGAATCAGGATTTTTGCTGACTACGTGGCCTGCGAGGTTACGGTTCACCTGTTGGAAGTCTAACATGGTCACGCTTTAGCATTTCATTATGCTCAAACTCTTTGAGATGATTCAAGTTTACTGGTAACAAGAAACTATTGTTACTTTCCAGTATTCGATAAATTAAATAAATTTGGTTGGAGCCCCCTGGTGACTTAATTTTAGCGTCTTTCTAGCTCGCTACGCATCAATAGAATTTTAAAACGAGGCTTCGAAAAACGATTCGTTAAATTTGGGTGAGATTTTGTTAAACGAATCTAATACTAGCCTCCTTACAGTTACTAAAGCACAATAGAGAGATCTCGTGACTCTACATAGAGGGATCAAAGGTTTCGTCTGCGCATTTACGCCACCAAAAAACGACAAAGAAAAATAGCTTTTTTACAAGGCGTAAATAACCTTCAGACTGATCAGGTGAAAGACCTTACTGAAACCCCACTTAACGAGTGTGTGCGCCGGGCCTCGGTTCGCAAACTGTGGAAAACATCTGTCAAGGCTTTAATGAGCAAGAATTCCACATGACCACGACTGCTCTGCCAAGAGCAACCGATTATGATGATGAAATAATCTTCTATTCCACTTTAAATATAAACGGTTGTTAAAACCAGTAAACACTAAAACGAGAATGTTGAGCTTAAGACATAGGATTAAAGTCGAAATTGCTTTAACACATTTATTGATTATGATGGCAGACGACTAGATATCGCGACTACGTACAATGGTAAGTTGTTACAATAATTTATGAGTTTTGGCAACATCATGGCTACAGTCAAGCCGGTAGGTAGTACCGAAAAGAACTATTTAGCAAACCTCGTTTGAAGAAATATAGGTGAATACACGCAATGGTTCCAGGTAGGTTGTATTAACTGTCCTCCGCAAGTTGTTAGGGGATAATAGGAATGGCAGAATTGTCTCTTACTAGAAGTCCCGTAGTAGTCGAAATTCGACTATAATTGATTGGAATTGTAAGTTTGTACACTATTATGATTGTATTTTATACTTCTATAATCACAAATTTCGCCAAGGCTGCACTATAAAAAAATATTAAATAATAAAGACAAACAATATTTAATCTATTCTCAATTTGACCAAAGACAGCAAGAACAAAAGTTTGACAATAAATAGTATGCATGCGTGTGTGCGTCAAATACATGGTAATGTTTTCTTTATTGATTTAATGTATCTTTTGTGCATTATTTTAAAAAAATATTAGCATTGTGCACTTCTTCTCTATATTCTCTATAAGTGTGGAAAATTTCATACTCCTCCGTCCGCGCAATTTTTGTAAAAAGGGATACAAAGTTTTTGCTTCACGTATTAATATATAGATTAGAATTCCACACAGCACTCCCCAGTGAACAAAAGATATGACAATGGTTCCAGTCTGTAAGACAAATGGTTCCAGTCTGTAAGATCAAGATTGTCCATATTCCATTGTTAACTATACAACTTATCGTAATACTGTCTGTTTAATAATACTCTCTGTATCAAATGTCATTCCTGTGTCATTCACGAAAATAATAGATAGGATATTGAAAACCAACTGTGCATCTTTGCAGCGTGTCCTACTATCATTTTTAGTGGTAGTAGGACCTCTTGTGAGTCGGCACAGGTAGGTACCACCACCCTGCCTGTTTCTGCCGTGAAGCAGTAATGCGTTTCGATTTGAAGGGCGGGGCTTCCGTTGTACTGTTAAAAGTGAGACCTTACAACTCATGTCTCAAGGTGGGGGGCGGCATTTACGTTGTAGATGTCTATGGGCTCCGGTAACTACTTGACCAGGTGGGTCGTGAGCTCGTCCACCCATCTAAGCAACAAAATTTAAAAAATATTAAAATGTCAGTATCTGACCTGAACTTCGGACACCGTCTAAGACTTTAAGACGCCTTGAGCTAGATCCCAACAACAATTCCATCTTGAAATGTAGTCGACCATAATTCGCACCAATTTAATGCTTTTGCTTGTACAACATTTAATTAATTCCTTTCAATAAGATTTCAGAAAACCATTTTGTAATTATTACTGAAAGATCGATCGGACTTATATATTTTTTATATTAAAGAAATATTTTCAGTAAACTTACAGATCAATTATGTTTTTACTACTAAGTTCAGATCATTAAAATAAAATTAGTTTGAGCTATTGACTAAGACTTCTTTTTTTTTATATAATTCTGAAATCAGGCTATAAGCGTTTTAAATATTTTAAACAGAAAAAAGTTGCTAATGACGTTCAAATGGCCGGCGTCCGAGCTGAAGTTATGTAAGTTCACGTAATTGTGACTTTGATTAAAGCTCGAGTTGCACCGGGAGTAGATATTGATATTAAGTCGTCGCCGCGTCGTGGCCTAAAGGATAAGTCGTCCGATGCATTCGTATTTAGCGATGCAACGTATGGTTGTAGATGTCTATGGGCTTCCTAACCATATACTCTCAAGTAAACAAACCTATTAATTTCCATTTGAATTATTGAAAGGCGATTTATCGTTAGTTATTCTGAATTCACGTGCCGTGCTGGCTACGAAGGGTCTCAGCGCTCTGTGATCTGTTCCTTATACTTATGTTTCATAGAACACATTAAGAACAAGATATTCTTATAGTTTATGAATACACAAATCCCATTATTTTTGTTCCACCGTCACTGTACCCAGCAACAGAGGACATTTTGAAAACCGATTTCGCAACATCACAAAAGATAAACAAATTAATTTAATGTTGCCAGAGTAATAAATACGGACATTAACTCTTTGAATAATGAATTCCTCGATTGCTATATTGTACCAGTACTGATGAAGAAATTGAGGTAAATTACCGTAGCTCTAAAGATTTAATTGAGCATTCACTTAGCTACTTACTGAGGCTTTGGAATTTATTGTGTAAATATAGCGCTAACAATGCGTGCATTAAAATATAAGTGCATATTTGTTTCTGAAAATTCCTTGTTATTAAATTCTGTTTATTTGTCTTGGTTTATTTTCATATATGGCAACTTTTTTACTTTCATGTTTTTTTGCTATTATGATTATAAACTCGAAATCACTGGTACTTGACTAAGCGACATGCGATATTTCCGAGCAATATAAAAAACAGTAACTAGTTAGTTTCTAATTAAAAACCAAATGATTTTGATGAATAGCATCTTTTTTCGTTTGCGCCGTTGTAGGTAGAAAGCAACAGCCAATCAGAGTGTCACCGAGTGAGTAGTCACCATCAGTCATGGACATCAGCAGTCACAGAGTGTGTGTATGCCTGTGTGTGTCAATCAATTACTGTACAGTTCCCACCAATTGTTCACAATTTTTGTCATTACAGACAATTTACGTAAAATAATAATAATATAATAAAACCAACACATTTTCAGCAGCTATTGGTCTCATTAACGATTCTCTATACCCAAAGTAGTAACTTACTGATTTAAAATATCCTCCACTAATGTTGTGCACAATACAACGTGTAGTTAACAGGTCGAAATCCATATTGGTTCACTAACCGTTTTGTCTGGATTCCCTAATTGTTGCTGTCTAAACCCTTTTGCAATAAACAGCTTTATGGTGATGAAATGACAGCACTCGGTGTGTCCCCAACTTAATTATCAATATTGTCACAAAACTCAGTTTGAGTGCGCTCGACATTTTGAGATCTGATCGAGCGATGCATAAAAAAATGAGAACCGCTATGGTTACGCAGGATGTTGCATAAAGATTTTCTGTTTAAAAACAAAGTATAAGTACCTTTTTTTTCTTTTCAACGTTTTTTGTACATATATATTTTTATAAGATCGTTTATTGTAGCTGGAGAATGGTATGTGCGATCACAATTCGGTGGCAGATTCCTCAAGTCCATCTGTCAAATAAACAAGTTTTGAACAAAGTGAAGGGTGCTCTCCCCCACGCTTTTCATACTGCATAATATCAATAACATGCTATTTATTGAAGATACAGGTTTGCGCGTTCACTGCGAAGAAGGACCCTTTTGTCATCACAGTATAGTTAATATTTTTTTTTTTTTTTATTGCTTAGATGGGTCGACGAGCTCACAGCCCACTTGGTGTTAGGTGGTTACTGGAGCCCATAGACATCTACAACGTAAACGCGCCACCCACCTCGAGATATAAGTTCTAAGGTCTCAGTATAGTTAGAACGGCTGCCCTACCCTTCAGACCGAAACGCATTACTGTTTCACGGCAGAAATAGGCAGGGTGGTGGTACCTACCCGTGCGGACTCACAAGAGGTCCTACCACCAGTCTCTTTTGATCCACACAAATAGTACTAGATCTAGTTTTTCTGGAAGTCGGTTGTAAAGCGGAGGGCTTTGTCACGCGCGGTTCACTCTTCGCAGTCCAACGTGATCGTTCAACCGGAAAACCTTCGAATAGAAAGTGTTCAGAATTCGGTTTTCTTTCTTCATAAAAAGGCTGATCTGACAAAATCGTGACCATTTCTAACAACGGCGTATTCGCACGCCTGTTCGCATTTCATTATGGATCTTAAAGCGTTGGTGAGTATTCATGATAAAACAAATATTTTAGAAATAAAGAATTCCATTAAATATTTAATTTTTGACAACAAATCAATGTAGAAAACGTTTGATTATTGTGGAGAGTCAAATGACCTTACTGCCTTACCTAATTTGTATTAAAGAGATATTAGGGCCCGTGGACATCATATAATCAGTTTCAATTGCACTGTATAACGGTTGTCCCGAGCATGATTCATTCGTCAAGTATTTCTTAACAGGTTGTAACTTGTAAGTAAATGTTGTCAAAGTTCAAGTAACAATCTGCATAGGGATACTTCTGGTAGTGAACCGGTCTGTCCAAGTTATAAAAAGCTCAACCTGTAGAGCCTGGGCACTACAAAGTAAAGTTCAAAAGCAGCTACATCAGAACCATAGTTGTCCGAGAGTCCGACATATCTGGGCTCTCGGCATATCCATTATACCCAAAACTACTTTTAATACGCTTTTATTGGCTTCAGACGTATGTATGTTTGTAACGGAATCTTTTAAGATGATTTTGACCCCCTTCAAAACTAAAAGAAAAAATGATTTTACTGTCAAAAAAGCGTGGGGTGCATGGTATCAGTAGTTATAAATATTTTGTGAACAGCATAGATATGAGTAGAAGGGTTATTTTGATAATATCCTGAAAAGCACCATACGCTTTTTTACAATAAAATCATTTTTTCTTACACTATTTTTAATTAAAATTTATTAAAATTTATTTTCTATTTTTTACTAATTTATTTTCTATTTATATGGATTTTCTATAAAAGCGTATTTTGTTAGTTTTTTTAAACTATTATATTTTTTATTTTATTTATTTATTTTGTATACACATTTTGACGCTTTGAAAGGTCTAATTTAATAATTAATTTCTAGTTTCTCCTTGCTTGCATGGCTGTCGCAACGTCAGCATGGTCGATTCCATTTTATCCGGTACCAAGAGGACCACTGAGGGTCACCAGGTTCGCCACACCACCACGTCATTACAGGACACCGTGTAAGCTGATTTTCTTATAAGAATCTCTTAAAACAAAACATTGCATTTTCAATATTTTACATACACAGGCTTACAATAACTTAGGAATAGAAATTTTGTTTTATTTATAAAGTAATTGTTTGAAAGTGTTGTAAACGTCTTGATATAACAACAAGTAAATATGATGAGTAAATATGATTTACTGGCGGTAGGACTTCATGTGAGTCCGCACGGTAAGGTACCACCACCCTGCCTATTTCTGCTGTAAAGCAGTAATGCGTTTCGGCTTGAAGGGTGGGGCAGCTGTTGTAACTATACTGAGACCTTAGAACTTATATCTCAAGGTGGGTGGCGGCATTTACGTTGTAAATGTCTATGGGCTCCAGTAACCACTTAACACCAGGTGGGCTGTGAGCTCGTCCACCCATCTAAGCAATAAAATATAAATAAATAAAATATGATTTAAAAAATTACAAGGTCTACAAAATATAAAAAAAGACATGGTCTTTATGTTGACCCTAGTAAGGACGTTAAGTCAAACTAATGAAATTATTGTATTGACATCGATACTGATGCGTGGGCAAACATTCAAGCGAACGTCTTGTAGTTAGTGAAAACTATGTAGAAGCATTCCGTCACATAGATAGGTACAAGTCAAACCAATAAAAGTTTTTTTAATAAGCGTTCTCTGGTCAATTCAGCTGTTTTCTGGAGTATGCTCTGTGATTGAAATTTTATCTCGAAGACTTATGCCGATTAATCGGAATCATTGATCACCTCTCTCATTAGTCTTTAACTCTACTTCCAATAAAAGTCAATATCTTGAAAGATATTTGCTATTCCGTGTTCTTTTTCTTGTCTCGTATGTGTTTTTTTTTATTTCTTAGATGGGTGCACGAGCTTACAGCCCACCTGGCGTTAAGTGGTTACTGGAGCCCATAGACATTTACAACGTAAATGCGCCACTCACCTTGAGATATAAATTCTAAGGTATCAGTATAGTTACAACGGCTGCCCCACCCTTCAAGCTGAAACGTAATACTGCTTCACGGCAGAAATAGGCGGGGTGGTGGTACCTACCCGTGCAGACTCCCAAGAGGTCCTACCACCAGTAAACTCACAAGAGGTCCTACCACCAATAAGTAACGGTAAAGTTTCAGTAACAAGAACACAGGAAAAATCACCTAAGGGCCCATGAATGTTGAACGCTCATAATTAAAGCACACAAAACCAATTAATGTTAAAATTGCATTAAAACCATCGATTATTGTACTAGAATGAAAATGGTCAATGTTAATCTCAACAGTGGAGCCGGCTGCGGAAGATGAACCACCACAGCAACGTCCCAAGCGAGGCCATGACGACTACGGCCATGAGTCGAGCCACCGAGGTACCAGCGGGATCACTGGCCCAGTCCACACCTTCGTCAAGACTGATAAGAACGCCAATTACAAGTGGGGGGTCCGTCATCACGTTGGCGACAAATACGCCTCTTAATAACCTCATTCCAAAGCTATTGTTATGTAATTTATTTAGCTGTTATGATTGATATAATTGTAGTTTTAATAAATTTATAAATAGTAGTAAGCTCCGTTTCATTTAGTCCATGTGTTGATGATACATTATGACAGTTCCCTTTTGGGGGTGGAAGGGCAGATACGTACTTAAGGTTTAAGCCTTTGATGGATTTTCTATTCTCTTAGAGAACCGGAAGTAAATGATTTTTTGTTACATCAACTAACGCATATTTGTGCGTTCACTATTTTTGATATTTGGAAATTCTTTTAACTTCATATAATATGACTATATATGATTGAAGGATTACTGGTGGCCCGAAGGCCTTTCCAGTTTCACCAGGTCAAGTGGGCGAGCAAAGGCTCAGCCAGGGCGACCTTTATGCTGCCACGAATGCTCATAATAGTATCCATTAGTTACCTACTGGCCACGTGACCGTATTCAATCGATTACCGTAAATCTTCAATCGATAGTTTGACTATACAATTACGCAACGGAGCGTTTGAATGAAATAAAAACGACCGATAAATTCGTATAAACAAAATTACAGCATTACCTAATCCTTAGTTTAGATTTAGCAATTCCAATTAGATTGTCTAAGTTTTCCGATTCGCTGTTTTATTTATTTGTGTACGTGATCCGGCTTAGAGTACTTTCCAGATTGAAACGTTCATTGTGCTGTTAAAATTGTGACAGTTTTAATTCGTTTCATTACTATTATGTTTCAATATAGTCTACAATTGAGAACTAGACCTCACGTATCAAAGTTAGTGGCGGCATTCAGGGTACGATATCTATAAGCTCCGGAAACCACACGATGTGCATTCGTTAATTCGTCTATTTTAATATATACAGTCGAGAACTAAATTTTAATACGAGTGGATAGGCTAGGCAGTCTATAAGATTTAATGGACAGTTAATATCGACTGGGCCACGAGCTGCCTACCTTAAGTAAGCACTACCTTAAGTAAGCGCGCTGGCACTAGGAGGAAGGGACGAGGCGTCGGCGACTGCGGCCTGCGATTCGCATTGTCGTCGACGCTGTCGTCGCCGAACATACTGTGGAAGAGCAACCCGATCAGCGGTGTATCGCGTTCCGATCCAGCAAGCTGGTTCTGACCCAGCGGGATATCCCGGAACACCAGCGACATCGCCCGGGCGGCCTGGCAGGGCCGCCGTACCGCGGAGACCAGTGTCGTTGGTCGTCGACTATCGCCTCGACGACCCGTCGGTAGGGCGTTTGGCGCCGCGAGTCTGGTTTTAGAGTTCTGACCCCGGACGGAGATCGGATGTCGGGTGTAAGAGTGCAGGGGAGACGCTTAGTGCGGTAGGGCCCTAAAACTCCTTGGGCCCGTGGTATGCTATCAATATCAGCAGATTGTCAAGTCCCTCATACCCCGCGCGCCCCCTTAGGCGCGGGGACGTCTAGAAAGTTCAGACCGCGGCCCGAAAAAAGAAAAAAAAAAGGACTTAGCAACAGCTTAAAGAATTTAATTTTAACACGACTGTCCTGTTTAAAGCTTCATGTTGTAATATCGGTAAGCGTGTCGACCGCGCCCTGTCACTTATCAACCGCATGCGACTAACCAGATCTGGGTCACATATCGAAGTATTTATGAAGAAATTAATCGATTTCAAATTAGCATTACTTTAATTGAATACAATTTCAAATTAGCATTACTACCACGTTCAATTGAACCACTTCAAAATTGAATTCATCTAATTCCAAATTCAAAATGAATTTAATTGGAATAAGATTTCAATTTGGAAACTGGTGTCGTTGGTCTGGTAGTTCGTGAATTTGCTTAATGTACTTATCGTCCAGGTTCGATTCCCGGTAACTATATTATGAAGATTAGCACGTGCCCTTATCTCCGAATATACCTTTCTAGTATCCACAATACAAGACCTAGTTTATCTGCGTTGAATTTAGTAGGTTTTTTTTCCTAGGCCATCTTTTTCCAAAAAGGATTATTTAGTTGTTCATTTAAGTATATTTATATTTATCATCCAGTCCTACTTACAAAGACTATGAAGGTATGAGAAATGATTCCAATAATCAATTCAACAATTACCAAAGTGTAAGAGAGAAGTGAATTTAATTTTAAAACTATATATTTTATGTGTAATGGTAATTTTAATTAGACTTCTTAAAGTGGTAACTAAGCAATTCTATTGTGGGCTTGGTCCGTAAATGTGAAAATGCCGTTTTAAATGGAAAAAAAACTAAAACCCGACAAAAAACATTTATTAATCAAGCAAAGTGGTTGGTTACCCGAATAGGTAAAAAAGAAAAACGGCATTTTGTCAAGACAAGACAAGAAATTGTTCCAATTTCGGAAAAGTGGCGATCTGCTGGAATTGTATTGGAATTTTGAACAGAAAGATGTCAAAAGAAAAACTCAAGTTGCACGAAAATAAAGAATGAACTAAAAACTGAAATAAATTTGTATTTTGAATTAATAACGAACCACAAGAAATTCAGGATCCAAGTGGCAAATTCAATAAAACGCCGATTTCATACGTAATGCCTTATTATTCCATAGCGATAGTCTCATCAGACCGTGATCAGATTTCACTACTGAGTTATATTGGTCTTTAGAATGTTACTTACTTACGTTACGTCGTTAATTACAAGGGAAGGAACTATAACGAAGCAGGGAAAGTGTGAAACTAAATATTAAATTAAGTGTTCCGTGCGGGTAAATAAACGTTATAAAAACAAGGCGAATAGTGCGCTTAATAAAATCGCGTGTGTTTAAAAAAAACGTGAACGAAAGGCTGATAAATTCTTGATAAGTATTAAATAGAATTTTACAAATGACGGGAAAAGAAACCTTTTTAATTGAAGTGAAACTTCCTTATCGGCGTTGGAAAAAAATTTACCGTCACATTTTTCGGTTACGCGTCACTTTTTTTCGTTACGCGCCATCTGTTCTGTATTCATGTCTATGATAATAAAATCCTTTTGTTTAAACTTTATCTAATTTAACTTTTTTGTATTCATGTCTATGATAATAAAATCCTTTTGTTTAAACTTTATCTAATTTAACTTTATTTAACCAATTTCTAGAAAGTTGCATGTAGATCATTTTTCGAAAAATAAGGCCATAAATAAGTTTCACTTCTTACGTGTGTACACTAGTACACGCACACATTTTTTTAGTTATATGCGATCATTTGTACGTCACTATAGATACTCTTAGTTAAAAATGGTGGAGCAGCAAATTATCAAAAATAATTAGGGAGGCACTTATCTCTTGGATATTATACTGATTTTTAGTCCATGCGGCTACCCACCAGGGGTATGAGTACGCGATCCTGGCCCCTAAGAGAAAGAGAGAAAGAGAATATACTTGATTGCACATCAAAACACAATTAACGTTCAAAAACAGTCAGCAGGCAGTTATAATGGTAGGCGGTCTTATCGCCAAAAGCCGTCTCTTCCAGACAAACATGATATCTACAGAAATTCTGAAAATTCTGATATGTTGCAGTTTACTATTAAGGATATTTAGATTCGTCTATCTAAATAGACCTTAAAATCATTCCTGCTAGCAGGCTCTGCGCACTTACAACTCTGCCTTCGCAATAACTTTGATCTCCCATAATTTTAATACTGGCTTAGTGTATTGTTGGCTCGCTGGGTTGGATACCACAATCCAATCAGTCTGAGTCTGTTTGAAGAGGCGTCATTCACATTGTCATACTCACTGGTCCATAACTGACACTTAACACCAGATGGATGGAAATCCGTATGCACATTCGAAGCAAAAAAAAGTGTCTGCAGACAAATAAGCATACTGCCCGTTGCCACCTATGGTGAGTGGTCCCGTTGCTCATGGACATAAACACACCAGGAGCACAACAAAGCCGCTGTCCACCAAAATTACTATCCTGAAATTAGAATTCATATCCGATCTACCCACATTAGTCGAATTTACCCAGACTACAAAATAAAAACCCTCTACATCAGAAACCCTAATACTACGAAATTTTAGTCTATACAATTGCAATTATCATTTAAAATCAGTTAAACCCTGAGTTTGTCTTCATTTTCACGAACAAAAAGTATTTGGTTTGGTGATGCAGACCACGTGACCCCTAATTAAACATTGTTTAAAAGACGTCAGACTCTCGGCACACTTTGAGCGTTGGGAAACGACACAGTTAAGTACAAAATAAGTTAACCGCTCGTGACCACAATACGTAACGATCCAGTTCAGTGCGTACACTGCTTACGAACTAGTTCTACTGCTTTTTACTACTCGACTGTTATATTATGATTTAATGCTTCGATTCTCTGGTCTTTGGATACGCGAAAACAGCCTATGTTGCCAAGAACATAAAGACCGATATGGTTTCCAGAATGAAATCAATAAACGATCTTTTGATTATGTATTCGGTTAATTATTTTGCATGCCCGATATATGCTGTCTGACCTCTTTGGAGCATTTTTAAAGTAGAATATATACCTTCGAATTTTGAAAATACATTCCAATAAGATAAAATATCTAAATAAGTATTATGATACATAAATAGATATCATTAAGATTACATACTTTGTGGATTATTTTTATTGTCGATGTTCACAAAAACCTTCAATTAATTTAAATGACAAATGCAGTGGAATGAAATACAGTTAATTTATTTGAAATAGTAATTTATTTGAAACTCTATTCCACTAAGATGAAATTGAATTGAGTGGTATGAAACGAGATGAGAAGAAATTAAGTAAGCGACCCAGTAAAATGGTGATAATTTAGTAAGACCTCAGTAGGCCTTTTCGAGTCCGAAAAGTCCTTCTTTTTTCCAAATATGTGTAGTATCACAGACGCTAATCGCTTAGTTAGCCACAATTATAACGTGCTTAAATCTAAAAAAACATTAAGTGTACAAAATAAATAAATAGAAAACATATAACATCGTTTTAATCAAATCCCACCAAAAAACCTAAAAAATCAATTTTCCTGTTATTGCCACATTTTAATTTGTCAATTTCTCGACAGCTCAGGGCTGTGTTTTGCTTCGCGCAGTGGTGATATGTTTATGACGCCACATACTGTACATATTTTAGGTAGTCAACCCATAATTATGATCATGAAATATTCACAACTTATCTGGGGTATTCGTTCAGAAAAAGCTAATATACCTGAAGATTATTTTGTCTTATACATTAGCACAAGCGCAGCCACGTGTGAAAGCTAATCTTTTTTTAAGTCTTTTTAGAAATAGATACACTATAATTGATATTTTCTAGCATAGCAAGTGATCACTTTTCTTGATGATGAAAACTCAACACGAGTATCTACAGACTTTATTACTTCTACTGTTTTTAGACATTTACGATTGTAATAATGTTCATTTAGTCAGAGTATGTTCGAGAGCCTTATTTTGCCCCATATTAACTCAGTACGAGTAACAAAAAGCATAACTGGGTCATTTTGTTTTCGCAAAAGAATGCTGCTTACGCTTACATAAGTATAGTATGGGAGCATTCCTACATAAAATTACATACAACAATTCAATGAGGACTTCATGCTCTAATCTTGAACCTCTCATAACTCTCAGAGGTATCCGAGACACAGTTGCGCCAAGAATTCTATTTCAGACTCGGATATTAAAGGTGATATTAATTTTCCCTAATGACTCCAATTTCCTACAATCTACATCTAGTCCGACAGAAGAAAGTTGTTAGTGTTTACATAAACACAATTACGTAACAGACTAGTTCAATTCGAATTATTTGGTAATTGATTTTGGACTGTCTTGCGTGGGAATTACCGTAAGTTATTACGTAGTATCCTCAAAATTATTGTCACATAAAATGAGTGGAGGTCCACAAATCAATTCTGCTTTATTTAATTACTTAAGTTACGCCGAGAGCTTCCGAACTAACTGGATACAGCAACATATAGAAATGTCAATGTGAATTCCGCCAGCAACACAAGAGGTCAAACCCAATTGCCCTATATGTCAGCTATTCTGTCTAAAGCGGTACACATGCTTCGCAGAATATATGCTTAGGTGTCATGTACATATCCGATCTAGGCAACGGGGCAAATCAAAGCCGCCCTCGCCCAGAACATACCTTGTCGGGTTCCCCGGATCCACTCTCGGTGCTTTTAGGTTCTTCAAGCACTGGTCACCGTCCTCGTCGAACTCGTCGACTTCGAGGAACAGTTCGACGTGCGAACTAGCCCATAGACACAACCCACTGAGTTTCTCGCCGTATCTTCTCAGTGTGTCGCGATTCCGATCCGGTAGTAGATTCAGCGAAGCACTGCTCTTGTTAGGGCTAGTGTAAGAATTCTCTCAGGTTGAGCCCGTGAGCTCACCTACCGGAAGTTGGAATAGCCTCTTAAGCTACCAGCGATTAGGTAGGAAGAAAGGTGACATAAAGGTGGTACCTACCCATACCAGCTTGCGAACGCTCTACTTCCAATCACTCTATTACTAATAACTACGCAAAATATTTTTTTGTGGATTCAATCTTTATTACACAATGTTATTAGATTTTTTTTTATTGCTTAGATGGGTAGACGAACTTACAGCCCACCTGGTGTTAAGTAGCTACTGGAGCCCATAGACATCTACGACGTAAATGCGCCACTCACCTTGAGATATAAGTTCTGAGGGCTCAAGTATAGTTACAACGGCTGTTCCACCCTTCAAACCGAAACGCATTATTGCTTTACGGAAGAAATAGGCAGAGTGGTGGTACCTACCCGCATGGACTCACAAGAGGTCCTACCACCAGTAAAAAGTGGAAGAGGTCCATGTTTTGTTATACTTATAGTATAGATAAGTAAACTAGCTCATGGCTTATCTGGTGTTCAGTGGTTAATGTATCCTATGGACACCATAGCTTGAGTGCCTTCATCCATCCCGAACTATTATGTCCACATCTCATTTAACTAACGGTTATCCTAACCTTCAAATGAGAATATACAACTGCTTCGAGATCGTGGTACCTATCGGTGCGGTACGTAATCTTTTACGAAAAATTGTACCAACCTTTAGGATTTGAAAACTGGCATAGTCGCATCGATAATCATGAGTACACCAAGCTTTATATCCTTCAAAAACAAACAAGTATTAGATTTCGAAACATTGATCTACTTTTTGTAATATCGCAACTCTACAGTATACGAAATCAGTTGAGATTAATTAAAATATTCCTTTTAGCCAAAGTTTAATATTTTTCTAATAAAAAAATCAAAACCTCTGTTACGTTATTTAATATTTAAACCCTGACACTAACGATAATCGATTACGAATGAGTCACAATGGATTATCGAATTGGAATAAATCGATTATTACCACCGACAGTGAATGCATTGACATTTTGCGGGGGCAACAGGGCGTAGGCATATTGCATGCAAGGCCACAATGATTATTGAATTTAGAACCGATTCAAGAATTTTTATTCTTGAATTCGGTCATTTTTAACTGGACCTTTTTTATATGAGCAAATGTTCTAGGATACCGACTTACATGAATAAATTCTGTTTGCTTTTTAAATGATACCTTATTAATTCTAAAAGAATATATGTATAGCTAGCTGAATTGGAGACAGTTGTTTGCTTTACTAATTGTTAAAGCGTTTTACTACTTTAGTATTATTTCTATCTGGATGTCAGTTAAGAGAAAAGTGTGAAGTGGACAATAAAAAGTTTTTTTTAAATATAAATTAAAATAATTTGCAATCTTTATTTACCTTTTATCTACAGCCATGAGACGCTTATTACCATCCGTATCACACATAATGGAGTCAGAGTTGCGACCTTAAAATAATCCACCAAGAAATTTAGAAGTACTGAAATTATTTTGACAGTGCGCATTTTCCTGAAACTAAGCGATCTTTATTATTGAATTAAAGTAATTGTTCTGAATTAGCATAAAAAATAATATAATCATACTAAGGTACAATGAATGTATTCACCCATAATAATTTACTCCTCACGCTTACTGCAACAAACCGGCCAGTACATGAAAATGAAAGTAAACAAAAGGCTAGTACACACTCCCAGAGCCAATGCTCTAATTTGAATTTCGAAGCACACATGCAAGTTTCAGCTCTCGACTCCCGCCTTGAACACTAGAAGGGGTGTCTCTATATAAAGTGAGTGTTACTTACACGCATCGCACGATACGTTAATAAATATTACGGACGCGGGTGTGCTGTGGTCTTTTTTTTAAGAACAAATATTTTCAATTGTTATTAATTGTTTTGTGTGTGCATCATGTTGCGTAAGTGCGTTACGTTGGCAATTCTGGGGTGCGTTTTGGCGGCGCCGCAACATCAATACCAAGCGCAGCCACAAGTAAGTTCAAACGGATTTTTTTATTGAATTTTGTCGAACTACATATCCATAATGAAATTTATTTATTAGTGATTTATGTAATGAACTCAACTGCTTTTTTTTCCAAATAGTGAGAATAAAAGGTGTGCTCTGGATTCGGATGATATACTGTATGCCCAAACCTATTAAAAGAAAAACGTTTTTTTTCTTCTCTATGCCTTTTGTTTTCATCGTTTTTCCGGTGATAATTTTTCTAATTACCCCAATAATACCTCTTCTCTTTTTGAATATAAAACATGTGAATCAATTTTTGTCTATACTATAGTTAGGTATATGAATACAAATAAGATACTTATTTCAAAATCTATAACTAAACATAATATCGTTATACTTACGATAGAATACGATTTTTATAGTAAATTACGTCACAAATCAATTTAATGTGATCCTTCTAAGTTCTTAGAGTGGGCAACGTTGATATATTTCTGTAGGGCAACGCATCTCAACTCACTGGATGTTCCCTTTCTGTCTTAAATAGGTTCTCGTGTATGAAGGTTGACTGTTACTAGCCACGTGCAAATGTCAACGAACTATCTCTAACTCAATATCTTTACGGGTTTTTATTGTAATTTATTATACATATTTGTTTTTATATCATTGAGTTATTATGCACTATATGGTTTTATAGGTTATAAGGTTAGGCTAGGTTTTAAGGGTCATTGGGTAACATGGGTTTTATTGTCATTTATCATTATACATATTTCCGAAGTTTTAAATACTTAACAGTTTTCTTATTCACCGCTAACGACTAAGGTGACTGTTATTTTTTTATTTATTTTTTTAATGCTTATGTGGGTGGACGAACTCGCAACCCACCTGGTGTTAAGTGGTTACTGGAACCCATAGACATCTACAACGTAAATGCGCCACCCAATTTGAGATATAAGTTCTAAGGTCTCAAGTATAGTTACAATGGCTGGAAGTCAATTGTGAGCATTTGTTGAGTAGATTTTGAAGTCGTCGTGGCCTAAAAGATAAGACGTTCGGAGCATTCGTGTTGAAGCGATGCACCGGTGTTCGAATCCCGCAGGCGGGTACCAATTTTTCTAATGAAATACGTACTCAACAAATGTTCACGATTGACTTCCACGGTGAAGGAATAACATCGTGTAATAAAAGTGAAACCCGCAAAATTATAATTTGCGTAATTATTGGTGGTAGGACCTGTTGTGAGTCCGCGCGGGTAGGTACCACCGCCCTGCCTATTTCTGCCGTGAAGCAGTAATGCGTTTCGGTTTGAAGGATGGGGCAGCCGTTGTAACTATACTGAGACCTTACAACTTATATCTCAAGGTGGGTGGCGCATTTACGTTGTAGATGTATATGGGCTCCAGTAACCACTTAACACCAGGTGGGCTGTGAGCTCGTCCAACCATCTAAGAAATAAATAAAAAAAAAGTACGTATTTCTTTAGAAAATTGGTACCCGCCTAAGATTCGAACACCGGTGCATCGCTCAACACGAATTCACTGGACGTTTTATCCTTTAGGCCACGATCACTAAAATAACTTTGACAATTTTTACATAATAAAATAGAAAAACTAGAATTTTACGTTTAACTTCACACAGGACGAAACTAAAGGTCTGATAGTTTATTTCATTTCGGTTTTCATCTTCACGATAAGCGGATCCCACATGTTAGAACAGAACTTTCTCTATTTAAAGATGTCAAGGCTACATTTACAGACATTCCTGTCTATACACACTATATTGACATTTCAGCGGATAGGATAGAAACAATTAGGCGAATAGCTTTGGCATTCAAGGCAAAATACTGTTCTTCTCACGAAAAATTAAATTCTCTACGTATGTTTCACGAATTAAAAGCGCTTAACCATTTTAAATATTTACATTTTGATGCTGCGTGTCAAAACAAATGTCAGACATTCGAAACGGCATTAGGAGTTTAAACCGTAAAATTGTTTTAACATGCATTGCCATTTACTTCAATATCACGAATGCAACATTGAAATCAAAATGAGTTACCACCTTACTACCTTGAGGCATGAGGTCAAGACGAAGTTCCAATAGTACTATAATAACGATTTTTCCACCTTTCGTTTCGGAAACCATGATTCTCTGATTGCCTGAATTTCTCGCCGGGTCTTCTCGGAGGATCGTCTTACCGATCCGGTGGTAGATTCTGCGAAGCACTACATTTACTACGGCTGGTGTGAGCAAACTCGTCACTTTAGAATCCCCTGATGTCGCCTACTCACTCAGCGAAGCTGGCATTAGCCCCTCGAGGCCACCAGCCTGGGTAGGAAGAAAAAGAAGGAGAAATAGGCGGATTTTTCCCTACCTATGCTGATAGCCTTGAGAGGCTATTTCAGCTTCACCCTAACGTGTGTAGGTGAGCTCACGGGGCTCAAACCGGAGAGTTGCTAACACTGACCCTAGCAAGAGCAGTGCTTCGCAGAATCTACCACCGGATCGGAAACGCGACCCACTGAGAAGATCCGGCGAGAAACTCAGTGGGCGGGCGGAAAGGTCGTACCTATGCTCACAAATATCGCATCTATCAGTAAAGATACCCAGAAAATTTAACAGTTACGGTAATGACCTATGCACTTATTGTTCTTTTAAATTCCAATCCTTTATAACAATATTTTGGGTGACACAATAGTCCCCTCAAAACTTCAGCGTGAAATCTCGCAACATAATTACGTATTCAAAACCAATCCTTATAACAATATGCAAAAGTTTCAAAAGCTCTTTGACCATTTGAAAAGGTTGTCATTACAATTCAAATGTTTGTAATTGTGTTGGTTTTTTTTCTTGGAACATTTCGCAAGTAGCCCCTTTTCGTGCAGCCTTGAGTGGACTCTTTGTTAACTTAATGAGAGATCGTTTGAGTTAAATCATCTTTTGTAAATAAACTTCACAGATACTATTTTGGAGATTGGTTTGATTTTTTTATCCTAACTCTAGATTTGTTTTAGTGGGTTATAGGCCTAGCAGATTTTATATTAATAAGTAAAAGGACGAGCTGCATAAATATCTTAACATTTTTTTAATAAATGAAACCTATTATATTTTACAAATAATCTTCTACAAGAGGTCCTACCACCGGTTAGAATATTATTACATATTTATAATATTCTGCAGAAGTGAAGCAGTAATGCGTTTCGGTTTGAAGGGTGGGGCAGCCGTTGTAACTATACTTGAGACTTTAGAGCTTATGTCTCAAGGTGGGTGGCGCATTTACGTTGTAGATGTCTATGGGCTCCAGTAACCACTTAACACCAGGTGGGCTGTGAGCTCGACCACCCATCTAAGCAATAGAAAATTAAAAAGAACAGTTTTGCGCATTCGAGGGCAGAACCTCTCTCACACCTATAAGTATGTTAGGCCACCAATTAAACTAACATTTTTAATGGATTTTTTTTTATTGCCCTTGTAGGCAGACGAGCATACGGCTCACCTGATGGTAAGTGGCTACCGTCGCCCATGGACTTCAGCAATGCCAGGGGCAGAGCCAAGCCGCTGCCTACAAAAACTCAGTAAACTCATGATAGGACTAATTAGCCAGCTCAATATCACTTAACAGGCTGTAGAAATAGCTATGCTTGGAGTTACGCTAAAAGATAAACTCCGATACAAAATTATCGGTCAGAGAATCAAGCGTCACTGATATAGCTCACGTTCAAGTGTCAGTCGGTTGGTTGCGTATGCCGGAGAAATGACGATCGCTGGAGCAAACGATCCTCATCAGACCGCAAATCGGAATATGTGCACCTTTTACTAATTCTTGTGGGCTCTGTATACGTTAAGGGCTGGATAAGAAGAGTCGCAAACTGAGTCCAGTATTATGTGCAGAAGTGGACGGGTGTCAGCGTAAGTGAATACCACCACCAACATTGTGAAATGATATCAAAGTACTCTTGTGCCTAACCTTGAAACCTTCAAAAAATAGCGTGAAAATTTTTTGGTGAAAATAAAATTAGCCAATGAAATTGATTAAATGATATAATACTGATTATTAAAACTGTAGTTTGTTTACTGTGTAAACTGTGTTTACTAAAATTGTTTAATAATTTCACACGTGACGTACGTCACGTCATCAGTTTTCATAAGTGGTTATCTTTAGACATTTGGATAACAAAAGGCTTCAAGGCCCGTGAATCACCCGAACTGCTAAATCAAATCCCTATAGTATTATTATTAATATTATTATTTTTCATTTAACTTTTGGTAGTGAGTGTGAAAGAACTCTGGATCCAACCTAGTAGCATAATATAGGCATTCTCGTGGAAATTTCTGATGCACGCAAAAAAATAATATCTAATAACATTATTTAAAAAAAAAATACATTTAATTTTATTGGCGTAGATAGTTGAATTCACAACACATAGGCACGACGAATTTCATCATTGTTATGAACCTTAAGAATTTAGGCTACAGTATTAATTGCTTTGAATCACATCTTACTCTTCAAGCCGGAACGCATTAGGATATTCGCAACACAGGGCAATACTCAAAACAAACTACCAATTGCAATTACTGTTAATTGAAACAACTAAGTAAAGTTTAACAACCCGTCAACAATTAACTCGGTCATCCACCGACTAAGCCAGTATTATACGTTACGTAAACGGATCGGATCTCGTTATAACAACCGCTCCGGATAAAACGGTTCGCTGCTATTACGAAACTCGTTGTTACGTTCTGTTATTCAATTATTTATTAGGGCTGACACGAATTTTATTATGACATAACACGTAGGACTTAATATAACCATAAAGTTATCGGTGCGTAGTCGGAGCTATTTATTTGCTGAGCTGATCCATTTTGTATTCCGATATGAGTGGCTGAATCTGTCATTTCTATTTAAACCAATTTCAGTCTGTTCACTTTGCGTTGGTAACCCTACAGGCTAATAAAGGCCTAATATTGAGTGATCCCTTTGCTGCTCTACCAAATTGTCGCCTAAATCAAAAATGGTTACGTTAAAATTAGCAAACTTAATCTTACCCAATTTTATTTACAACCAATAAAACTTTTTCCAACCCCTTTTTTACTTGAAACATTCTTCTGGAAACTATTCGGCTATAATATCCGAAACTATTTGCTTATCTCTTATTTCATGTTCCAAAAAATCAAAACGACCATTTGTAATTGACCAGTCTTTAATTCCGATGTATTCACATTAATATCTTGGTCATTTTTTCCACAGCAACACGGAGAAGGTATCCCCCCTCATCTATTAAGGCAATATCTTGCTGACCAAGGAGGCGCTCAGCCCCACACCATCTCCAGGCCAACACACATAGCCCCAGCACCAGCGCGTATCGTAAGTGCCTTTGATTGTAACATCCGTGGTAATAATTTTGGTATTTGACAAGACACGTAGATTTGGTACATCATGTGCCTTTAACAATGATACTTAGTTGAAAATTTTTGACAAGCACTGGCAACATAAGTTTGTGTTTTAGAGGAAAATACTTTACGGCTGTGAGTTGCTTAGCTTAGGAGTCCTTTAAATCAAGTTAAAGCCAAAAATTATCATAATAGCCATATTTTTCTATCTAAGCAATAAAACAAAATTTTTAAAAATGTCATGGGGTGCTCCTTTGACGTCCTATGTGATGGGTTATGATTTAGGGGCGTTATGATTTTTTTTTTATGTTCGCTGCTTAACGTGTCTAACATTCTTTAATCTGCCCACAAATTTTAAGCTCGCAGCCAAGATTTAAAAATAATAGAAAGCCTATTTAAGAACTGGATTATGGTTTCGAACTAACCATTAAATTATTGTACACAGCCCTACGCTGTTCAAAGCGAACCTCAATATCAACAACAAGCGCAATACCAACCTCAACCCCAACCGCAACCTCAAGCACAGCCTCAGCCTCAATACCGTCAGCAATATCAACCTCAGAGAGCCGAACCTCAACAGCCACAGGAAGAATATGATGTAAGTTAATTTATTCTCTTAAATACTCATCATAATCGTACTTTTAAACCAAATATGCATGGAAGCTCTATCATATACTGGTGGTAGGACCTCTTGTGAGTCCGCACGGGTAGGTACCACCACCCTGCCTACTTCTGCCGTGAAGCAGTAATGCGTTTCGGCTTGAAGGGCGGGGCAGCCGTTGTAACTATACTTGAGACCTTAGAACTTTATCTCAAGGTAGGTGTGGCGAATTTACGTTGTATATGTCTATGGGCTCCAGTAACATTTACTCGATGTGCATGAATCCAATGAATGAATAAATGTCACTTAATACACATATTTATTAAACATCTGGTATAAGGAACTAAATATTTTACAATAGTTATTCCATTGAATTATTTAATAATCAAAATTAAGATAATAACAATTATTATATTTACTAAAATAACACATATCGCTATCGGTGCGTATACCGATGAAAGTATTTTTTTTTCTTTTGTCAGTAGTGGAGCGAAACTGTCGTGTACAAAACTTCAACATCTTAAATTGGGTGATGACATTCAGCCTATAATATGTATGGACTCAAGTAACCGCTTTAGACTAAGCCAGCCGTTAGTTCGTTCACTCGTGAATGAATTAATTTTACTAATCGATGCGGTGTACTTTATTCATGAAAATGCCAAACTTCAATAATAAAACATTACTGTAGCTGTTAGCAAATCCCAACCCTCCTGGCTGAGACCTTGCACGCCCACTTGCCGTGGTAAAGCTGGAAAGGCCTCCAGGCCACCAGTAATCTCTCAAAAATAAAAATGATTAGAATTACTGTGAAATATCGAGCGCCGCGTAACTATATACCGGTAATAGTAAATCTAATAATAAATGAAGGAACCATTCGGACCAGACGGCGGATCGTGTGTCAAGAAGTCGGTCATTACACCTTACTACACTTACTTTCACTGCGTAACTGGACTTTGTAAATATATTTGTACACATAGATAATCTATATAATATTACAAAGCTGAAGAGTTTGTTTGTTTGAACGCGCTAATCTCAGGAACTACCAGTATGATTTGAAAAATTATTTCAATGATACCTAGCACATTTATTGAGGAAGGTTATAGGCTATAGCATCACAGTAAAGCTAATACCAGTGGAGCACCAATAAAGAATGTTTCAAAATAGGGGTTTAAATAGCTCCTTAACATTCTATAGGTAATTCAAAAATATTTTCAATTTCTACGTAAATGAAGTGAGGAGTAAAATTTTACGTTATGCCAAAGTAATTATTCCACGCGGACGGAGTCGCGGGCAAAAGCTAGTAACTAATATTTAGTTCCTTATAGAATTTCGAAATTCGGTAGGCAGCGGCTTGGCTCTGCCCCTGGCATTGCTGAAGTCCATGGGCGACGGTAACCACTCACCATCAGGTGGGCCGTATGCTCGTCTGCCCATAACGAGCAATCAAAGATCTATATCATTATTTCATTTCATCATCATCATCATCATTTCCAGCCCCATCCCTCATACCAGTTCGGCTTCGACGTGAACGATGACCAATACACTAACTACCAGAACAGGAAGGAGCAGCGCGACGGTGACGTCATCAAGGGCTCGTACTCCGTAGTAGACAGTGACGGGTTCATCAGAACTGTCACCTACACTGCCGACCCTAAAGAGGGCTTCAAAGCCGAGGTAAGATATACGAATAGAAATATACACCAAAACTCTCTCTCTCTTCGATCGGTTCCTCACTGTTGAGGATCGTGACTCCGTCCGATTTCGTCAACCAGCTGTCTCCATCGATCCCGTTTTATAACTTGGTATACACACCAAAACTAACCTGCATTTTTTAAAAATCTTATTTAGGGGAAGGAGAGACTGCTTAAGAACTGAATCGGGAATAAACTGATTTTAGGACACAAACGGAAAACCAATTTTCTTCGTTTTCTTCTTGGCTTTAATACACATTTTTCGGATTCGACACAGCATATAATCATAATACGATGCACAGAAAATTTCCTTGAGTTTGCTTGTGGTCAAATCATCGGCCCGGGGTCTCGACTGAATTTCATTTTATTACATCGAGTACAAATAAAAAAAATTTTTTTTTGCGGTTTTTAATCATATATGACAGCAATAACAGCTTTTTTTCAATGTGTGGATACTAATACCAATACCTTGGTCGCTGAATAATGAAATATGTGGGATTGACAGAACTGTGTGCGTTGCAACAGTATGTCGTATCGCACTCTGCGATAATTCCTTGAAGTCGTTGATAATCTTAATGGGCTGATTAGTATCTTGGCTGAACTGGTGCGGTCACAATGAGCCTCCCCACCATATTGTGGAATTGCGCAAAACTCTTCTAATAAGGGGTTCTCTTGGCTCATTATGAGAGTTTCGCTGGAGTAGAGAACTTAATTGCCTGTCCGACGTATAATGTGATTATTAATTCTTCATCAGGTACAAAGGCAGCCAACCGACATCGTAGTAAAGATCCCTACGCCCAAGCCTCAAATCGCTCAGCAGCCGCAGCTCGCACACCAACCTCAAATATCTCATCAGCCCCAAATTGGACACCAACAACAAATCGGTCACCAGTCTAGGCCGCAACAACCTCCCCCCCAGTACTATCATTATGAACAATAAACGCTAAGAACAATATATATTTAAGCCAGTTTAAGATTGTATTATTTATTCGTGACCAAATATTTCTTCAGCCATCAGACGTTTTCAACTAGGTAATTAAATTTTAAAAATATGTGACGTATGTGTCACTGCGTACATGTAGTATCGAAATAAAATGCTTATATTATCGTGTCCACATTTCGCTTTGGAACTTATAATAAATAGTGGTATATGATACCATACTATGCTTCTCTTGCGAGGCACTCCATGCGTTTTGATGCACTCATTTTTTCGAAGGACGGGACCCCAGTGTCAGACACATTTAAGATTTTGACCACATATGTTATGTTCGATTTTGGGGGTTTTGAAATTTCCCACCAACTTGCCTGGTACCCGCGCAATCAAATGAGCGCTACCGAAATTTGTGCAATATTTGAAAAAGTCAGTTGTGAAATCTTGAACAGTTCGCGGTAAGCCCGTAATCCTTTAAAACTTTAAATTTCAATAAAACTGAGCAATCGTACATCTTAAAATAGGTTATGATAATATAAAAGTGTGATTGAAAAAAACCAACTTAATAATACATTTTAATCAAAACAAAATTATTAAACATGTTTGATATGAAAATAAAATCTAGATTTACATAAAAATGCTTTATAAATAAATGTATGATTTAAAAAAAAACAATAGTTAAATATTTTACACAGTAACAATAATACTCAGTCTGCATTACATAAATAAAAGATCCATAAAATGACCTACAAATTAAATAAAGTTTTTAATTAATAAATCATTTTATTTAGAGAACTTCATATTCTTACCCCGAACCTAAAGCATTTAACACAAGTAAAACCTGACGATTACCTACATTACCTTAGCATATTAATATTTGTAATGTGAAAAACAGAGATACAAGATTTGATCTTATTTTTGTTAAAACATTGCTTCTCTATAGATCCACGAATCACCAAAAAGTACAACGTCTTGTTGATTTGCGCGGGAACGATTTTGTTACGACCTGTTTTTTTTTTTTTATAAAACGTTAAGCAACTGGCATACTGAATATGAAGCACTTTGTTTTATTCAGATAAAAAAACCATTATCATTTTTGAAATTCGTGTTAATTCTTATGCTCATCCCGTTTATATTTACTTTTTAATATTTATACGTGTCAACAACGTTAATAGCTTCATGTAAAATGCGCTCACATCCTTACCGTAATAGTCATAAAGAATGTCACTGGACTTAAAACGACCGTCTAATGTTTTTGTGTTTAATCTGTATTCTGTATATCATTTAAAAAAAACTTAGTAATTTGAACATGGCTTAAGCCCAATTACAATGCAACTCGGACGGATTTTAGAATCAATCCATTGCCTAGTAACTGCTCTAAAACAAAACTGCTGAAATACAAGATCGTGAAAAATTACTGTAAAGTCTAACTTCATTATGTGTTCTTGAGGGTTCACAACATGTGCGAACGACTATTTTCGTTAGGGATCCGAAATTTCACTCTCAATACGCTTAAAATCGTCACTAAAATAAAAAAAATTAACTAATTAAAAATATGTATTTCTCAACAACATTACATTGTCGATCGAAGATCTAAACCTAATAAATGCAACACTGTCGTTCTTCGTGAAATTATCGCCACGTTGGACTATTAAAGTATTTCATAAATAATACGAGATAAAATCATTATTTGCGAAATTCCAAACTTTCTCCGTCCCGGAAAACAAGATCTATGTGTGTCAATGAGAGTAAATGATTTTTAATTGACAATTAGAAACAGGAAATTAATATTGAAAATGTTTGACGAATCCGCGAAGATGTTTACATTGAATTCGGAGCACCTCCTTTAGAGTGCGTCACCTATATCGGACCTTCATTGTGAATGAGCTCTTTGCATTTATGGTCTCCTGGTACTTGGACTTCGGCGACAACTTACGTTACGAAGTTATATTTAAATTATTATTACTTCTTCGAAATTATGGTCTCCTGATAATAACACAACCGGAATTTCTATTCTAGTATTTGTGATTTGCATCATGAACTCTGTGATGAGAATAAGTTTCTGTGATAACTAAGCCGAACCGAAGTCTTTTTGTTCGTAATTTGTAAGTTTTTTTTTTATTGCCGTGTAGGCAGACGAGCATACGGCCCACCTGATGGTGAGTGGTTACCGTCGCTCATGGACGTCAGCAATGCCAGGGGCACAGCCAAGCCACTGCCTACCGTTTTTCGATTGATTTATGTATTTCAATGAATATATATTAAGAGATAGTTTTTCTGCCATACAGACAGCTTTCACCACAGTGCCATGAGTAGTAATATGGTAAGGAACATATAAGTGGCCCTTGCAATTCAAACAGTCCACATTTTTCTAATTCCAATAATTCGAAATGAGTATTAACTAATTCATAAAAAAAAATGTTTTGAGCGATTCGCGTGTTATTTTAAACTACCCTCTTGAGCCTTCGAATTGTAAGTCGAAGTGTTTTGACGGAGGCGTCTATGGCATTGGATTGGGTCGACAAACGCATCCGGACTCGACCAGAACGTAGTCTTGTCCCGTGAAGGTCACCGGCCCCAGGGGAAGGACCAGAAACAAATAGGGGACGTACGTCTGCGTGCACGTGCCTCGTATTACCGAACATTCGCTGGATCTGTAAAGAGAATTTATAATTAATATCTAATAAATATATTTTTTATCGTAATTATCGAAGTATGATTTCTTAAGACACTAGATAAGTAAGTAAGTAATTAGTGGTGGTAGGACCTCTTGTGAGTCCGCACGGGTAGGTACCACCGTCCTTTTTTTGGTATCGATGGGGAATCCCAGTCTTTACGGATATCCTGCCGACGGGAGTCGGACTCCGCGCCTCCAGTTGAAAAAGACATAGGAGACTACGCCTTTAGAAAGGCGCGCTGGGCTAAGTTCGGCTCTCGCCAAACCCGCCCAGCTTAACGACTACCGACTAAGCCTCAACGTGCTCCTCCACTCCGGCTGGGCGGGGACCCAGGTACCGCCATAAGGTACCACCGCACCGCCTATTTCTGCCGTGAAGCAGTAATGCGTTTCGGTCTGAAGGGCGGGGCAGACGTTATAACTATATTGAGACCTGAGAACTCATATATCAAGGTGGGTGGCGGCATTGATATCTCTGGGCTCCAGTAACCACTTAACACCAGGCTAAGTTTAGATAGGAAACAAAACAAAAATTTTTATATTAGAATCGATTTTGCGATTTTGTTTGGAGCATTTTTTTTAGTGACAACTGTCGATAGTACGACAAATGTGTCTAGTTTAGCATTAAAAAAGTTGTGTTTGAGTTTACCGTGTATTTTGCCTACCTAAGCTGATAGCCTTGAGAGGCTACTTCAGTGGAACCTTAACTAGTAAGTGAGCTCACGGGGCTCAAACCTGACGACGTTGCTAACACGAACCCTAGCAAGATCCGTGCTTCGCAGCATTTACCACCGGATCGGAAACGCGACCCACTGAGAAGATCCGGCGAGAAACTCAGTGGGCTGTGTCTGATGGTTAATTTACTCGTCGAGCCCTTCGTCGCAAGCGACGAGTTCGACGAGAACGGTGACCGGTGCTTGAGGTACCTAAAAGCACCGTTAGTGGATCGGGAGGATCCGAAATGACGTGTTTGGGGCGACGTCGAGTGCTTTCAATTCTTTCCGCAGGATCGTGAATGTAGTTACCGGCGGCCACGATGAGAGGGTTCTCATGTCGTGCCGCTTTATCGAAGTGGATTTACCGTGAAGTTCTTATATTGCCATTAGATTAACATAGTAAATACTCACTCGCATACTTCAAAGACGACCTGCTGAAGCAGATCCGGAAACTTTTGAACTATGGTGACCGGTTGGCCAGAAGTCAAAGACACCCCGTACATCGGAGCAGTCGTGTTGTAACGGGTCTTGCAGAGACGGCCACCGCCGCAGGTGTTACCGGCTTGTGCGGACGACGGTATCGTTGGTAAATTAACCGCTCGACCTGAAAAACAAATGGCTCTACTTTTAAAAGATTTCTTCTTACTCTTGTTACTTCTTATTCTTCTTCTACTTTTAAAGATTTTTTTCTTTATACAGTAATAACGCATAATGTTGGATGAGATGGTTGTTATTTCAAAGCAATTGGGTCTTCAAGTCAGTGGTCTAGTTTTCGCTCAACTTGGCCCGAAATTTTTAAAGGATCTTTCATATTGGACAGAGGTTCGTGACTTCTATATATAATCAAAATACGGACAGCACACACTTTAAGAGTTGAGCGTCGCTTGGATTTTATCGTTCTAGCGCGTAGGACCTTGAAGTTTCTTTACTTCCACTTTATCCGTTATGCAGAGTTTCTCGAGCCATTATCTTTCTTCTCCCTGTAGTTTACGTAAAAGCTAATCGAAAAAAATAGCTTTAAAAAAATTTCCGTTTTGGACGTGTTACTTTTTCTCATTGTAGTATCCTTCCTGTACTTCCCTACCTCGAATATAAAATATTTATCCGCTTTTTTTTACCTACGGGTAGGTGAGCTCACGGGCTGAACCTGAGAGAGTTTGCTAACACTAGCCCTAGCAAGTGCAGTACTTCGCAAAATCTACCACCGGATCCGAATCGCGACCCACTGAGAAGATCCGGCGAGCTCAGTGGGCCGATTTATTTGCCAAACGATTGTTTCGCATAATAACAAAGTTTTTACTGGTGGTAGGACCTCTTGTGAGTCCGCGCGGGTGGGTACCACCACTCCATAACACCTACTGAATAATTTTTGTATCTTTTTTTTTCAACTTTTTAATTATTTTGAATTTGAAACATCTATATTACGTACGGTACGTACGTTTAATGTTCTAAAGAGATAGGTACTTAACAAATGTTCACGATTGACTTTCACGGTAAAGGAATAGCACCGTGCTATAAAATCAAACCCGCAAAATTATAATTTATGTAATTACTGGCGGTAGGACCCCTTATGAGTTCGGACGGGTAGATATCACCACTCTGCCTATTTCTGCCGTGAAGCAGTAATGCGTTTCGGTTTGAAGGGTGGGGCAGCCGTTGTAACTATACTGAGACCTTAGAACTCATGTCTCAAGGTGGGTGGCGCATTTAAGTTATAGATGTCTATGGGCTCCAGTAACCACTTAACACCAGGTGGGCTGTGAGCTCGTCCACCTATCTAAGCAACAACAAAAAAACTTACCGGTTCTATTATTAGCAGTCTGCGCGCTAGTCGAGCCTTCAGAGTACGAGCTATGAGCGTCCAGGAGCGCTCGTCTCATGATGGCTGGGTCCAGTGTCCGCGCGGCTCTGCCCTGCCGAGACGATTGACTCCAGGGACCAGATTTGATAGCTCGGTTTATAAGATGTCTGTAACATTCACGGAAAAAATGCCAGGTTAGTATTTTAAAATTGCTCTTTACTATGAAGCTTGTATTATTAGTAGGTAGTAGGTCATATTCTGTGCCCACATAGATCGGATCAGTACCATAACACCATATCGGTGGTGAATTCATTGAGAATAATTTTGAAAGAGCTAGCCATTACTGATAGTCAGGGGCTAAAAAGAGGTAAGCCCATACAGGTTTTACCCTGAGAAAAAATGAGCTAGAATACTTGTGAAGGTTTCGTATCTAGCAGGTTTTTTTTTATTGTATTAAGTATAAATATATCCTAACGCCGATAACATAATATGTTTCATCTTTGACGATACTTTCTACGACCGAAAATCGAACCCGTCGGAAAACATCCACCAAACGAAATCTTTCAATATAAGTTTATCGACTTCAAAACTGATGGATCGGTATACAAACAGTAATTTAATTACTTTGGCCAGCTTTGGCCTCACTAGTTTAGTTTGGAATGTTATTAAAACGGGTTTTTATTTATTTATGTATTTTAGTAGATAAATAAATAGGTATATAATCGTCAAAAGACTAATTGAAATAATCTTACTTCTAGACTTTTTTCAGCTATATTTAAACGACTACAAGAGCCGACAATATCAGTTTGCTTGAATGTCGTTGCCGCCACAGAGGTGGACACAAATTTTCGCATATAGCAGAATCAACAACCAGATTACGCAAAATCAATAAAACTTTTCGATTTTACTTTTAGTGCTCGATTTTAATTCTTTCATAAAAATTGTTCGTGTTAATTAGGTTTTATATATTTATTAATAAAAAAATATACCTGCCTTGACTTAGCATCTGATTGCTAGAATAGTCGCCCCACTAAATTCACCGGCCATCTTACATAAACAAAAAGGCTTCAGACGAAATTTTCTTTAAAAATTTAGTGCAGCTCTCTCCTTTCAACGACATCACTCCAGCCTCAAAAATATTAACTACGAATTCACCGTGTTCATCCAAGCCGAACATACAAGCAAACATGACAATGCAATCTAAAGCCCGTTACTCCATTTCAGTACGATACTGTGGGAACGTTCTCAGCGCTTGTCCGCAACTTCCTTGCACTTGTCGTAATTACACTAATGTCGTTCTCGACGTTTACAATGCGTAACGGAACGTGAACTTGATTTGGCGCGTTCGTTTATTCTGTTCGCCATCTTGTTTTTCGATTTGATTGTTTGAAAATTTAACTGCTATTTTTTGGTTGATGCCACATTTTTTTAGATCGGTAAATGAACATTGATTACCGAAATTTATTAGGATATCCACCTCTTCAGTCAAATTTGCTTATCATTTTCATCTTTATCATACCGACTAAACTAAATGCTTACCGTAAAAACCTAGACTAGTAATATAAATTCCCATCTACCTATTTAGTTAGCTATTTACTTTTTCTCAATCAGATTGCAAGCTTTGATACGGAGTGTCTGTAAGGGTTTCCCAAAGAAGGTAAGCAGTAGCAGGATTTTAATGCTTTGTTCTATTATTCAAACAACCATTTCAGACTAACATTTAATATATTTATTAGATTTCAAACATTTATTTAAATAACATTAATCATTTATTCAGAGAAATACTATACCTATATATTGAAGGAAGTCAATTATATTCTAACGTAAGCGCATAATATATTATCAATCATTTTATTGACTTACGTTAGAATGCTCAAAATGAACGACACACTGATAACAAACAAATTACTGAACACCCGTGAACACACTTTACTAATTTATAATACTTAAATAATTCATCAAAATAGAGTTCTTTATATTAAAATATAAATTTAGTTGAAAGGAAGGCATAAGTCAAGTCTAAAAGGATATTAGTCATATTAAAATCAGTACAATCATGTTACAGAGAGAAACAACTCTTCCTTCAGAGCGTCAATGTGTCCTCAATGACTCATTTCAAAAGTCACATAACTTTTCTATTTATTCTGGGCACTAATTTAATTTACAAGGAAATCATCGCAAAATACCTAAGATCAACAGAGGTTGATGTAACTACACATTTAAAAATCCATTTAAGGTACATATCTTAGTAAGGTTCAATAAAAGGGTAGGCAAACACTAATAGTTTTCTAGTCTAATTGGGTTGTTGCTACTTAAAATCTTTACCAATCACGCGTTCCTGTAGACTAGGTGAGTCATTAATTTGATTCACTCACGATTTTCCTCGTGTCTCAAAGCTCACGTCGGCATCCAGTATTCACGTTCTGTTGCCATAAATATACGACTAGGCAACGGTTTTTCATTACCATATTTTAATAGTTATTCTAGTAATAAAATCTAGTTACAAGGAGACCGTGATAGAAGTCATCTGAGTTACGACAGGCCTAGCCCGGAGAAGATAACCGATAAAATTTTTTTCAGAATCGAATACATTAATTAAGTATATAATTTGTATTTGTTAACAAAATTCCGATCGAATGGCCACTACTATTGGAAAATAAATAAATGGGTTAGCTCAGTACAATCATATCAGATTATAACTAATAAACTTGTATAAATATATCATCTGTGTATAATTTATATCCCTTAATGTCTTCTAGGTTAGGCATTTAAATTATTAGGCGGAACACCACCGGCATTGCTTGATGGGCCTCCGTCCGTGATGGTCAACGCGGTGACGTTTTCGCCGACGACTCATTCACCAGCAATCTCGGGGAGACAGAGTCTCTCCTGAGTCCCTTAAAATACCACCTCCCATAGTGATCCCCCTTCGGCGAAGCTCAGACCCACATACGCCATCTCAGCGCGCTGGTATCTCTTTAAGAAATTCGGCCCCCGGTCCTTAATAGCTTTATGCTTCATGTAAACAAACAACAATTGGTGCTGCGGTAGTAATAGAGGATAGAAAAAATATTTTTTCTCTGGTATAAATTTCCGCTCTATTTTTGCTTTAACTAACTGGCAATAGTGAAGATTCGACTGGATTCAACTGATTTTGATTTTGAACCTCTATTGTGTACTGATCCAAAAATATTTTTAAATCATCTTCGGTGCTCAGATCTCGGTATACGTTTTCAGGTAACATCGACGTAAGGCCTTTCCAAGGATTCATACCAAACACCATTTCGCTTGGCGAATGACACAAAACCTCGTTGAAGGCCGTGTTCAACGAATGCTGAACAAATTTGACACCCTCGTACCACTTCACGCTCTGTGTTTTGTTTAACCAATCATTTAACAACTTTAGAATATCTTTATTATTCCTTCCATTGTATACGTTTTCGTTGAAATTCGTTTCTGAAGCTACTATTCTTATTTCAGGACAAATGTACCTTATTTGTTTCACTATGAGTTCGACAAAAGTAATTCCATTTTTTGATTGTAAAACATTCGGCGCACCGAACACTAAAAATATTTCCAATAATTTTTCTGTAGCCTCATTCGCATTGAACTGTTTTAATACATTTAAATGCGTGAATCTGGTCGCCAAGTTTCGATAGATCATCAAGAATTTGTATTCTTTGTCCTCCACATTATTAACATATAATAGATCCACTTGACCCCTAGAATAAAGCTCTGGGTGTGCAAACAATGATTCTTGTACAATATTCTGTTTTTCGGCGCGATTGTTCTTATATGGCTGCATTTTGGAATAATTTTGACGTTTAATCTTGCAAGTTGTACATAGAGATATGAATAGTGATATTATTTGAGCCGTAATATTTTTGTATTTCTTTTTTATCTGAGACATCATTCTAATTCTGCCAGCGTGGCCCAAATTCATGTGACAGTTTAGCAAAATATCGTACATTTCCTCGATTGGCACTAGCATCAGTGATTTTAATTTTGGCGATGAAGGATTCGTCGCAATCCTCTCGCCTTCGTTCGTTTTCACGACTTTCAATTTGTTATAAATTCGAAAATCGAGTGAATTTTTTGGTACTGCAGCTGTTTTGGATCTACAAAGCTTAATTTTTTCCAGCAAACGTACGTATTTATCGCGACGGTAATTCAAACTGTTACCGCTGCGTCTATTTACTAATTCGTTTAGTTTTTCATTAAAAACATCCTCGTCGACACTGGCCATGTTTCAATATCAGCACTAGACTACGATCATAAACTATTGTAATCTCAATACAAAATACACCATATCATTAAATTTACGCGGTCAGCTGGGACATCATTATTAGTACTCGGTGGATCGGGGAGTGGTTGAAGCAAAGTATGACGTCAGTGACGTCACTTTGTTGTAGGCAAGCCCAGAACGACAACGAAATCGAACAAGGGCCCATTCCAGGCTCAGACAGACGCGATTCAATCAATATTAGTTTCCACTCTTTCACTCGTACAGACTAACCCTAGAAATACAGATTGTTCTAGATGCATCTAGAACTCGCGTTCGTTTAGGCTGTCAGTATCAATTATTATAAATATATCAATGTTGTGTAGACAAATCATTACGAAATAAATGTTCCCTAATATTTAGATTGATGCGCGGGTTGCGGACTAGGATTTCTTGTACAATAGGAAGCAGGGACTCATAAACATACTCAGGTATATAATTTTAAATATTGAAATATTAAACCTCTTCGTTCTACTAATATTTTCTTAAAGTGGCATTCGAACCCACGACCTTCGTCACCCAACAGTCTGGGGCCAAAGAGCTTACACTTCATCTAATCATAAATGATAATCGCGGCAGTAGTGGAATAAATAATAATGATAATATTTTAGTGCTGAATCTGTCGATCATGTTGAAAGGTGTGATCATGTTAAAAATATTATGGGGCAGTGCAAGTTCTTGATTAGGAAGACAAGCCCGTTTCTCGGAGTTTCGTCGTCATTAGTCGAAGCTCTATAACACATTGTTATTAATATCTACTGGGGACCATTAAAACCGTATTTATAACACCGAGCTTCACTTAAGGTACACATTATTGGACCTGGGTTCCAGTTTTCCTTAAGATAATAGAAAGAAAACAATTTTATCCAAACTTTTTTTACTACCCTTGTAGGCAAACAAGCATACGGTCAACCCGATGGTGATTGGTTACCGTAGCTCATTGACGTCAGCAATGCCAAGAGCAGAGCCAATCCGCTGTCTACCGCTGACTACTCTCCTCAAACCTTACATACATTAGAAAGAGAACTAATCATTACGGTATCCATGCTTTAATCAAATACTGAATAGAAAAACAATAAAAATTAAGTTTTTCACGAATCCCAGACTGTGTGGGCTCAATTTTAATTCAGTGACCATGTTCACTACTTTATAACGTCTAATTCATAGCTTTCGTTTTTATCACTGTCAACCGAAAACCACGGCACATCGACATTAGCAATACCATCGTCTACCATAAAATGTAGCCTCTATTACCATCATTATTTATCTAAGTACGTAGACACCTGATTAACCTTTCATAAAACTTCATTATTGTTCGAAAATTAGATAGCATGACAATGGTTTCTAAGTGTGTTTGTTTTACTGTATTTACGGCTCATAAAATACTCTCGACCTTTTAGCCTAACTTGGTTATTTTTCTAGTAATTAATATCATAATGGGCTTTTTGAGACAATCCGAAAATCCGGGTCTAGCGTTTTAGTTGTTACTCCACAGTTATGCGCCTTTTCAAATACTAAAGGAGTAATAAACTACAATTTATAAAATATACTTGGTCCCGATGAAACAGATTAGTAAATTCACACAGTATTACACTTTGTCCGCTCAGTAAATTGTATTGCTTTTACTGTCTATCTTTGGAGATATTTTGAAGGTTTCAAATATTGTTTTAACGACTATTTAACTCCCCTTTTATTCTCTCCCGCTGCTGGTAGCTACTTCTTATAGCGTTAAAGTTTAAGGCGATACTGTGTGACTTTCAAATTCGTCGCACATATTCATAATATCTCGTAGACTATTTTTATGGCTTATAGTAAGTACAATAAAAGGTAGTGTTAGTATCATTATAATCTTTACTACATGACTTTAAGACAGTGTTGCTATGGCAAAATCCCTAACTTTGAAAGATGTTAAAATATTTTGCATTTTCTTTTACTTGCGATATTTGTTTAATTTTTTCCAAAGATAAAGTGTTTTCAAATTCTGTCTTTGTACAATTGATTTGAATTGAATTCAAATAATATTAAACTTCTAATAATACTAGATGATTATAGAAGTTTTTTGAAGATATTTTATTGAACACTTTTGCAGCTGAAGTGAAGTGAAAAGAAACTTCTCAATCTAGTCTACATTCCTATAAACGAGTAATAGCACAGTTTAAAATGATAGTATTGACTATTTAATAATCGTTAATCACTGTAGGATAATTTCATTGCAGTTTTAATAATAAAAAGTCTAAGTTATGCAAAGAGAAATATGGTGCTACCTCCAATGTTACTCTTTACCTCTCATTTTAATTTTTTTCCTACCTATTCGCTGGTTGTGGGGCAATTTCAGCCACGTGCGGACGGGTAGGTGAGCTTACGGGTTGAACTTGAGAAAATTTGCTAAAACTTAAAAACTAGTCCTAGCAAGAGCAGTGCTTTGCTGAATCGACCATCGTATTGGAATCGAGACCCACTGATAAGATCCGGCGAGAAACTCAGTAGGTTGTGTCTGTGGTATTTTTAAACATTTCATAGCTACTCTAACTTTATATATATTATTCTTTTTAAACCTAAAATGTTTAATGAGTTTCAAATGATTCCGGTACTGTAGCTAATAGTGTGCAAAAATATTTTTACAGGGTTATGGAGAATGCGAAAAAAATGCTAAACACAATATTCGATTGCAGCTGGCATCACTGGTTCTGTCAAAACTGACACATTGGGACTTTCATTCCAACCGGCAACTCAATGAATTTAGTAGGTAAAAAAAACAACAAAATTTCTGCTTAGAACTTACTGTAAGCTTTAAATCATTAATATAACACTAGATATTAAGATATAGGCAATGAAAAGTGAGGTCATTACTCATTCGCTTGAGATTTGATTTACGACAGTACCTTCAATTATAATTTTTGGTGAGCCTCCAACTTATTAACTCAGGCACCGACTTTTGGGAAATAAAGCGTCTTAAAATCGCATAATAATTCATATAAGACCTTATTGAACTCTAATCAGTAAAGTCAGTTCGATAAGTGTGTAAAGGTAATATTTTTAATTTTTTGTAACAAAATTAGTATACTTATTAGCCGATAAGAACAGCAACTTCAAATATATGAATATAAAATTATTGTATAACTATTATGTATATTTACCAAATAGATTGTTATTAACAAATTATTATTCAGCAAATCACACAGGAACTCAAGCCGAATTAAAAATGATAAATCTTGTATATATGAAGATGCAAAAACAGGTAATGAAGTCTATAAACCATATGTTTACCCTTCTTTCTTTAAATAACTGTCTGACTTAGGCATGGTACACTCTCTACAAAAAAAACCTCAAAGAGAGTGATTGTTATTAATCCCTTCGTTCATATTGATCTTAGTCGGTTTAACCTTGGCACACCATCAACCTACTAACAGCATATCACATAGCTGATAGTCAGTGATATCCTACTGACCTATATAGTACAGGAAGCTAACTAAGATACTAATGTGAAATGATGGGGTAGTGCTATTGTTAGCTACCTCAGGCCTTGAACTGTTGTAATTTTCAATGAAAATAATATTAGTTTTAAAATCAATTCCACTTGATATATAAGTCATGTTATTCAAGTCAAGAATTAAATTGTAGTCTTGGAATAATTTTATCTACACTATAATATTTATGGTTCATCATCAAACTTCATATCATATATCACATCATAAATTAAACTACGGGGTGAACATACTTATCTTCGATAGAACTTTGGGCATTACTCAATATTATAAAACTATTCAATGCAATTATAACAGTTTAAAAGTAACTGTAAAGGCCTATTTGTATAAAATAATAATACTGATTTCTATTTTATTGAGTATTATTTATGATATCTAAGATATTTCTACCATAAATTGTGTTTTATATATTGTATTTTGTCTAGACCATAACAGATTGGAGGAATGTAGTATATTACTAACTGGAATTTGCCTTCCTGACAAATATTCTGTACTGTTTTCAAGCCCTATCCTAACATTGATATATGTCTGTTGATTAGTGTTGACTGAAGCTAATATTTCTTCCTTCTCTGTGTAAATATTCATATTCATTTAAATCAAGTTATGTTTTATCTAATGTGTCCACAAAAATAATGAACCCCTAATTCACAGTGATGATGAAAGTATTATCAAGCAGATACCAGAGCAAAATCAATTTAAGAATTGACTTGGCCTTTATTCAAAATGGGAATAAGTTTGAGAATATTGTGAAACTGTCAAAATTATTGTATTATAAACATTATGCTTAATTTCTGAATGAATCTGTTATCTCTTTATGTTTTTTTTTTGTAGTTACTCACTCCTTGATCACTTCCTGTTAACTTTCGTTTTGTATTTTTGATAAAAAACTGTTTCAACACGACAATTATGTTGACAGTATTTTTTTGTAAATTTATTGAAAGTATCTCAGACAAAGGTTGTCAGTCCATTTTTCAATTACTACTTCCTATTATTAGCCAATAATGGATAGCATCCAGAACAGTAGTTTAAATGATTGGTTTTTCATATAGTAAAAACTTGATGTCCAGTGTATTAGATCAGTTTCGAAAGCCAAGTGTGCTTAGTGCGAGTTTTTGAACTTTTTTTTTCCTACCTATGCTGATAGCCTTGAGAGGCTATATCAGCGTAAACTTAACTAGTAAGTGAGCTCACGGGGCTCAAACCGGACGACGTTGCTAACACGAACCCTAGCAAGAGCCGTGCTATGCAGAATCTACCACCGGATCGGAAACGCGACCCACTGAGAAGATCTGGCGAAAAACTCAGTGGACTGTGTCTGAGGGATTTTTGAACGTTCTCGATAGCGTAAAAGTAAACTGAAATTTGTATGTAGTTGGAACGTTTGCCTACGTTTGCCGCCAGGGGCGCTGTTCCAACTGGATACTTTGAGCTAACTTTTACGCTATAGAGAACGTTAAAAAGCTCGCACTAAGCACACAGAATGTAGTGATGATTCCAGACACGTAAATACAGTACTCCCCCTACGGCATCAAAATATCAACTATAGTATATTATCTGGTAGGCAGCGGCTTGGCTCTTCCCCTGGCATTACTGAAGTTCATGGGCGACGGTAACCACTCACCATCAGGTGGGCCATATGGACGTCTGCCTAAAAGGGCAATAAAAATAAAAAAATAAACTGGGCATTTGTAAGATAAAGCAGTGTCCTTAATATGTTCCTGCATAAGTCTTTCCTTAATCCTCTCTTAAGTGATGGTTGGTATGATATTTTAGAAGTCATAGTGGCCTAAAGGATAAGATGTCCGGTGCATCCGTGTTGAGCGATGCACTGGTGTTCGAATCCCGCAGGCGGGTACCAATTTTTCTAATGAAATACGTATTCGACAAATGTTCACGATCGACTTCCACGGTGAAGGAATAACATCGTGTAATAAAATACAAACCCGCAAAATTATAATTTGCGTAATTACTGGTGGTAGGACCGCTTGTGAGTCCGTGGGTGTAGGTAGGTACTACCGCCCTGCCTATTTCTGCCGTGAAGCAGTAATGCGTTTCGGTTTGAAGGGTGGGGCAGCCGTTGTAACTATAGGTACTGAGATCTTAGAACTTATATCTCAAGGTGGGTGGCGCATTTACGTTGTAGATGTCCATGGGATCCAGTAACCACCTAACACCAGATGGGTTGTGAGCTCGTCTATCCATATAAGCAATAAAAAAAACGTCATTTTTATAGACATGAAGTTTTAAGGTGAGTGGCGGCATTCACGTGATGTCACCGGTCTAGGATATTTTTTTTAGTGCCAAAGCATTCATGACGCCAAGAACTTTGATCTAAATGGTAAGAAAATCGTAAAATTGAAAGCATACCTAGGATACGGCGAGCCGTCTGGACCAGGACAATCCGAGCTTTCCAAGGCATCTCCCCATGCATATTTTAACCGTGGACCGCAATCTGCCATGACATAACACGTAAACAATGCCTGAAAAGTGAAAATATTTTTTTTTTAGAAAATTTACGAAAATTACGCAATGCAAATGCAGTACCTACCTAAGCATATATTTTAATTATTAAGCATGTATTTACTACTAATTTTCACGTAATTAAAAAAAATAATGGAGTAATTCAGAAAACTTACAAACTCTTGCATAGATTTCTTCAATTTTTTTTTTATACCATTTACTAATGCGTCACTCAATCTATTAAGCATCTCCTTAACGTCTATATAATACAAATTATATTATATTTTTTACTTGTCATTCTAGATCATTACGAAAATCAGCGCATTATATTATTGAGGTCTCAATATCATAAAGAAATGATTCTGTCGCATGAATTCACAGGCTGCGCGTGAGCAGTCATTGGGTGGTATGTGTGTCGTGGCCGAATGACACAGATCCCATAACGACTGTGTGGACTATCTTTTACTGTTGAAACCTTTTCCGTGTTCCAAACTCCGTAACGACAGGAAGTTTTAAGTTCATGCACACACACTAACTTTAGCTAAAACAAGTATGTAACTGAACCATGATGCGACGGTATGTAGTATGTACTACATGACTAAGCGAGTTAGGTGTTTATACACTCAAATGTAGAACTCGCAATTTCTCCGTAATACAAATAAAATCATTAAATTCCTAACCTTATTACCTACGTTTGACACAATTATGGATACCTACTTCACTAAACTATTAGACATAGTAATATGATGGACATAGGTATTTTAATAGTTAATTTTCTAAAATCTGTGTTGATCCTGCATGATAAGTCCCTGTCTATCTTTAATATTACCTTACCCATCTCGTAATTCCAAACCAGTATGTTATTCATCGGAAATGAAAGGGTAACCGAATGTGCGATGAATTGAAAATACCTACCTTCAAGAAAGTGTCATTGTCAGATTTCTAGGTCGCCAATGACCACATGTCGTTGACCTGTTGCCTAAACAAGTGTACGTCAGGTGCTAATTTCTAAAATACTATGCTGCGACTTTGGTATGGCTAAATTTGGGGTTATTAAGGGAGTGAAGAATACAGAATTTTACAACAATTACTAACTGTAGGTTTGGAATTCAACGGGTAAATAAATTGTTTTTGAGTATGACTACGTATCAATTTTAGTCAAACAGAGAAGGTGTAAATGAAAATTAAGTTTAAATGCAGATAACATATTTATCGTGATAACATTAATAGAAAAGATGATTCTTCAATCGCCATCGAATGAGCTTAATTAAAGGGTTCAAAACAATAAATAACAAAAAAAAATACGTTACGCTATGTTGAATCTCGGTAATGTTAATGCGTTTTGTGATTATGCATTAGGTAGGTATATTAACTATGTCCTTTCTTCACCTATGAATAGCTAAGTTACTTCCTACTGCTATAACGTCTCAAGGGATTAATTAATATAAGTAATCGAGATTGAGAGTCTCAACGGATTTAAAGCACCGATACAAAAGTGAAATTGGAATATATAAAAAGCAGCGAAAGTGCTCCGTCGCCTGAATAATCTATTGTATGGAAGGCACGTTTTCATTCACCTTTTCCGATTAGCTGCGACAAACATTTACCCCAAAAAATGTCTTACAAACAAACTTGTATCACTTCTACCTTCTTGAGAATATTATACTCTGTGAACTAATAATATCTATCACCCTTTTGTTTTTAGAGAAAAACATTGTAATACTTTGTACTTTTCGTTAGATTTTTTTATTGCCTTTATGATTTCGTCATGAGAATATTGAATAAAGAAATAAATGTACAAATAAAATTTTATATTTTAGTCATAATTCTTTTAATAAAAGCCATTTAAGTTTTGTCTCTTCAAAAAAACGGATCGAAGTCAGTCTAAACACGGTTAAAAATAAATGTGATAATCAAAATTATGTTGGATTGAACTTTTATTAATTACATTTCGTTATTACACATTTTAGATACGTCGTATATTGTCTATTTAACGTAGGTATATCTAATATCAGATAACACGACTTATATAAGATTTACCTACTTAATTAATGCTTATATTATTTATGCTATATAATTGAAATGAAACATAGTTGTTGTTTGTGCAACTTATTAAGAGCGGATGACGTCTCACGTTTACAAATTTTACTTTACTGTTAATACAAAAGTTAAGTACTTAAGTAGTACCCACTTGCATAAGTACCTAAGTAAATTTATTATAAGTCTTTTTCAATCTGTTTTAACAAAAATCTCTGAAATGGAGCCCTTACGTCCATTGAATGCTTCTTTAAAATCGCAAATTTTGGATATTTTTCAATTACCTATTTTATTGTTTCAATAGCTTTTTCATTTCTCTTTAATTTTAAAACTGCCCTTTACATAACCACAACTTTTTTTCTGTAGTACGCTAAGTCAATAAAAGAATAATAGCTGCTTCATTAAACCGCTTGGTTATGAATATTCCTCGTTTTGTGGGATTTTATCAGTGACAAAATTGGGGAAGTGTCTTCCCCAACCTCTTCAATGTGACGCTTCCTTGATTAGGTACTAAAATTTATATTTTGACAGTAAGAGCTTAAGATTGTTCAACTGAAGCGAAACTATTAAATTTTATTTTATGTCCTTAGCTAAATTGGGCTGTCAATCCGTTGGTTTCGGAAAATTTCCTGATTCTCTAACCAGCGTTGTCTCTGTAATTCGTCTGATTTGGCAACACATGAGGGTGAACACACACACGTTAGCGAAACATACTTGTGGCGACCAACAACTTGGCTTTGATTCGTTGGTCGAACTCTGAACAACTTTTACCTACTACGATATCTCGATTGACGGAAAAGTGGACCAATATAATCCTTAAAATTTTGCTCATTCAAAATTATCGAGAGTCGGAATCCTTCCTTAAAAGTTAAACTTCAGTGCTAGAACAAAAATCTACAGAGGGTTTCACCCGTAGGGAAGAGGGTTGTTAACTATAACAATTATCAGAGGCATTATAAATGTGAATTTTATTATAAAACAAATCCCTGTAATCATTAAATCATAAAGTAAATGCATCAAGTCTTAACAGACATGTAAAAACAGTAATAATGTTCATGCTAGTTCTATTTTACTTAAACGTCGCGCTCTTTACTATAATTTGACACGATTGATATGCTAATAAACTAAATTACGGACGCAAAGACTTTTATATAAAATCCTTAAGCCTTAAAATGTAGTGCTTCGATTTTCGGCCAGCAACTTTCAAATTTACTAATTACAGGTTGTAACTTTAGGCAGCGAGTGAGAGCTTTGGTTAACAGTAAACCGTAGATAAATCTCTATCATACTATGATTGTTTTTTTACCTATCTCCCTGAGCGGTTTGTTCGTTCTAAATGCATAGGCAATGAGTCAGTCAGCCGTTGAGATGATCGTCGTCTAAATTTTATATATTTATTTTGTTGAGCGTGTGCTTACTAAAGGAGAAAGCTACATGTAGGTACGTACAACGGTTTTAGTTCTGAAAGGGGATATTACTTCAAAATAAATATAACAATGAAATACGTTTTTACACAGTCGTGTATAGGTGTATTCATAATTTTTTTTCACTTTATTTTAAAATTATGATATATTGGTATATAACATTAATAATAAACAATATTTCTTGACTTTACAAGAAATGATTTATTTCACATCTGAGGAGACAATAGGAATAACATAAAAATTAAATATATTAATCACTTACCATGTAAATAAACACCGCTAAATTTATTGAACACATTTTTAAATAATTTTAATTTACTTTAAACGTAATTATATTACCAAGCAATTATTAATAATTAGTGCGGCACACTATTGTACGCAAGTTTTTCTTTTAATAAAAAGACGACACATTCGCGTGATTGGAAGGGCGTGCGGTCGACGCACTGCCCGCGCAGACAACAAGTGGTGTTCTATGTTCATTATAACGGGAGTTCAGCCGAGAGTCCTAAGAATAAGCGTTAGCGCCTACTTTACTGCTGATAACGGCAGAATGGTGGTGGCAACTCTCTCTAAATTTTTGAATTTTAGCGCCATCTATGTCCCGAACATCGTACTACATTCTGTACTTTTACCGGGTTTTTGACGTTAGAAATTAAGAGCACCAATCGTAGCTCTATTCTGAAACATGGCCGCATGGCTAACTGACAGCGGCCCGTCTGATATTACTGAACAAAACAACTTGTGTACGTTTTTAGTAGAAAAAAGGAACTCAAACATAAGAGCAGACTTAAATTTAGAAGCATTCGATAAGGAGTTTAAGGGGTTACAACCTTGTGGATTCGAGAAAAGTGCGTTTGTTTCTGCCGTGACGTCGGAAAGTGTATACAATCATAATAGTGAAGTTTCAGAAGGAAAAACTCATTTGGAAACGTAAGTAGTACAAAACAGCCTTATCTCAGTAGCAGTGCACAGCATTAACGATTAATTTCTAAATATACTTACTTAACTTTGTTTCTGATTTTGAAACAATTATTCAATCAGCTGTTTGTCAATAATCTTCTGTCTCGTTCGCTCGTGCACCTTTCACCACTAACTGATTCTTGTCTTGGTGTATCATTTTTGGGCATTCTATTTTGGTACATTACCATCACTATGTGATGCGAATATCCTAATTTTGTGTACCTGCTCCAATGAGTAATTTGTTGAGGGGCGAATGAAGGTATGAACATTTTTATTCTGATTGTAAAATATCTGATTAGAATTCCAACACAGCTTTGCAGTAAACAGACTTGTTGATAATGCTATCAAATGACATAGTAATTACGAGATACTGACCAGTACTGACCACAATATCCTGTGGCATTTTTTAATGTTGCCCAGGTAATGTACTCCATCAAATACAATTTTATACACAATTTATTTACTTACATAAAAATTATTATGAATGAGTTTATTTAAATAGGTAGTTAATTTAGTATAGTTGTAAGCACTTATGACAGCGTTAACAAAAAGTGTGTTAACATTGTATCAAAAAGATCTTACAGAAAATATAAATAAAGTGTTTTAAACCTTTTTTTTACATTTTTTATTGCCATTTCTAAATTCAGAGACATTAGCTTAGACTGAAAAACATAATATTTTCTGTCATTCTCAGCACTAACAATATCAATATAGATTAAATGTTTCTAGATTGTCAGAGGCTCTTAAATGTTTTTTTAAATGCCAATACTATGTCTAGTACTACCATCATTACCTTTATCAGTCGATAAAAAAAAATTGCATTTGAACTGAATAAAAATTAAAAATCATAAATTTAACTATATTATTGTGTTTATTTTGTGGTATGAATTTTGCTTTGTAAATTGGCCTTTGCTAGGGTAGAATTTGGCGTTAAGCCAATTATGCTATGGAAAAACAAGTGTATCGTAAGAAAAGCTTTTTCATTTTACATAGGCAATGGGACTCTAAATGTGTGTTACATAATATTTTTATTGAAATGAATTATTCACTACTCTGCTATACCAATCACTTCTCAGTATACTGACCACTCTTACTATGATAATAATGTTTTCTCATGTGTCAATTAAAATGAATTAAATTTTATGATAGTATTGAATAATGAAAGATAGTATCTAGAAGATAGTATTGAATATTTTTTTATTCTAATCTTTGTTAGCCTAAGGAAGGGGCCATAGTATACACATAGCTTTCAAAGTTCTAACCTGCTACTATGTACTTTTTTAACGATAAACGCTTACTGTGATCAGTTAAATAACGAAACGTCGTCTTGCAGGCATGATGATTCGTCGGGAATGTCGTCGATCAAAATCGATTCTCAGAAGCATCAAATGGACAAAAACAAAAGGAAGACGGAGGACAACAACGCCCGTTACAGATGCGAATACGACGGCTGCGAGCGCACTTACAGCACGGTGGGCAATCTGCGGACACACATGAAAACTCACAAAGGTGTTAATAGTGCACACGAACTCTTAACCGATACTCGATACTTAACGATACTTAACCTATTAAACGAACTCTAACTCGAATATTTAACCCTCTGTTTGCTGTGTAGGTCACTCGTGCTCTACATTGCATACAAATATACTTAACCCTCTGACTGCTATGTTTATTTGTTTAGATGTGTGGACGAGCTCCCACATGGTGTTAAGTGGTTACTGGAGTCCATAGACATGTACAACTTAAATGCCGCCACCCGCCTTGCGATATGAGTTATAAGGGTCTCAGTAGAGTTACAACGGCTGCTCCACCCTTCAAATCGAAACGCATTACTGTTTCACGGCAGAAATAGGCAGGGTGGTGATATCTACCTGTCCGAACTCATAAGTGGTCCTATCACCAGTAATTACGCAAAGTATAATTTTGCGGGTTTGATTTTTATAACACGATGCTATTCCTTTACCGTGAAAGTCAATCGTGAACATTTGTTAAGTATGTATCTCTTTAGAACATTAAACGTACGTAATTAAAAAGTTGAAAAAAAAAAGATAAAAAAATTATTCAGTAGGTATTATGGCCAGACTAGTTATAGTAAATTTTCTTTCATTTCAGAAACCAGGAACACAAAGTTTATAAAATAATTTATTCTTGCCATAGCACAATGTGCGAAGGTACGCGAAATAAATTATGAACTACAAATCATTATAAATTTTACAGTGCCGAAATAGTAGTAAGCCAGAAATCCTCTCGTTTAATAGGAAAAAATCACGATACAAAGAGGCATGAAATCGCGTTATCAAACTACCGCGTTATAGGGGGACTATTATTTTACTGATGTTTTCGCATTACGCAAAACATAGTCCAATAGAAAATCCAGTGATGTACAGTAACTGGTCAAGGTATCCGGGAAACGGGAGACGATGGACATTATCCATTGCGGGGGAATGTCAGCTGTATTTTTTATATATGTATACATATATTTGTACGTAAATAATATAGGGTCCACAACATATGAACTTATAGACAATACCAGTGCTTATGCTTAATTGAGTAAATTACTGTTCTATGTTTACTTTAGACTTGCAGTTTATTCCCGATTCGGTGCAAGAACTGTTACATAGTAATACCCACTTAAGAGTAGCTACGTAAATATGCACAAACAGTACTAATGGCATTAATACATATATATATATATATATTGGTAAAAGACTTAGCGCCTACACTATGCACGTCCGTGGGTTTGGTTTTCAGAAAAAAATTGGAACTTGTATTACCTACTCAGTACAAAACACCAGCCTTCGTGTTCGGAAGTTTGTCATGATATTTAAAATGACGAGGTGTATTATAAAAAAGTAATCCTGATAAGCCTAGTTTAAAGCTATTTAATTCTAATATGTGGATTTCCTGCAATTTTCAAAAATCGCAATAACCTCCCTTGAGCTGTGAATTAGAAGTTCCTCCCCTAAATTTAGGGAAAACGTTATCTAAGACTTTTTTTTTACTGCCGAGCCTTTGACACGAACGCAAGCTGTTTTGTATATCTTCTAAATCTAAAATGTACGTACACATAAAATATTTTAACATGCATTACGAATAAACCAAAATTAAATATGATTACAGGTGAATACAGGTTCAAATGTCCAATGCAGTCCTGCGAGAAGGCCTTTCTAACATCATACAGTCTAAAGATACACGTCAGAGCGCACACGAAAACAAAACCCTTCATTTGCGACAACAGCTCCTGTGGGAAGGCTTTTAACACTTTATACAGGTAATTGTTGTTTCAGAGAGAGAAAGAGAGGGAGGGTGAGAGAATGAGAGTGCGAGAATGTACTAAAGTACAGGCAGGTATAGGCGGCCTTATCCCTAAAAGCATGGGTTCCATTGGCTCGAAGACACAATTACATTGGTACGTGACTGTTTTCCCGCTTAAACTGGAATGCGTGATGATTTTCCTCCAAGAAACAGACTGGACGGTGTTGCCTATACATATATACCCTAACCCTACCTCTAACGACCCCACGTGGGGTCTACGGACCGTCGAGGCGGTTTACCCAGTCTTTGATGACTGGGTGAATCGTGGCCGAGGACGCCTCACCTTCCGTCTGGTGCAGGTACTGACTGGGCACGGATGCTTCGGGAAGTACCTGCGCCGGATAGGAGTTGAGCCGACGACGAGGTGCCACCATTGTGGACACGGCGGAGCATACGCTCTGTCTGCCCCGCTTGGGAGGTGCAGCGCTGTGTCCTGGTCGCAAAGATAGGACCGGACTTGTTGCTGCCTGGCGTCGTGGCGTCGATGCTTGGCAGTGACGAGTCCTGGAAGGCTATACTCGACTTCTGCGAGTGCACCATCTCGCAGAAGGAGGCGGCGGGGTGAGTGAGGCAAAGCAGGGGGTCGGGACCGGGGTCCCGACCGTAACCCGGCCCCCTAAGAGCTTCGAGCTCCACCCGCTTTGTGCGGGGAGGAACCTGGGCGTGGGGCGGCGTGGTAGGTCGCGTTTCCCCGACCGCTCCGGGGGAAGGTGTAGCGCGGCGCTATCAATCGGGCTCTTGGCCCGTCGACCGAAGGAGCCGGCGGTCATGTAATTTTACTAACCAGATGGATAGAAACACACTAACGACCTGACCTAGGTCAGCAGAGGGATAGTCCAAGACAACTCCTACCCACACCACTCTCTACTGAGCAGTTGCAAAAGTTACACTTAACTAATGTGACAATTTGTGGTACGTGGACGTTTCAAATACTTTAGAGATTTCGTGGTCGCGGATGACGAAAGTGTTATTCGTCGATATTAATATACCGTGCTAACTACCGTCTGATTTAAAAAAAATATCTTTGTTTTTAGAAAATTTTCTTCATCTGGTAACACTAAATATTGTGAGATTCGTAAAATATGCAAGCCGGTAAGCAGGTTTCAAATAGTTGATTTCTACAGGTTCCGGATACCATTTGGTAAACCATTACAAAAATACAGTGCTACTCTACGTACCTAGAGAAATACAAGAAAGCTCCAAAATCTTATGATCATACAACAAGCTATCGGATTTAAACTAAAATCATCATAACACGATGCAACAATCGCTTAATGCCTTTAATAGCTTCTTACAACACCAAAATAAATATTATATAAAATATAATAGAATTTTAAAACGAAATATTTTACTATATGTACTACAACAGTGTACTTTAAAATTAATTGCATAACACCAACATTTTCTTCTACTGTACAACATATCTTGTTTTCAACTATAAATCTTTAGTTTTCAAATAAAAATACGTGAATCATTCCAGTACACGTGCCGTGATATACGACATTGGATTGATGCCAATACGTGTTGATCTGATGCAAGAGGATCTTGGTTTTTGTTAGTTTTTCGTGTATCAAAAAACAAGTCAATAAATCCGTGTGTGACCAAAAGGCTAAAGACGTTGGAAATTAATTAAAATTAAAATTACAGTGTACGTGAATGAAGTGAAACTTCTTTTTCGATGTGTAGTATTGTGGTTTTATTCATTTCTCAACCTTAAATCAGATTGCTTTTGTAATATGGAATGCTGTGTATAAGAGATGCGACATCTTCAACCTTTATATTATATATGTTTTAAATTATAGTTAGAAAAATAAATACATATATTATACATTTTTTAATTGTCCATTAAAATATTGGACGCTACTCGTTGCTAACGCTCGCGCTGGCCTGTACCAGGTATACTACGCGCGTGGGTTCGAGTGCCACGCATTCACTCTCGCTCTTTTTATTCCTCGATAGCGTTAAACGTTTAACGCAACCTTGTTAGAAGTCGCATTAGAAGTTTCACTTCAAAAATCACGCTTGACTAGCAAATCGAGTAACGATTAAATTCTTTTGTTTTTTTATCCAATCTTTGTTTGTCGGAATATTAAGGTGAAGTTATCAAATTATTGTAATGTCTTCGATTGTTCACACGTATGCAAGATTTCAAGTTAATCGAACGTTTCGAAGTACGTAAAAATGAACCTCAAAGGTTCCGTTACAAACAAGCATAGCTAATCAAAACGTGTTTAGAAGGATCCAGAAGGAATCACTGTATGAACTAGGACCGTTTTTCTGTCTCAGTTTTCGCCTTCACTACCTGTCTTCGATCTTAGGAGCTAGCTATATTAACTGACAACTAAATAGTGACACTGACATAACGTGACAACTAACTTCTTCTTCATACTTAACGTCCGAGTAACCATTACCTAACAAATTCTCTTGTTCTCGTCTTGAGCTGTAAAAGCGTCGTAAAGAATTCTTCAGATCGGGCGAATTTGGATATTTTTACATTTTAAAACGTCATTTCTAAAGCCTTCGATTGCCTCTGAAAATAATATATTGTGAAAAACTTGTTGAGGGAGCTCATTGTAAGGACGAAGCTAGGAATTCTAACAACACTAGAAATCGTATGTGGTCAATGTTAATCCACGTCAATCTCATTCGAATATCAGATAAGTTGACAATATTGGATCAATGAAATGCTTTAAAATAGGCCAATTCTAATAAAGATGTTTCGATAATTGCATACGCACACTTATACGTTCTGAAAAATACGTACACTGCCTTTCTTATGCACACATAAACATACGTAATTCATCGTGAAACAATTACATATCGAAGGGTGAAAGGCTATGATAAGCGACATTTTTGCAACATTACAGGACAGCCATTTAATATTTAAAATTTTGGAAAATATTGTTACGCGCTGGGATTCGGGATAAATAAAAGTTCCACCGAAGTACAAGTTAACACTGTATTTATCACTTAGAATACTCACAGAACACTTTAAAGTTCTTAATTCACTTCTTCCGCTTCGCTTCAGGTGATCCGTTTGCTGTTTCGCTTCGAGTAGTTCCGATTATTGACTTCGTGCCATCTCTGCAACGCTTTTATAGTCGATACGACATCCCTAGAATTATCTAGAATATTCCACAGAAGTCGAGTATTTTCGATGTTTGTTTCCGCTATCTGACAATAGATGGCGTGGTACTTCTTGATCTTTCTCGACGTTACGAGTACCTTTGATATTCGTTTCGGCTATTCGGCGATAGATGACATTACTCTTACCGGCGTAAAAAATATTATAAAAAAAACTTCTTCAGCAATTGAATAGGGTAAACATAATTGAGCTTCGATTAAAAACATCGAATAGCTAATAAAAATGGACCTGAAATTTTACAAAGGTAAATGTCGCGTATTAAGTGAAATGTCGCTTAAGCCAAGATTTCCTTTTCAATAATCAAATATGATTGTTCTTCCACACGTCAATACCCTTTGTTTTGATCTTCCAATCAGTTGTACCGTATGACGCAAGCAGGTCAATTGACTACACAACGTTCCGAAACAAAGTCTCGTGTACCCAATAAGCGTGCATGGTGAAATTGACAGGTTAAGGGCGCACCAGAGGCTACACAGCGGCGACACGTTCAACTGCAAATCGGATGGATGCGCGAAATACTTCACGACCCTGAGCGATCTCAAGAAACACATTCGGACCCACACGAAAGAACGACCCTATAAGTGAGTACCTACACAAACCCTTACTTAGAAAAGACTTGTTTCATCGTTAAAAAAACATGAGATGATTAATTAATATTTTGATTCGTAAAAAGTGAATGAATGAAAGTGAATGAATTAATGAATTGCAGCTTAATTTCATGGATGTTTATTGCGATCTTAGAAAATAAATTTATCTTGGTTTCATTGACCAGTTTGCTTATTAAGTTAATGTAATATAACATTCACTTCATGTTTAACGATGAGATGTCTGAATTTAGACGAATCCAAACTTAGTTATTGTAGAATTATGTTCCATTTAATTTATTGCCCATTTCGTAAGTAAATATACTTTTGATTTCACGGCTTCCTTTATTTCGTTCTTACTGTAAAACAAAATGCATTATTTAAAGTAGTCCCTAATAATAATTGGCCTACGACGGAAGGAAACTCTTTTTTTGTGTTGTCAATGAGCTTCATAAAATAATAGCGTTATTTGGCTATAACATATATGTTTCAAATAACAATTTTGAATTTTATTGATTAAGCTTTATATAAAACACAAGAATGCATCTTCAATCTTTTAGGCTACAACGTGCTCAATTTTATCTTCGAGATTTGACCGTGTTGTTAGTTTATGAACAGTAACAAAACGAAAATCTACCGGCTTTTTATCATACAAATTGCAATTTGAGCTTTATGTTCAAGAAGATTTAGCTATGGGGCGTATCTAAGTATACGCATCAGCGTACACCTAACGCCGCCGATGCCATTGTCGGCGGTGACCGCTGTTGTCATACGATATGCTCATAATCCTCGCTCAGTGAGCCCCGTGCTGTCCCAAGGCTCCAATTAAACAGTTATCGTACTGTTACTAGTGAGAAGGCCGAACTCTTTAAAAAAAAAAGGTTTTATTCGACACTATACAATATTTATAATGAATAACTAATTATAATAAAATAATTTGGAGATAGTGAGGAAAATTGATAAACGTCTCACTTCAATGAATATCTGACCCGAACTGAGCCTGGTATGTTCTCATGAAATCACTGTGAGAGGGCTTATGATGAGTAAGGTGTTTGGTGAGCATTAGTCTATACAGGCTAGGGATATAACAGTACGATATCTCTGGTGCAGATGTCGCATGGACGGTTGCGACAAGTCGTTCATAGCGTCTCATCATCTAAAAGCCCACGGTCGGACCCACGCGCCTCCGCGGCACTTCGCGACCTTCGCCAGCGTCAGACCACACGTCGGCAAGCAACAGGTACGTATCGATCGACAGATCGTCTTCTCGCATTAAAACTGTATAATCTCAAAATTTACTAATTTTACAGGAGACTGTTTTAAAGGTTTAACATGTGATATTTTTAATATTAAATTAATCATCTTTGCACCATTTATTTTTTATTGTTTACCAGTTCCATTATTTGTCTTTTAAAGTAAGATCAAATTATGTATTAATTTTGTTAATAGTAGTCAAAACCTGGGTAAACTAAAAAAAAAACGAAAACTAAACAACGCTCTTTTGACAGTATTTATGAGAAAAATACTGGTGATACCGCATATTAACTCAATTTCGAATATTTGCGACTTCGACCACGCGTCTGGAGGTGTGTGGCCGCATTGTGGTTGTGGTGACCGGGGTAACCATTAAACACCACGGGTACATTGAGCTCGTCCACACATTTAAGCTATAAAAAATACTTCGTGCTGCCTATTTCTGTTGCAAAGCAATCCTTCAAAGAGCAGGCCTACAATTCAGGCTAATCCATATCGTCATCTGCACAAAAACATTTTCAAATAAATTCTAATCACGACATTCTAGGCGGAAGCGGAAGTCGTAAACACGGAAGTAGCGAAACCTCTGAATCCGGAACCGGCCAAAACCGATATCATGTACTGGGACGGTCTCTTAGAGTCGTTCGGCAGGATCACGACAGAATCTAATTCGACCGACGGGAGCCTGGAGGACGTGACAGTGGTCAACAACGAATATATAACCGAATGGCTGTTCGAAGGCACCGGCGCACCCAAAGACGCAGCAGCCTACGACATTAACAGTATTGCGCTGTCGCCCTTTGACGTCGACAAAACCGATAAAAAATACGAAAACACTTGGGTCGACGTTAACGGGATCCAACCCACCGTCCCAGTCGACAACGGTAACAAACTCGAAGTCAGGTCCAAGGCAATCCAGCTCGCCCTGGCCAACGAGGTAGAGCTCCAAGCGCCCTGGGTGGACGTGAGCGCTTTGGCCGCTTCCATATCCGAGACCCCGGTCACTATTAAAGAGAAATCCCCCGAAAGCATATTCACGCTGGCCACGTCCGTCCCCACCCACATGCAGAGCTACATCGACCTGAGCGCCGAGGGGCCCACCGCTCACGTCATGACGCACGCGGCGCTGGCCCTGGACACGCCCAGCGTGCGCGACGTGGCCGCCGGTGTCTTCAACGACAGCGAGATCGTCACCAACTTAGAGCCCGGCAAGATCGACGCCGACCTGGACTTGTTCTTCAAGTCGGACGACGACCGCTCCCTCAACACCCCCTCGCCCTCTAAAGTGCAGCAGAACATCGAAATAAACCCCGCCAATTCCGTGCTCTTCAACACCGACTTGGATCTAGAGGACACTCTGTTGTTCGACAACGAGCCGCCCTCGGACATGTACGTGGTCCGAACCGAGAACATATTCGGTAAAGAGATAGCGAAGAGGAACGCTCTGGAGCAGGTGGCCGCCGACTGCGGGATCTGCAGCTGCGAGGGCTGCACGTGCAACTCGGAGGGCGAGTGCAGGGACAGCAGCACAGCGGACACGTGCACGTGCGTGAACTGCGCGTGCGACCACTCGGCCATGACGTGCGCGGCGGGCTGCGGCAGCGCCACCGCCACCGACCGCAACACGTTCCTGCACTACCACGAGAGGCACAATAGCACCACCAAACTGGAAGACCTCGGGATATTTACGCTGCGCGAATGCGACGACACCGCGACGTCGGCGCTGAACAAGATCAAGTGCTCCTGCGACGGCTCTACCAAGTGCAGTATTCTGAATGCCGGCAAGGACCCTTGCTGCGGGGGCGCCAAGTCGTGCTGCGTCACCATATGCATCGACAAACTAGACGCATTCAAGAAGTTCCTAACGGACAACAGCATGCTCGACGCGATGAAGGTCCGCAGCGTGGACGACGACCTCAAAGCATTGTTCACTGCATTTAACCAGTTTGTTTCTTGCGGCGATAAGGTTTGATTACGTGTCGAGCGCGGAGTCAGACTCGGCATGCTGTGGGCAAAGCCCACATTAAGCCACGTCCACACTAAAGTGTGACGAAATTCATTGATGCCTTTTATTCAAGAAAAAATAAGTTTAAGTTCTAATTTTTTAAAATCAGTCTAATGAGGTAGTAGGGTTTAAAAACGTTGACAATTTTAATACGATTTAACAACAGCATTGCTAATGAAAAATAAAGCCAGGTACAGACAGGACCGACATATTTCGGATGTTCTTAAACGTTAACCGTCAACAAAGCTCCGTCGCGTTAGTGTGGTATAAGACACATTTCGGTGCACAAATATGAGTATTATTTAGAGATGGAGATTTTTTATTTGTGTGAGATATTTTTTAATTGATATTAGCATGATTCGGTAATTCTGATTGTGACGGCTAGATGGCGCTACCGATAGTCGCGTTAAAAAGCGATAAATTTACACTAGTATTGTTCTCTCTGTCGATATTAGATCATTTTGTTTGGGAAAAGCGTTTCAATTCTTATTACGTACCACAATGCGTGCGAACATAATTGTTATGTACAATCTGCGGTGTTCGTTTCAATTAATGTAGATAGTTAAATTATATAAAAAAATAAACATTAATATATATAATACAAAAAAACAGGGTCCTCAATTTCCGATGTTAACGTATTAATAAAATGTTGATAATATTCACACTTGACACTTTTGAATACAAATAGTTTTTTCCCTTTTTTGATAATCTTTAAAGATAGGTTGAACCGTTTAATCATAACTTCGTCTTTGCTTAATATTTTTTTAGAATGACAATATACTGTTACACCAATCACCAGTATTGTTATCCAAAACACTAGTATTATTATACCAATTAATAATATTTTATACCAATCACTAGTATTACTATACCAATCACTAATATTGCTATACCAATCACTAGTATTTCTATACCAATCACTAGTATTACTATACCAATCACTAGTATTGCTATACCAATAACTAGTATTATACGAATCACTAGTCTAAATCGAACGAGAAGGGATGTAGCTAGAGCTTCCGCGAGCTAGGTAAAAAAAACGATTTGAAGGTTTTATTCCCAGTGGCGCGCGGCCACGGCAACTGTGGAGTGTGACAAACGTCGGAGTGTACATTTTTATGTAAGTGCGAAATTCTCTGCTTTTATACTCATCGAATAGAAAATAGGAAGCTTAATTTACAAAAGTTAAAAGCTAAAAGCAATATATTAACTTTCAGCATTTCCAATGTGGGTGGTATTTTTTTTTCTAAATTTCAAACATATATGTTAAACGTGTTTGTTAAATGAATTATTTTATTGTATTATTGTAAAGAGATTACTCTTAAATTTATAATTTCAAAAATGCTTTTATGTGTTTTAGACTAGATCTATTTTAAGGGTTTTTTATGTCACTATTTTGATAGATGATAATGGTTAAGATACGATTTGTTCAATAATGCTGCAATAGTGTAAATTTATAGCAGAAAAATCTGTTTAAAATATGTGAAGTTTTAAAAATAATATATTATTACCAATTTATTTTTCCGTGGGAATAAATGTGTCTAGTTAATCTTGCCATGTCTTGTAAAATGAATCCAAAAACTTGCCATATTTAAAAAGTGCCTTAAATGTATTTAAGAAGGAATTTATATTTAAATTTACATTGAACTGAAGTATTTTATATGTATTTTTAGATGTATCGTCTATTTAAAGTTACCATAAGTGGAATTTATACCAAATGTGCCATATTGTAAGTGTTTTTTTTTACGAATATTTATTCATGTAAAATTATATACGCATAGTTTTGATATTCGACATAAGACGGATTATGCAATAGGGAGAATAATTACATTTTTTTACTGAATTCAGTTATACTTGTAGCACAAGACGTGAAACTTTAGACAGTCAAAGCTGCGTATTAAAAAGTAGCTTTAGTAAACTTATGAAAGTTGAACATACAGTAAAAACCTCGTGGGATAATAGACGGCCCGGTTCGCGTTCGAAAGACACTGCGACCCCGGCATCCCCTTTACCCCTATCCTCACTCTATTCATCTTGTCCCGGACTCCTCTCTCATTCATACTTGAGCTGAGCGGTAGTGGGGCGACGTAGGGGGAGGGGAGGGGGGTCGCCGTCGCGCTGATACTAAAGTTTGATGGCTTCACGCAAAAACTCACAGACGGTTTTTAATTTAATTTCACGAACAGCTAATCAAGATAGGCCGTAAAACACAGCAACAACGTGCGCGGCGTGCGGGTAGTTTTGAGTAGTTTTTCGAGTGAGCCGGGATTTTAAAATGCAATTTGGTCTTGAAACTTGTCCCAGATTTGTTACACGGAGATGCACCGCCATGAATATTTAATTGAAGTTAACGTTATTGTTATGCCACTGTTGAAGTTGTTGGCCTTGTAAAAACATTAAGGTAATTTACTGGTGGTAGGACGTCTTTTGAGTCCGCGCGGTTAGGTACCATTACCTGCTTATTTCTGCCATAAAGCAGTAATGCGTTTCGGTTTGAAGGGTGGGGCAGCCGTTGTAACTATACTGAGACCTTACAACTTATATCTCAAGATGAGCTGTGAGCTCGTCCACCCGCCTAAGCAAATAAAATAAAAAATATTTAACTGACACTAGATACTGAGATATTTTTATATCGATTTTAACACACAATAAATAATACGAATCAAAACGTTATTGTTAGTTCGACTCTGTATTCTTTTGGTCCGGAAAGGTTGTAATAGAACTAAGCGAACACGAGTAACAACGGGGACGAAGTGTTTAGTTTAAAATACTCATCTGTGTGCTTGTGCGAGTTTTTTTGGCTTATGGCGGATGAGCTAACTCAAATTTGTATGGAGTTGGAACAGCGCCCCTAGCGGGAAACGAAGGGAAGGTACTAACACTAAGCACACTGATGAGAAAAGTTGAACAATTCATACAATATCAATGTGTCAGAGCAACATGGACTTGTGTGAGAACTAATGTCTTTTCGCACCTGCCAATATGAAGAACGCCCAACAATAGATCAAAAAGCAATCATTCGGCAACTGTGACTTATGAAACAGACGTCTGTAGTTGTCAACAAAATGTTCCAATAGTAAAACACATCACATTGGTTATTACTATAAAAACATTTCTAATTCAAGCTTATTAATTTCGGGTATCTTATATATTAATGTTCGAAGAATACCAAGGTGTTTTTGTCAATAGTCAATTTTAAATTTCGTAAATTTGCCGATTAAATATACTTAATTGTAATGTGTAATGAACTAATAATTTCAATACTTAGCCTTTAACTTATCACAAATGCAGTTCTTATAAAGATACCGTAAACAAGTTAATAGTGCAATTGTTTTTTTTTTGTTTTAATATTCTTCATAATCTATCAGTACTATTAGTACTTAATGTTTTTAAGTTTTATGTAAAAAATAATATTTAGAACTGGTGCTATTTATAATAGAACATGCATGTTTAGTGAAAATGAGTGCCTTCTTGTTTATTTGTACTTAAATTGTGCTTGAAAAATGCGAAACTGTTTAGTGCTGAGTATACATACGGTCGCTTGCCTTTGTATATTCTATATACATTCGGATTTTATGTATTGAATAACGCTGTAAAAATGTCTAGTCGTTATAACAAATTAAATAATAAACGCTTAGTAATATTACCGTTGCTTTATTTCATAAAAAAAAAAGTTGCTATTAGTATGTTATTCGGATTTCGTTTGTCATGGACATAGTTTACACATACTTTCGCGGCCATAAACTATAAAAATAGTTTTGTGTTTACTGTCTGCGAAACCTGTCTACAATAAATAATTATATGAGGGGTGAGACTATTTGGTTTAAGCGGCATTTTTTTTGCAACTTTACAGAAGTCATTTAATGTTTAAAATAATAAAAAAAAAACGACGCTTGAAAGGCAAACTTGACTAAGCGACAATGCGTGAACTTTACAGTAGACTAATTTAAAGTTGAAATTACTGAAAAAAAAATATTTTAACGAATCTAGCTGTAGGATTGAAATGATTTTAATAGACTTAGGAATATATTTTCTTGGCGCCTCAAATATGGTTATTGCCTATCATTTATGCATAAAGCAGTTATTGTCGCTTAGTCACGTTTGCCTTTCAAGCGTCGATATATTAAATAGAATGATAACAAAAAATTCTTCAGCAAAATTTAAATGGTGTAAACTTAATTGAGGTTCAATTGTTGTTGATAATAATATCAAATAAAATAGACATTTAATTACAAAGATAAATGTCGCTTATACCAAATAGCCTCTTGATTATACTTCAAGTTTTACAAAAGAGTTCAGTCTTAAACAAAAGTGTGTCAATTTACCAATCTAAAACTTTAAACTGCTAAATACAAATAACTTAAAATACCTTAATATAAGAATCCTTAAATAAAAAAAATAATCATAATATATAAAACTAGAACACTACTTCTAACTTCCAATATACAATGATAAAAACTTTGAATTTATATTGTAACTTTATAATATGAATCTAATTCCATACAGAGAAAGCAAGCATACTCTAAACAATATTAAAGCACATTGCACAACAATAATTAATACTGTAAAAAGACACCACTTGACAAGTCCTTAATACATTTCTGCAGGGTTTTGGTTATATAGATATAAATAGACTAAGACACTGCACACACAAAGTGCTCTGAGGAATTGGATCCGGATCTTTTCTCACCATCCACCAGTGAAGTAAGTCTTTTAGAGACACTGCACTGATCCAATGTTTTTCCAGAGATCATTTTTGCAACTTAAATAGCTCTGGAATGAACTCTACATGTTATATGTACTTCTGTCATTGCAGATTGTTATGCATGATGACCATTCACCATTAGCTGGGCCATAGATTTAACTGGACACATAAGCACCAAAAAATATATTTAATGTTTTTGGCATAACCTTTTTTTGGAGATAATGGATCAAGGGGACATCTACCATCGAGCAGGTGAAATTGCTCAGTACACCCACAGTCTGAATTTTGTTATTCAAAACTTATATATATTCACTTATCTTGAAAATGTTATAGCGAGATTCAGGCATCTGTCAAATCTATTGTTCTATGAGTATGATGGCTACCTGTTAAAGAATGTTCTTACGAGACTTAAGAACATTCTTTTGAACTTACTACTTACTATTTCATAAAAACTGAACAGACAGATGGATAGGGTGTTAACATATGAGCTAGGTTTGAAACTTGTAGTTTACAGGTTCAATAGTTAATAATAATATGACCAATAATTTTCAGTAGGAATGGGCCCATAAACATTATTTAAAAGGTATTCATTTTTATTCACAATTTTTTAAAATAACAAAATCTACTCAATATCTACATTTTTAAAATATACCTACATTTAATGAGTATCTACATTTTCTTTTATTTAATAAACATGTTTATCTCTTACAATTGCAGTCCTAGCCTAATCGGCTACTATTTTCTCAAAAACCTTTTTTCCATATTATCCCACTCTTCTCTTCCACATTCTGTGCCTGAGCTAGCGGCGTTTTTTTTTCTCGTGTCTCCGGGATCTGGACATGGTTGCACGGTGACCCGGTGAAGACTGTTCGGAACTACATTCATCACTGTCGGTGTAGGACTGTAATAGATAATTAATACAATCCATGTTAAGTAAGTGAAATTGTTTATGACAAATGAATAAACAAGTTAACGTTTTTAAAAAAAAAAACTATCACAGTTAGATTAATTAAACAGTTCCACCTGAGTATTGCAATGCCAAGGCAAACATGAATGGCGAATATGTCTCATGTTTGGTCACAATTTGTATGTAAAATTATTTCGAGTTCTTAGGGACTTTATCCTTATATATCCAAGGTTTGTTATTGAAATAAATATTTTCCTAGAAATAGACATCTTACCTACATTTAGATGGAATAAAGCGAAACAAGTATCGAATGTCGAGTATGTAACGCATTATTTAAAATCAAATTAGGTAAGTACATTCTGTTATAATTTTAAGCTCTTGTCACAATAAGTATGAAAAAAGCGCGACCCTATTTTGTCCTTAGGCTAAAAAATATGGTTTTTTATCGAAAAGAAAACAAGTTTCACGTTACCTTTTCGTAAGGATGTGGCTCGCTTTGTTCATCAGTTAAGGTCACACAAGCCAGTAGGCAGACTAATTGGAATGCTGCGCCAATATACAATCCATAGCGGATTACAGTACTCATTATATCTTCAGCGAAAATCTCGTTCGGAATCATATTTGCGATCGATACGCTGAATAGCTTGAAAGATTTTTATTATTATTGAAGTAAAGAGTACTAATGTATTGTAAATTTTTATCCAGAGTATTTGAAACTTTTCAAAACTAAATGAGTATTTTCGAATAACATTTATTTACAGATTTACTGATTAAAATTTTTTACACCACTTCGGTAAATTCGGTCGGCATATATATTTTTTTATTTGGTCTACTGGAGAGGCAAAGGGAATGAAGCCCATCAAAGCATTTTGTAACAAAGACCGAACATAATATTTATGTTAAATGATACTAATTTAAATGGAACTGAATAAAATGAGACTAGACATGACAACTCCTTAGGTGTCGCTTGAGATGAAATAAATATGAAATGAAAATAACGCCTTAGTAAAATGATGGGTCACAGAGTTCAATGGATTTTCTGAATGATTCCGTTAAAGCATGTACAGCGATTTCGCGTGATTTTTTCACACTAGTGAACTTTTATGTTTTAATGTTAAACAGTTACATAATAATCATCTACAATAATTATTAATGTTTAACTGACAAAAGATACAAAATTTCCAGTTTTTTTTAAATTGCCCGTGTATGTAGACGATCATGCGGCCACCTTGATGGTGAGTGGTTACCCATGGACTTCAGCAATGCCAGGGGCAGAGCTAAGCCACTGCCTACCGTTTAGTACTCTCCACAAGCCTCGATTGAAGAAGGATATGTCACTCGGGAAACACTGTGGAGAGGAGCTCATTTGAAAGCCGGATGGTACGTGGCAAAAAAGATCTCTGGAAACGCACTGTGGATGAACGCAGTGGCCCCAGATAGTATGGATGAACTCTATTCCGGTGGCGGGCAGTGGGATGGTAAAAACGAGATGATGGTATCATCTCAAACAATTCCTTATAACACTCCCCATGGAGCATACGGTACAAAATACAGAAGAAACTGAAGTCCCTCCGCAGACCCAGAGGTTCCAAACGATCAGTGAGAATGGGATTATCGACAATCCGAACGGCTCTCTTTTGTATGTAGTCAAATGGAAGAAGCTGGTATTTGGGAGCCCCGGCCCAAAGATGGGAGCAGAATTCCACGCGAGGCCGGATTTGTGCTAAAGCAAAAGTCTTTTTATCCAGGCGTGAAGTACTGCTTCGCTCTGTTGAGGACTCACAGCATTTTGAACACCAGCTTGGCTTTGCCTTCCAAATGACTCCGAAATTGGACATCGCTCGAAATGTATAGTATCCCAAGTATCCCGATACTCTCGGAAGGTTACTGGGATATTTCTTGTGGAATTGCGGCGCCATGACAAGGGCCCTTCTTCGTAGTGCACGCCCAAACTGGTGTCTTCAACGGGTTGAATTGAACCAAGTTCAATTGTATTAACAGTATAACAGAAAAGCATGGGGAAAGCACGGAACCTTGTAGAATGCCAGCGTTAATGGTCATGCTATCAGAGCAGTCACCGTCTAGAACGACCATGATGCTCCGCCCATCCAAAAAGCTAGCGATCCACTTGCAGAGTCCCTCGGGGATTCCGAAAAACAATTCATAAAAGGGGATTGCCCACTCTCCATAGTGTGCTAGGCCCAAGGTGGACATTAAATATTACTATAAAAATGGACTGATTCAAATTCTTAAATGTATTAGATATCTAAAAAATATATTGAAATTGACGCCGCTATTATAAAAAATATAATAAAAATAAAAAACTCGTTTTGAGGTTAATTTTCTATATAAATACCTCAAGAACTTTTCTTTTTTTAATGTTTAAGATGTTCCTAATGTATTTTTATCCAATTGTAGTTGTTAGGGTATAAAAAACACACATACTTCTTTAAATATCTATATTAATTTATATTTTCTTCATCTTCATACACAATTAGTAAATCATCTAAAAATAGCACAGGAGAGCATACGGTTTTAAATCTCGGTCAGGTTAAAACCACAATTCACACAATGGTTTTCAGCCGTAGTATGAAACGTTATTGATAAAAGCAAAATAAATCGAAGAAAAATCAAAACACATCCATTTTGAACGCAAGCACAAGCAGCAAGCGAAGTGTCAGTCAGTCAGATTAAAATCAGTGTTGTCAGTATAAAGAAAAATAATTGCATGAAATTCATATATCGATCATTTTTTTAAATAACCGATATTGGATTTATTTCTTAATCTTTTTTTTACGAGTACACATTATATTTTATTTTTTATGTTTTTGTTTTAGTTGTACATATTTAAATAACAATACAAGTTAAGTTTTTTTTTTATTGCTTAGATGGGTGGACGATCTCACAGCCACCCTGGTGTTAAGTGGTTACTGGNTTAAGTTCGAAAGAAGATAATTCCAAATTAAAATTAGGAAGATGTGTGATTTTATTTATTTTTCGTACTGTCAAGATGAGTGAATCTAATGAAGATATTCGATACATTTTAAAATTTTACTACAAAAAAGGTAAAAAAGCAACGCCAGCCGTGAAAAAATATTGCGATGTTTATGGACCTAGTGCAGTGTCTGTGAGAGTATCACAAATTTGGTTTAAGCGTTTTCAATCCGAAAATTTTGATGTCAAAAATGCACGTCGCTCTGGTCGCCCTATTACGGATAAAATCGATGCCATTTTTGCAAAAGTGGGCAAGATCGGCATATCAGTAGTTACGACGTAACTGAAGAACTGGGAATTGACCACAAAATAGTTATGGCGCATTTGAAAAAAACTGGGCACACAAAAAAGCTCACTGAAAGAAATCTAACGAACCGTGTACTCATTTGTGATTCTTTATTACGACGTAATGAAACCGAACCATTTTTGAAGAAGCTGATAACTGGTGATGAAAAGTGGATCACGTACGACAAGAACGTACGAGAAAGGTTGTGGTCAAAGGCCGGTCAGGCTTCACAGACTCTGGCAAAACCCGGGTTAACTCGCAACAAGGTAATGCTGTGTGTGTGGTGGGATTGGAAGGGCATTATACATTATGAGCTATTACCACCAGGCAGGACCATCGATTCTGAACTCTACTGCGAACAACTAATGAGATTAAAGCAAGAAGTTGAGAGAAAGCGGCCGGAGTTAATCAACAGAAGGGGTGTGGTTTTTCATCACGATAACGCTAGACCTCACACATCTTTAGCCACTCAGCAAAAATTAAGAGAGCTTGGATGGAAGGTGTTAATGCATCCGCCGTATAGTTCTGAACTGGCACCTTCAGATTTCTACCTGTTTCGGTCTCTTCAGAATTCTTTAGGCAGTGTCAGGTTAACATCACGAGAGGACTGCCAAAACTAATTGTCGCGGTATTTTGATCAGAAGCCCCAAAATTTCTATAGCAATGGGATCATGTCCCTACCTACAAGATGGCAAAAAGTTATCGAACAAAATGGTACCGACATACTTTATTTAAATGCGAATAAACTATATTAAAAAATGTTGTGAATGTTCTTAAAAAGTGCGAAAAAAAATTTTCCCCAACCTATTATTATATAGAAATAAAATAGTAAACAATGTTTACAATAACTAAGCTGCTTAGGCTTACTATACTATTTGACATTGGACGGTAATGGGTAAATTAAGTAAATGAAATTACAAATTTTACAGCGCCCCCCTAACCCACATCAACGCCCCCCATTTTTTCCTGGGCCCCTTAACGCCCCCCTCTAGGTTTCAAACGCCCCCCAGGGGGCGTTATCGCCCACTTTGAGAAAGACTGAGGTAGACGATCATGCGGCCACCTTGATGGTGAGTGGTTACCGTAGCCCATGGACTTCAGCAATGCCAGGGGCAGAGCTAAGCCACTGCCTACCGTTTAGTACTCTCCACAAGCCTCGTTTGAAGAAGGATATGTCACTCGGGAAACACTGTGGAGAGGAGCTCATTCGAAAGCCGGATGGTACGTGGCAAAAAAGATATCTGGAAACGCACTGTGGATGAATGCAGTGGCCCCAGGTAGTATGGATGAACTCTATTCCGGTGGCGGGCAGTGTGATGGTAAAAACGAGATGATGGTATCATCTCAAACAATTCCTTAAAACACTCCCCATGGAGCATACGGTACTAAATACAGAAGAAACTGAAGTCCCTCCGCAGACCCAGAGGTTCCAAACGATCAGTGAGAATGGGATTATCGACAATCCGAACGGCTCTCTTTTGTATGGAGTCAAATGGAAGAATCTGGTAGGTATTTGGGAGCCCCGGCCCAAAGATGGGAGCAGAATTCCACGCGAGGCCGGATTTGTGCTTTATAAAGCAAAAGTCTTTTTGTCCAGGCGTGAAGTACTGCTTCGCTCTGTTGAGGACTCACAGCATTTTGAACACGAGCTTGGCTTTGCCTTCCAAATGACTCCGAAATTGGACATCGCTCGAAATGTCGACCGCAAGTATCCCGATACTCTCGAAAGGTTACAAGGATACTTCTTGTGGAATTGCGGCGCCATGACAAGGGCCCTTCTTCGTAGTGCACGCCCAAACTGGTGTCTTCAACGGGTTGAATTGAACCAAGTTCAATTGTATTAACTGTATTAACAATTATAATAAAACATTGTCAACAATGACAGCATGTCATTGTTAATACAGGATGAAAAGCATGGGGAAAGCACGGAACCTTGTGGAATGCCAGCGTTAATGGTCATGCTATCAGAGCAGTCACCGTCTAGAACGATCATGATGCTCCGCCCATCCAAAAAGCTAGCGATCCACTCGCAGAGTCCCTCGGGGATTCCGTAAAGCAATTCATAAAATTTAATACCTTTATGAAAACGTTTATCCAAGCGATCTCGCGTTATTGAAAAATGGTTGAAAACAGCTCAACGGCTTAGCTTATTTTGAGATAAATAAGAAACAATCACGATCTATAAAAGCGAGACTTACCGGAATTCGGGTCGCGAATTGATTCGTTGATGGGTGCGAGTCTAGTATGTGATTACCATCGCTCGATGTGGCTAAGGCACAACCGCTGCATATAGCTGAGGATTGTGAGTGAGCTGGCGTTAAGTGGTCTCCAGAACCCATAGAGATCAACAGCGTAAATGCTGCCACCCACCTTGAGCCATGAATTCTTAGTCCCCGTTTTTACAGTACAACGGCTGCCCCCATCCTTCAAACCGAAACGCATTACTGCTTCACGACAGAAATAGGCAGGGTGGTGGTACCGACCCGTGTCAGCTCACAAGGTTCCCTGGCATCAGTAATAAATGTGGCAAAAATGATCTGCTGACTGATTCCAGAAAGTAGGAAAGACCTTTTCTCCTATGGCGAGTGATGATAAGTATGGTAAATAAAGGTTGATAAAAAAGGTTATAGGTAATCATATAAACGAACAGTATGATTTTATAATAGAAAGGATATTGTATTACTGGAGAACTACGTGTTGTTGTACCTAATTAAAAAGTAATCACATGCCTCATTAAAACATTATTACCGCGCCATCAACTCAATGCTCAAATAGAATTATTTTTTATTAAATCTTGATACACGTACAAACCGTTCTATTTAAATCTTATGAAACTTAAACATGAAGATACTATATGTTTGTGAGTGGTAAAATTTGATTTTGAACAATAGCAATTACTATTTTTCTTTCAAGCAGACACGAATATGTACAGGTTTTCGATGAGATATTGTACCCAATAGTGTTATTTGTATTAATGGATTGGGAAATCATTTTGCGCATATGAGGCGGTTTATGCCAACAAGTTCTATTGTGATCTGGATTTAAATCTGTTAATAAATCTGTCCTGATTTTTAGACAAACAAATATTTCACTTGATTGTTGCGAGCTGGTTGTATAATTTAAATTCTCGATAAGACGTTTCGATTTAGAATTTAACTAAATTAAGAGTTGCATTAAAATTTACACTTCGAAATGATTTTTAAACGGAAGGAGAATTTAACAGAGTAATCGATGTATTACGATCGCCTTCACAGACCGGACCGGTTTTCAAATTTTAGAAACAAATTATTTGGAACTGACTAATTTTTGGGACAGCTCAATTCGGCTTCAATCTTATTCAGGTTTATTTGTTCATTTTGATTGGTATCGAAATTTTAGATGAATGATTTATTCGTGTATCCCCAGTGTGTATTCCCGTTATGGCATCAGCAATAATGTATCCGCAGCGGATACTGAAAACAGCACAATATGAAAGCCACAACAAAGTTACCAGTTTAGAAATGAAGGGAAATCTGAAAAAGTATTTTGCCCTGGTAAGTTATTAAAGTATATTACCAAGAGAAGAGAAGAGAAGAAAAAGAAGAAGAGTCGAGAGGAAATAAGAAACTTACTATTTTAAAACCAATGTACAGTATTTTCGTCCGTTAAGAATTGTTGGCTCTTCAATTTTACTTTTTTGGAATAAAACACAAAGAACTCCCGATACAAGAGAATTTTTACATCGAAACATGGCCGTTTTTTACTATTAATAATAAATTAATCGGATTTAAAAAAAGATTAATATTTTAATTCTAGTCTTTAGCTTCATTGGGCATATCACAGCACAACTCTTTCTTTGTGGACTTTTCAGGAGGCAGCACTTATGGATCCAAATGCAAACATGGTTTGTTCGCCAATATCAGCTTTGTTTCCACTGGGAAAGTTAGCATTAGGAGCTGAAAAGGAAACTGCCAAAGAACTATTGAATGCTATAGGCGTGACAAGTAAAATTAAAGTATGTTTAACTGCCATAATTAATTAATTATTTAACTGGGGCCGAAAAGTTTTCGAGTGGTGATCGCGTAGCCTGCGTTCCAGAAAGTGTAACGATTACCTACTCAAGGTCATGAAAATCTGCTGGAAGTCGTCGTGGCCTAAAGGATAAGACGTCCGGTGCATTCGTGTTGCGCGTAGCACCGGTGTTCAAATCTCAGACGGGTACCAATTTTTCTAATAAAATATGTACTGAACAAATGTTCACGTTTGACTTCCACGGTGAATGAATAACATCGTGTAATAAAAATCAAACCCGCAAAGTTATAATTTGCGTAATTACTGGTGGTAGAACCTCTTGTGAGTCCGCACGGGTAGGTACCACCATCCTGTCTATTTTTGCCGTGAAGCAGTAATGCGTTTCGGTTTGAACGGTGGGGTAGCCATTGTAACTATACTGAGACCTTAGAACTTACATCTCAAGGTGGGTGGCGCATTTACGTTGTAGATGTCTATGGGCTCCAGTAACCACTTAAGACCAGGTGGGCTGTGAGCTCGTCCATGCATATAAGCAATAAATAAATAAAAAAACAGGTTTCGCAGTACCGCTTCGTGTAGGAAACCTTGGAGGAGGCCTATGTGTAGCATTGGACGTATTTGGGCCGAAAAAGCTGCCATCCTCTAGTACCTACGTAATATGAAAACAATTAATAACTAAAAAAAATTACTTCGTTACTGCCGCAAATAAGGTCGATATTAATTCATTTGTTCTATAAAAACGTATGTCCTATGTTTAAAATGCATCGTCAATTTCTCAAATGCTTCGTTATAGAGATCTACCTAAGCTCTCTTAAGTACCGCTGCTCTGCCTCCAGCACTGATATTATTTGTACCTGCATTCAATTTTATATTTTATGAAGATATTTTGAACTATGCCTACAATATAGCAAATTTCGACGCGTTCTCTGATACGAATCTTAAACTGTTACAGTAGGATCAATTAAAAGTGACTGATAAGAATACTCTGTTCGTGAAATATTATTTTTATTAAAGTAGTCACACAGAAAGTATCACGACCTAGGAAGCCGTAGCATATCAGCCAGATTTCTGTCGTACTGTTGTATTTCTTGAAGTCTCAATTATATTATAATAACTTACTTTTAAACCTTGATATGATTGTCGACGTGACACGGAGTGATGTCAAGTGTAAGGAGCAACCGCAAGACAGGGTCAATTGGAGACAGCTTGTGAGGGTCTTACGTACCAGTGGAGTACCCTAGGACTACAACAACAAACTTTGAGCCGATTTAAAATACTTTAATCTGCGCACATCGCACTAGTCAGTCTTTAATGGAAAACAATTTTTAGCTTCAAAGAAACCTACGAAAACTCATCAAATCCCTTCGTAATGTGTCCGGTGTAAGATTGGATATAGCAAGCAGTCTGTACGTCTCCAAAAATACTCGAATCTCTTCAAATTTCCTATCAGATTCCGAGTATATCTTCAAGTCGGGCGTCCAAAAGGTTTCTTTTGACTACCCGGAACAGACTGCTGATGAAATCAATAAATGGGTAAGATAAAGGACGTAATACTTTTAATAAGATTTTTTTTTTATTGCTTAGACGAGCTCACAGCCCACCTGGTGTTAAGTGGTTACTGGAGCCCATAGACATCCACAACGTAAATGCGCCACCCACCTTTGAGATATAAGTTCTAAGGTCTCAAGTATAGTTACAACGGCTGCCCCACCCTTCAAACCGAAACGCATTACTGCTTCACGGCAGAAATAGGCAGGGTGGTGGTACCCGCCCGCGCGGACTCACAAGAGGTCCTACCACCAGTAATTACGCAAATTATAATTTTGCGGGTTTCATTTTTATGACACGATGTTATTCCTTCACCGTGGAAATCAATCGTGAACATTTTTGTTGAGTACGTAATTCATTAGAAAAATTTAGTACCCCGCTTGCGGGATTCGAACACCGGTGCATCGCTCAACACGAATGCACCAGACGTCTTATCCTTTAGGCCACGACGACTTCCAAATTTCCGACTTTATTTTCAAGAGTTCAGCCATTACCATATTAAGATTTAATTGGGAATCATTGGTGTTCACACTATAAATACGTTTTACAGTTTCCTCCTCTAGGTACGCTTGCAAATTTAATAAAAATTGAACAGCAAGCGATGTATTTAATATCGTTTTATTTTTAAACTTTTAAAAGATCTGTTTGTAATGATTTAGATTTCGAATACGACACATGGAATCATAGGATCATTAATATCACCTGCCGACATAACTCCGACAGCTTCAATAATCCTAGTCAACGCAATTTATTTTTCTGTAAGTAGTAAATTTTAATAATTTTTGATCTCTCGTATTTTATCTTAAAACTTGAGGCTAATTATTAGAACACCATAATCTATTATATGACTTCCACTTAGAAAGTAGTCATTACGTAATTTTAAACAGAAATATTCGAAAATATGCGAAAATCCATCCAAAGCTTACTGCGCGACAGAAATAGGCAGTGCGTTGGTACTGTAACACATATATTTTTTATTATAATTTAACAATAATAACAGTTACTACTAAGGAATAGCATGAGATATTTGGAAAGCTGCGGCAATCAGATCTGAATTCTGACGTTGGATGTATTTTATTTTATTTTCGCAGTACTCTGTTCAATATTCTGCATATTCTATTCTCAATATTTTTTTTATTATTTGGGCTAATAATTATGATTCTCTATTTCTCCTCCATGTTCTATATCTTGCTGTAAGGGATGGAACATGAAAGGTAACCAAAAAAATCGCGCAGCCGATTCAGGTTTTCATCAAACACTACTTGTGACAAAAACTTGGCATTTTCTCGCCTGAGAAGATTTCCAACGAACGCTGGTGGAAGGCGAGTCGGGAAATGCCGATTGGCAAACAGATTGTGTCACAAATTGACATAGTTAGGCCATATTCTCAGGAGAGAGCGCACGTACATCCCGAGGTAAGCCTTGGAGTGAACTCCTAAGAAAGCGCGGAACTTGGGTCTTCCCAAGCCGAACTGGCGGAGCACTGTAGCAGTGAAGAAGAAGACATTCTGACTATCCTGGTCCGAAGTAAAGCCGTACTCCAACATCGATAAGGATGGCGAAAGAATGTTGAAACCCCCTGCTACATCTAGGGGCATTAGAACCTTATACGAACAAACAATTCCAATCTTACGCTTCTACTTTTTATGTATATAATTTCTATGTAGGTTTATTTTCGTATAGTTGTTTAAGTGATAACATATTATTATGATATTTTGCTGAACAAAGTTTATTTTATACTAGTGGACCCGGCAGACTTCGCAGTGCCCCAATCGAGAAATAAAAGACCTAAGCTTTTGTATAATATAAACTTAAAACAAACAAAAGGAATCCATCCGACGGAGGGGACATCAAATGGAAAACAAAATTGTTATTTTTATTTAATTCCCAGCACTTTCATATTTATCTACCTTTTAAACCTTCTCTGGACTTCCACAAATAATTCAAGACCATAATTATCCAAATCGGTCCAGCCGTTCTCAAGTTTTAGCGAGACTAACAAACAGCAATTCATTTTTATATGTACTTATATATAAGATTTATTTAGCAGTAATCAGTTGAACGAATTTATTCCGTTATTAAAACCTTTCAATTTCTGTTTGTTCTAAAATCACCCATGAGACGGATGTCTCACAACTGATCATTATTAATTAATTACAGGGTAAATGGGAAAATCCTTTTGAAACGACCATGGATGGCGTGTTCTTTTCCCCGAGTGGGCATCGCAAGGTTAAGATGATCAAGCAATACAACATGTACAATTATGTTAAGAGTAACGTATTAAAATCCCAGGTAAGGATGTTGGGGTGTCATAAGATGTTGCTGGATGTAGGCCTGTTAAATGTATCGCCAAAATAATTGACTGACTCTGTGGATACATAGCGCCCGTGAGTGCTGAGCTAAAGGTCGTAATTTTGATTTCGATAAAAACCTCCGTGTGACGAACAAGTTTGTTTGCTGTTTGGGTGCTCATTATCTATATTCATTTAATAGGTTGGGGAAAAGGTTTATTCGCATTTTTTAAGAAAATTCACAACATTTTTTAATATAGTTTATTTACATTTAACTAAAGTATGTAGGTACCATTTTGTTCGATAACTTTTTGCCATCTTGTAGGTAGGGACATGATCCCATTGCTATAGAAATTTTGGGGCTTCTGATCAAAATACCGCGACAATTGGTTTTGGCAGTCGTCTCGTGATGTTAAACTGACACTGCCTAAAGAATTCTGAAGAGACCGAAGCAGGTGGAAATCTGAAAATGCAAGGTCAGGACTGTACGGCGGATGCATTAACACCTCCCAGCCAAGTTCTCTTAATTTTTGCTGAGTGGCTAAGGATGTGTGAGGTCTAGCGTTATCATGATAAAAAACCACACCCCTTCTGTTGATTAATTCCGACCGCTTCTCCGCTCTCTCAACTTCTTGCTTTAATCTGTTTAGTTGTTCGCAGTAGAGTTCAGAATCGATGGTCGGTGGTAACAGCTCATAATGAATAATGCCCTTCCAATCCCCCCACACACACAGCATCACCTTGTTGCGATTTAACGCGGGTTTCGCCACAGTCTGTGAAGCCTGACCGGCCTTTGACTACGACCTTTTTCGCACGTTCTTGTCGTACGTGATCCACTTTTCATCACCAGCTATCTTCTAAAATGCTAGCTTCTTCAAAAATGAGTCGGCTTCATTACGTCGTAATAAAAAATCACAAATGAGTACACGGTTACGGTACAATTAGGTTTCTTTCAGTGAGCTCGTGCGGTACCCAAATATCGAGCTTTTTTGTGTACCCAGTTTTTTTCAAATGCGCCGAAACTGTTTTGTGGTCAATTCCCAGTTCTTCAGCTACGTCGTAACCACCGATATGCCGATCTTGCTCTACTTTTTCAAAAATGGAATCCATTTTATCCGTAATAGGGCGACCAGAGCGACATGCATCTTTGACATCAAAATTTCCGGATTGAAAACTCTTAAACCAAATTTGTGCTACCCTCACAGACACTGCACTAGGTCCATAAACATCGCAAATTTTTTTCGCGTCTTGCGTTGCTTTTTTGCCGTTTTTGTAGTAAAATTTTAAAATGTATCGAATTTCTTCATTAAATTCACTCATCTTGACAGTACGAAAAATAAATAAAAATCACATATTTTCCTAATTTGAATTTGGAATTATCATCTTTAAATTTTAAACTTTTAATGTTACCAAAATCAGCCAGATACAAATAATATAGCCGAAGAGATTTTATTACAAGTTCATACATACCTACTATAATGCAAAAATACTTTTTCCCCAACCTATTATTTAAATATATAAAGTTTCAAGACAGATGACTGTTTGCGATTTTTAAATAACACAAAGATTGATTTTATTGAATTATCGGTATGTTCGTTACTGTATGCCCATGGAGAGTACTCTGAGGAACGATTTGAGTTGAAGGCATCCCTCTTCTACTACTGCGGCACCATATACTGTCGGAACCGTACTCACAATACATTCCCAAAGACTATCATAAGGAATCCCATCAAGCATGTTATTTTATCAGGCGAAGTTTCGCTATTTTTGACACATTTTTCCCTGTTAAAACTAAATTTCAAAGACACCCAAAAATCAGTTAACCTATTTTTTATCTTTCAATACGCTGATTTTCTTTAAATAATCTTAGAATTATTAACTGCTTAATGGAATGTATTGGCAATATTAATAAACGTGGCTAAAACTAGAATTGTACTAATTAATTCGAGGAATGATGAAAAAAGATGAACAGATCGGCCGCTTGAAGAAACACTTTTCTGGTGTAATCGTTTATACACTGTATACAGAAAGTTTACTGTCCAAATAATTTTATATGCAGATAATTGAGCTACCTTACGAAGGAAGGAACGCTTCGTTCGTCATAATCCTACCAGGCGATAAACAGGGTCTGCCATTGCTACTAAAAGAACTGAAACTAGCTCCAGAACTGCTCGATACCGAGATGAGTAAAATGAAAGCTACGAACGCTATATTAGTTATGCCGAAGTTCAAAATGCAAAGTGAAATCGATTTAAAAACTTTGTATACCAAGGTGAGTGCGGGAGGGAATAAGCTTTATTAGTTGAGTTTTGGTAATCTTGAGGAATCGAGCAGGCGGAGCTTTGATGCAAGTCGATATAATCAATACGAACCAGTCTTATTTGTTTTTAGGTGATTTGTAAAGAGCTCATATACTTTTAATGTCATGTGGTATCTAATATGCATAATCATAGGTTTATAACAATTTGGCATAGGACTTTTCTTTTATGAAACAAATTTGTTAATGAAAATCTTAACTAACTTTGCTATATATATTTCTTGTGATGCCATGGTAAATTTAAAGCACAAGAAGACGAAACATCACATGTGCAAAAAAAAAAAATTGCTTAGCTGGGTGGACGAGCTCACAGGCCCACCTGGTGTTAAGTGGTTACTGAAGCCCATAGACATCTACGGCGTAAATGCGTCACCCACCTTGAGATATAAGTTCTCAGTATAGTTACAACGGCTGCCTCACCCTTCAAATCGAAACGCATTACTGCTTCACGGCAGAAATAGGCAGGGCGGTGGTACCTACCCGATCGGACTTACAAGAGGTCCTACCACCACTAAAATAAATGTAAATGCTATATACAACAAGTTAATGTAGGTACAATAAGTTACTCCGTTAAGTTAATCACTGCCGAGAAGCAGTCACAGGTTCCATTTTGATTCCTACAACTTTATTTGAGTGGAGTTATAACATTTAACGTTTAGTGATGATTGGATCGTGATTCCAGATAGGAGTAACTTCGATTTTCGACAGTGAAAATTCAGGTCTAACAAAAATAGCTAAAGGTGAAAAATTAATTGTCAGTAAAGCAATACAAAAGGCCGTCATTGACCTAAACGAGATGGGAACGGAGGCTAGTGCAGCATCAGGTAAAGATACATTTGGATTCTTTGCGTTTGCTTCCGAGTGGTGTTCGAAATGCCAAATGTTACTTGAGCATGGATCATTGTGTAAATAGCATATACGTCCTTCTTCAAATAACCCACAAAGTGTTAATATATGCTGTACCGTATGAAACACTGTGTGAGAAATCGCGAAGCGAATGGAAATGAAACCCGAAAAGTTTTTGTCCATCTAGTTTTTAAAATAAAAATACGACTGTCTATGTTCTATGTATTCAAAACTCGAATATATTTTTTAATGAAATGCAAACGGTGCAAAATACTAAAGGTATGTTGTATTTTAGTGAATGCTTCTATGGAATAAGTAAAGTCAAAAATATTTTCCACAAATGATTGATAAAATAATATAGACACTATATAAAACCCAAAATTAGGGTGAACGGTACACAAAGTAATCAATACTGAATGCTATTAGGATATGAGTCTTTTTTTTTATAAATTCCTACGAAATTATTACTCTTTTTTTGTTAACAAAATGTTTAAGTCGTGTAAGTCTTAATTTAAAAATGAAAATTTATTTTATAATAGGAAGATAGTAAACATGTATTTAAAAGAGACTCGACTAAAAAATATTCAGTGTCTCTGAGATAAATTCAAAGTTCAGTGACTGCATTCGCTTAGGGCTTGGGATACACTATATCAAAAGTTTAGTTTTCGATATAGACGTTATAATAACAATATTATCTTATACCTTTAAACAAGCAATTCTTGTATATATATTATTATATAATTGGGGGGCGATAAATCGATCTAGCTACGATTTATTTTCAGAAAATGTTGTTTTATTCGTGTTTTCAATAATCAAATCTTCCCGACACCTATTGGCGAACCCTCAACTGACCGCTTTAAAGACACAATAAGATGGCGTTATAAAAAAAAAAATCATCATCTAGTTATTATTATAGGCCATGGGTGTAATATATTACATATCGCTCTTTTAGAATTGGAGTGGCCAATATTCATATTTTCTGGTCAACGCCAAAAAGGTTATAGAAGAATTGTAATTTTTCAGTTTTGATTTTAATACTTTAAGCCTTAAGTTGATTTAAAAGTGACGGAAAGTGTACTTTGTCCTTTTGTAACAAATTTTTTTTTATAAACTAATAGAATACATTGTCATGATTATAAGTCGTTCAAAGTAAAAAAAAACTTAATTTTTTTAGTTAATCCACTTCAATTCTAAAGGTGCGATATAATAATACATTCATTGATTTCGTTGTGACATTGCAGCGGTAGACCTCACACGAACAGCGTTGTATCTGGATGACATATCATTTTACGTCGAGCACCCATTCGTGTTTTTAATTAAACTTAACAAAGAACAGTTGTTCGTCGGTACCGTTAATGAACTGTAGATTCGGTAAGATTCTTCCAATGATAAACGCTTACTAGATTTCTAAACATAAATAAAATTTGCCAATAAGTATTGTTATTGTTTGTATTCAATGGATTTAAGCAGACGTTAAAACCGTACAATCAGGTATAAAATAGAAAATGTTAATATTTTTTGTATTAAAACAAAATTAATAACCCTAAGGAATTAACCCTGAGAAAATCTATATATATAAAAATGAATTGCTGTTCGTTAGTCTCACTAAAACTCGAGAAAGGCTGGACAGATTTGGCAAATTTTGTTATTGAATTATTTGTGGAAGTCCAGAGAAGGTTTAAAAGGTAGATAAATATGAAAATGCTCGGAATTAAATAAAAATAACAATTTCGTTTTCCCTTTAATATGTCCCCCGTTGGACGGATTCCTTTTGTTTGTTTTAAGTTTATTTTATACAAAAATTTAGGTCGTTTATTATCGATTGAGGCACTACGAAGTCTGCCGGGTCAACTATAATTAATAAAAAACGTTGGCTTTAAATCACTACGTAGGTATGTGCTTAATTATATTTTTTTTTGTTTTCTTACAGCACTGGTAATAACAAAGCTGTCGCTCGTAGAACGATTACACGTGGAAGTGAACTGCCCGTTTTTGTTCCTTGTTAAAGTTAATAAGAATGCACTTTTTGCTGGCGTTTTAAATGACCCCGAACAATAATAAATAAATGATACGCCAATGAGGCAAACATCTAATTGTATCTGATTTTCAATAAATTTCTATTGACGTATGCACTGTTTTTGTTGTATTATTGAATTAATGTGTAATCAAATACCGTGGATTTTTATTTAACCTTGTTTATATTACGAAGTATAATCGGTAAGTACCTATACTATAATTTCATTATGACCATCGGGCGGCTTCATCGCAACAATCGTGCATGATATTGGTCAATTTATACATCTTTTTAACTGAAAATCTATGAGGTGTGATGCCTATATGCCTGGGATAAAATACCATGAACCACCGCACTAATCCTGTCCGTTAAACACTACAATTGTGGCTTCGACCTGACATATCAAGGTGGGTGGCGTTGTAATATCTATAGACTCTGGAGACCATTCAAATTTAACATTAGGTCAGTTCGTTTATCTCTAGTACGAAATAAAAAAGAAGTCGACGTGGTCTAAAGGATAAGACGTCACCGCATCGGGTGCGATGCACTGGTGCAATTTAACAAACATTCACGATTGACTTCCACGGTGAATTAATAGCATCGTGTTATAAAAATGAAACCCGCAAAATTATAATTTGCAAAATTACTGGTTGTAGGACTTCTTGTGAGTCCGCACGGGTAAGTATCCTGCTATCCTGCCTATTTCTGTCGTGAAGCAATAATGTGTTTCGGTTTGGAGGGTGGGGCAGCCGTTGTTACTATATTGAGACCTTTGAACTTATATTTCAAGGTGGGTGGCGCATTTACGTTGTAGATAAATTTTTAGAATATTTAGTAAATTCTAAAATTTGATATTGCGCACACATCTAAAGAAAATTTTGAAACGTATTGAAAAAATACAACAATGCTATTACGATATAAGTATATTAAGTCATAAAAAATTAATATACAATTCTTTTTTTAATTCTTTATTAGAGCCATACACCTATTAGGTTAAGTCGGCTAATATACAATTTAAGAAATAAATTGTCAGTCTTTAAAACTTGAGCAATACTTTCCGCGCATGCGCGTTATGTCCCACCGAACAATATCTGGTCTGAGGTTCGAAACGTCCATTCATCCCTTATCCCTAAAGTTTTCCTATTTAGTACGTTGCAAACCTCCACGGGGTGTGTACGTTTTGCCGCGAAAAATAAATATTGCAACTTTTACGTTATACATTACGTTTCGGTGATTGAATAACAAAATTGGACAAAACCACTTATTTGTTTTCAATAAATTAACTGACACAAGCAAAACGTTGCGGAGTGTATTAGCATTTTTTCAATTGATATATTTTTTTTAATACTACATCAATAAATTGAGGTTGTTTTCGTATAGTTTAGAAGTTGTTTTTAAATTAAAAAGACTGTTTATTCAATGATTTTCAAAAAAGCTCAAATGATAAACAATTCTTTTTTTCTATTTTTGAATTAATAATGTGATTTGATAACCCTATAAAATTATAATAAAATGTGAGATTCTATCGGCTTAAACAATCTTATAATGTGAGAGAACCTGAAACAGTTATGGAAAATCATTTAAAATATAACAGTATTATTGTTATTTTGAAACATAAATATAAAATTCATAAATGGAAGTGAACTTTTGGGTTTGCCTTTTAGTAGTTCATACTCAATTTTCGTTTTATGGGAAAGGACAGAAATTGAAAAGTAAGTACAAAATATATTTCTATAAAACAAGTTAGTTTGTAAAATATACGGTTTAAAAATTAAAATAGAGTGTATAATCCTCGTGAATATTCTTTTATGTAAATCAGATATCACTAAAATCGATCAACATTGAGAATACTTAATTTAATGTAAATTCAATATTGATGCATCTAATAGACGCTTTAGTTGTAGGAAGTATGCACGGGTTAAAAGGTGGCAACAACTAGGTATCATTTCACCTATTTCAATCGCGAAACAGTTAGGCGTTCTGGTGTAAATAGTGATTGGTAGTGGTACATCCGTTATATAATACAAACCGAGAATCCGACCTCATGTCAGAATCAATTTGTATTTTCTATGGACTCCAAGAACCACTACAATAGATGTGAGCTCATCATCTTCGTCTACCCAACTGCAAGAATAAAAAACGACTTACTAAATATTAGTTCAATCTACAACGTGTAGTCTAAGAGTTAGAACTGACCACATAGAATTACAAGCAGAGTACAGGTTCTTGTTATGTCAAAGGCAATAGTTTGAAGACTGTAATGCGAGTGCCTATTTTAAAAGTATGAAAACATTTTTGCGAATGTTAGGATCGACGATTGTAAGCCGCGTGCCATTATATTTCCGCACAAGTTATGTATTATTAAATTAATAAAAGTATTTCTTCATTTTAGTGTTCTCTGGATTAATGGCCGATTTTTAACTGCTTTCTCCTGATAGATAATGAATGTCTTTAATTTAAATGATGAGAGAGAGAGAGATTATTCTTTATTGTATACCAAAAAACAAATAAACAGTGCGATACATTAAACACAAAAAAGTACAATTGGCGGTCTTATCGCTAAAAGCGATCTCTTCCAGACAACCACCAGGTGGACAAGAATCATTTGGAAACGAACTACGCGCGGTGTACCATTCCAGTGAAATACATATACATATATGTACACATACATATAAACATACATACACACATCCATATCTTCGTAAATATACATAAAATTAATACACAAAACAAATATTATAACATAATAATAATTATTAAAAAAAAAATATTAAATTTATGTGTACTGTAATAGCATAAATAGTTAAACACATGCTTTTATATTTTTATAAATCATATAAAATCATCATATCAGTGAATCATAAATGCTTAACAAAAGCCCTTCAAAGTTTTCGTTTAAAATCTCAATAAACAGTTAAGTACTCTCCTAAATTCAGTATCTTAAAATCGTTTTGTAAGAAACATCTTTTCTACCAATCACGCCAGATTAATAGTTTTTGCTTTCTTTACAACTAGTCTACTAGGCGCCAGCCGAAAGGCATTACATATAATTATAGCAAATATTATGCCATTTGCAATGATAAAAATTATTCGATGTGCCCATAAAAAGTATTGGATGTCTGGATGGGCTCCAGATTATAAAGTATTTTTGTGTGATGTTTCACCCAAACTCATTCAGCCATTTCCGCATGATTAAAAGTCAAACATGCAGAATTACACATTTATAATGGAGAAAGAAACATGTATACTTTATACAAGTGGTAGGGCGTTTTGTGAGTCCGCTCGGGTAGGTATCACCACTGATCATTTCAGTGGCGAAGCAGTAATTCATTCTGGTTTATAGAGTGGTACCTGCGGTAGCACTAGGTTGGCGTTTCGTGGTTAAAGTTCTAGATATTATAAAATATATTAATAAAATTTGACATTATTATAATGGACTTTTGAAAATGGATGAAAAATGAATTCAAAACTATAAGCTTCATGCAACCGATCGGATGAAGTCAATGAAAGCGTGTTATAAATTCTAGATCAAAATCATCACGACGCAAAAACAGATGATCAAGATGAATTATCACCGGTTCATCATCAGCCCCATATTAAGGATTACTTCCTGCCTCCGGTCTTCAATCACGATGACGAGGAGGAAGACGAAGATGAAGGTTACGCTGATTACGATTACGATAAAGGAACGAACTACAAGGATTCCCCTGATTTAGTTACAGCTCGCAGTGACACACAAGAAACCGAAGATAAAATACCATTACACACGACGAAAGACAATCTACCTGTATTTCTTTTAGAGCCGGAGAATACGTATGTGGTTAAAAATAAACCCGCTATTTTGAAATGTCGCGCTGCTAATGCTTTGGAGGTAAGTCTGGTTGACAAAGAATTATTATCCGTGATGAATAAATGACTGGAATTCAATAGTAATATATTGTACTCAATTCAAAAAGTTTTTCTGGATTTACATTATATTACTCTCAGGAGGACCATAATATTATTGTTCTTAAATATTGGCATTGAAAAAATTTTTAGATCTGATTTGTCATTCAGCAACTTTTTTTAAATGAATGTCAACCCAAGATTTTTCCTACCACTTTATTTTCTGGCTCTTCTTCTTCTGTTAGGCACGAGATCTAAAAGATAATACTTCACCCAATAATAATAATAAAAATTAAGCGATCTTCATATTTTGGTCAAACACAACCTACTTCAATACATATTTATTTACCCCTTAGGTATATTTTAAATGCAATGGAATCAAAACACAAGGTGCGAACTTTGAATTCGTTGACCCACAAACCGGGGTGCGGATAATTGAAGGTGAACAATCGGTAACTAGAGAGAACATTGAAGAATACTTTGGTGGTGATAAGTATCAATGTTCCTGCTTCGCTTGGACCAGTCGAGGACAGATTAGAAGTCAGCCTGCTACTATTGAAATCGCATGTAAGTTTAGATTTCTTTAGTTTTTAGCGTAGGCAAATGTAGTGGAGGGCGCCCTCAGGCTCGGTAGAGTGATGATCTATGCAGGGTAGCTGGCAAGATCTGGATGAGTGAAGCCGAGGATCGTGCTCAGTGGTGTGCAATTGGATGTCCAGCAGTGGACTGCTATAGGCTGCTGATGCTCCTCCTAATGTACTTTGTTTCCAAAGTACAGCTTTCATAATAACTCGTTCTAATATTTGTAAAAGTGACCAAAAGTGAACGTCTCAAATATCAAATGATGTCCAATTAACATGCATTCTTTTTCCAAAGACATAAAGAAGCAATTCGCTGTAGCGCCGCAATCGCAACTGGTCAAACAGTACACATCAGTCAATTTTCGATGCGAGCCTCCACCAGCCGCGCCCTTCGCCCAGCTGTACTGGTTGAAGAATGGTGCTCCCGTTGTTATTGATGATAACGTTCAGGTTTCAACCGACGGAAATCTTATCATTAAGCAAGCTAATCTGCTGGTAAGGTGCACCATATAAATCTATACTTACTAATATTATAAAGCTGAAGAGTTTGTTTGTTTGAACGCGTTAATCTCAGGAACTTTTGGTCCGATTAAAAAAATTCTTTCAGTGGTAGATAGCCCATTTATTGAGGAAGAGGAAGATTATATAATATCACACTAAGACCAATACAAACAGAGCACTAATCAATAATGTTTCAAAATCGGTTTTTTTTCTTTCTACGCAAATGAAGTCGTAGGTAACATTTAGCGTTATGCTCAAGTAACTATTCCACGCGGACGAAGTCACGGGAAAAAGCTAGTATTTGTTGTAAACCTTTATTTTGTACTTTCATTTTTTACCTACGATGTAAATTAGTAATTCTTTCGTAACTATAGTCTGCCCAGACATCTTTAGCACATTTTAATTGACTTGAATAACTTGAAAGATGTTTAAAATCAAATCTGAAGGACATTATTTGGTTAAAATATTCTATAGCAGAAATTGCAAATTATGTTTATCTGAATAGATAACAATTAATTTAACAATTTATTTAACATTATGGTAGTTAATTTAATTTGATAAAATGACATTCATTGTTTCCATTAATTGATTAAAATGGAGTATTTGATGATAGGCAGAGACTTCTATAACCTATTTGTCATGTTTACGTGTTACGGTAATAACTTAGAATTTGCCTCATGTCTTTATTCCCTATGATGAAATTTATTTGTGAAGGAATTTGTAGGACATGGCTAACTACACATGTGTTGCGGAAAACTTAGCCGGGAAGCGCATGTCAGAACCGGCTCTGCTGTCAGTATTCGGTAAGTGGCATCGGAATGCTTTCAGAATTCAACAGAAAAATAATCAGTTTCGAACGTAGCGTTTGCATTTTTAGCATCTCGACCTGTCTCGTCACCAATTTTTTTTGGGCCGGGTACCGAACCTCCTTAAAAATTCCCGCGGTGTATATGGGATTTGGTGACCGAAGATGGTAAAGGCCAGGGTGGAAGATAATAGGAAACGCGGCTACCTGTCGCGGAGGTCAAACCGCCACCCATAATCAAAGCTGAGTGCCTCCAGATCTCAGAGAGACATATCGACGGGAGCGTGTGCCGCCTCGTAGGAGACGATGTCGTATTCTCAGAACACCCCGGATGGCGATGACGCACCTTGGACGCCGCAGGATCACGACGCTATTGTGGGGTTGCCTATCTAGACACTTGACTCATATAAGATATTGGAGTTATTATCCGCAACGTGCTTCGTCAGATTACAGAAATTGAGTTATCTGCAACATGCTTCGTCAAAAAGTACAATACTTACTTTCATCTACAAGCGTCGTCATATATAGCGTCGTCGTCGATATCTATACTAATATTATAAAGAGGAAAGATTTGTTTGTTTGTTTGTTTCGAATAGGCTCCGAAACTACTGGACCGATTTGAAAAATTCTTTTTCCATTAGAAGCCGACATTGTCCCTGATGAACATAGGTTACTTTTTTTATTATTATATATTTTTTTTTTTGGATTCATGTGTGTTTTAATGTTTCCGAAGCGAAGCGAGGGCGGGTCGCTAGTTGGTAATAATTTTATTATCAATTATGTTTCGTTGATCTGATGTTCGACAGAAGTCTGGTGTACGCGAATGGATCGGCACAGGCATTCTATCTGTTCCAAAAGAGGCTATTGTGAATACAGTTCCAATACAAAATAAATCCGAGACCGAATATTTTCTATTGATATTAGGCACTTTACAGTTCACTACTCGTGTGATCACCATTTGGACTAGTCATTTGAGCGGTTTAAGCAAACAGACTATTGAGTAGTGTCAATCGATCACGCTAAATTCAATTGCTTAGTTAACGGTGGTTGGAGTACATGGTCAGCGTGGGTGGACTGTTGTCCAACAAGAGAAGGTCGGACGGGCAGAAAGAGAGAGAGAACTTGTACAGCACCGCGACCTCTAAACGGTGGACAGCCTTGCGTTGGCAACAATCTACAGAAGACTCAGGATTGTGTGGAGTGTGATATAGGTAAGTGCATGAATTCATAATAATGTCATCATTCCTGCCCTTCTCCCAGTCACCTCGGGTCCGCGCAACATGTTTTCTCCTTCCATACTCTTCTATCATATACCATTTCTTCGCTCACTCCCATGTGTCACTCTTACCCATATCGTCTTTCACGCAATCCATCCATTTCTTCTTAGGTCTACCTCTTCCTCTATATCCTTCCACATTCATAGTTAGCATTCTCTTAACAACCTCATTTTCATTTCGTCTCATGTCCATGGCACCCAAATGCGCACTTCTCAGCTTCTCTGTCACAGGTGCCACTTTTCGACTTCCTCTAACATATTCATTCCGTATTCCGTCCATTCTCGTTACTCCACACATCCATCGCAACATTCGCATCTCTGCTGCATGCAATCGCCTTTCATCCGCCACTTTAGTTGTTCATAATAGTGTATTTACTTTTGATTCTTGTGCTAAGCGTTAACCAAAGGTCCAAAGGAGCTGATACGTCGTTGCCAGTTCAATAAATTGAGTTTTCGCCCAACCTTGCATTTTACAAAATTTAAATGGGTATTTTTCTATTAGGATGCTAGGTTTTTTGAGAAATAATCTCATAATTATATAAATGCGGAGACATTTAAATGGTGTTTAGTTGTAAGGTTAGTTTTTATATAGTATAAGTTCACTGTTTGTCTTCCAAATAAAAAATAAAATAAAAAATATATTTTTTTTATTGCTTCAATGGCTGGACGAGCTCACAGACATCTACAACGTAAATGCACCGCCCATATGAGATATTATAAGTTCTAAGGTCTCAGTATAGTTACAACGGCTACCCCACCCTTGAAACCGAAACGCATTACTTACTGCTTCACGATAGAAATACACAAGGTAGTGGTACCTACCCGTGCGGACTCACAAGAGGTCCTTCCACCAGTGAATTTGAGTTTTCGCTTAATTTGCGTTTTACAAATTTGAAATGGACTTTTTTCGTATGACGATGCTAGGTTTTTTGAGAAATGATCTCATAGTTAAAGTACGTATAGTGTGATATAGTAAACAAGTTGTTTCTTGACCGAGACTAATAATTAAAATCTCCCCCACAGATTTGTATCTCGATAATATCGACGAGCTGGCTGATGAATCACCGAACATAGTTTTGGGTAACGGTTTCATCGTTTTTTTATTTCTTTTAGGATTAGTTTCAAATTCAAATTAACTTTACTAGTACTGTCTTACTTCTACTTGTACTTGTACAAATTTTGTCTTATCTGATCGCGACGAGGCAACGACCCGCCGTCGTCCGAACATGTCTTTTCGTATCCCCCGGATTCACTCTCAGTGCTTTTAAGACCCTCAAGTAACAGCCCATTGAAGTTCTGGCTGGATCTTCTCAGTGGGTCGCGATTCTGATCCGGTGGTAGATTCTGCGAAGCACTGCTCTTGCTAGGGCTAGTGTTGGCAAATTCTCTCAGGTTGAGCCCGTGAGCTCACTTATCCATCCGGGCGTAGCTGGAATAGCCTAAGAAGCTACCAGCGAAAAAGGAAAAACAACACATTTTGTTCCAATAACATTATCGTTCAGTCGAAGTTGACACTGGGCGATGAAATTCCATGAACCGAATAAAAGAAAATACAATTTCTCTCCTGTCTAAATTTCTCTCCTTCTACTCAGTTAATGCAACTTCAGTTCAACGGCCGTCTGGTGTAGGGGTAAGTGACACGGTCACTACACAAGGGGGTCGCGGGTTCGAATTCCGCCATGGGAAGATATTTGTATGATAAATATTAAATGTCTTTTCCAGGGTTATGTATGTATATTAAATATACATATGTATGTGTAAAATAAAAATCTTACATTTATTTCCGTTATCTGGCACCTCTAACACAAGCTCTTTACGAACTTAGCACGGGACCAGTTAACGTGGTATTAAAAAAAAAATCATTTCATTCGAGAGTCAACAATTTAACACAATCCTAATATTTGTTAGGACGTTGGTCGCAATGGTCAGATTGGTCGCGATGTGACTCCGACTGCCTTCAAACTAGGAGACGAAAGTGCCTCACCAGCTCGTGTCTGGGGAAAGACTACCAAGTCGCCCAGTGTCCTCTCTGTGTGCGCACGTCGAAATCTGAAAGAATTAATGACGGTAAGTGGAAAAAAAAATGTTAATACGTAGGTAAGTGTCATATGTAAACGGCCGTCTGGTGTAGTGGTAAGGGACATGGTCACTACACAAGAGGTCGCGGGTTCGAATCCCGCCAAGGGAAGATATTTGTATGATAAAATTAAATATAAATGTATTTTCCAAGGCTATGGATATATATTAAATATATGTATGTGTATAATAAAAATCTTACATTTATTTCCGTTATCTGGTACCGGACCAGTTAACGTGACGTGATTGTTAGTAAATATTTATATTTATTTATGTATATGAAATTTGTGTAAGGTTTGACCTCGTGAAGCGGTAAATCGACACTAAAAAGAAACAAATATATACATAATATTATGTACATCCTTAAAATATATCCCACGAGAGAATGAGACAGAACATTTGTGAAGTGCTCATTTATGCCTTAAGTGAATTGCAGGCATTATTTTCTATAGTCATAGCTGCGTATAAAATTAATGTGACTATCGTGCTGTATTGTTGAATGTTGAATCTGAGATTCACATGAATTCTGCTATACAATTGGAAAGATCACAGCTTCGGAATCAGCTCGTATGATTCCAACTGAATCGCCCGGGAAAAGTACGCTGTAAGTCAATTTCGGATCAGCAGATTATATCACCAATGGCTCGAATAGATAATATAGTCAATGAAATTTTTCCTTAAAATTTTTACCATCACTATTCCAACTTTATTACTCACATTACCTGAAGCAAGTTATAATGTTTGAACCAAATATCCAATCCGATACTTACTGTATCCAATGTTATACTAATTGCGGCAAATATAAATTAAATGCATATTCATTAAATAAAAAAATTCAAAAAATGTAAATTCTGTTGAAGATTTAAGGCGACGGCTCGTAAACTATAAAATATCCGAAATGTTGAGAAATATTATTATAAACGCGGCATCTAACTGTATGAATAGTTCTATTCGTGTTGTCGCACAGAATTTTTTTTTGCCCCTGTAAGCAGAAGAGCATACGGCCCACCTGATGGTGAGTGGTTACCGTCGCCCATGGACTTCAGCAATGCCAGGGGCTGAGCCAAGTCGCTACCTACCGTTAAAAGATGGAGTGACTAAGTGTCCGAGTATCTGGACATGAGACTGAGACACGCACTTCACTGTGCCACTGACCGACATAAATGGCTACAAATTACAATAAAAGCTCACAGGCGGGCGCATCGCGATGTTCTATTTATATTGTTGTTTAGTTTTTGTTTTTGAAAGCAATCGAGCATACGTCTCAGCTGATGGAAAATTGTCAGCTTGGCTAACGGATAATGTTTCTAGCGCAAAGAGCTTCCACAAAATACTACGTATCAATAGTACATAGATTATATATCTAATAATAATTTGGGTATTCGATAAAATCTGATTTGATTCGCAGGTACTCCGTATTGGCCCCTTTTCGTAGCGTTATCAATAGCCTCCCTCGTGTTTATAGTCGTAGTAATTCTCGGAATAAAATACATGAAATTCAAGACGACTGAGACATCGCCTTACGCCAAACCGCCCACAGGTAGGATGTTTCTTTTAATGTTCCTCTACACTGTTGACATATCTTTTACTGGTGCTAGGACCGCTTGTGAGTCCGCATGGGTAGGCACAACCACCCCGCCTGTTTCTGCCGTGAAGCAGTAATGCGTTTCGTTTCAAGGGTGGGGTAGCCGTTGTAACTATACTGAGACCTTAGAACTTATATCTCAAGGTGGGTGGCGCATTTACGTTGTAGATGTCTATGGGCTCCAGTGACCACATAACACCAAGTGAGCTGTGAGCTCGTCCACCCATCTAAGCAATAAAAAAAAATTAATTGCAATGAATAAAGTAATGCTAAAATCAGGACCAAGTATCGTACAAACGTCTTGATACTTAAAAAACTCGGCATCAAGTAGCGTCTGTTTGCCATAGTTAAGTCTCGAATGGTGGATTTCTTCGGACACGTTTCGCGACGAGATGTCCGGTCCTCGGAACGCCTTGTTGTAAAGGGAAGGGTTGATGGCAGACCGCGCGGGAGGTCACCAATGCGATGGACCAAATTAAAACTACAGTGGGAACTCCCCTAAATGAGAGCAGTAGAATAACCTCGAACAGGGAGAGATGGCGGGACATCGTAAGACGCATCAAGTCTGCTCTTTACAACACTACATGATGATCACGACCACTCTGTCAAGAGTGACACAATTGAGGAGAAGAAGAAGAAGGAAATTAAGAAATTCAAGAAAAGGCTAATACAAGAATTGGTCTTGGAAATTTCTAATTAGTAACGACCTTCAGCAGAAGATCACAACGAAGCAGAAATATTTTATGACGCGTTTTCATTAATTCCAATGCTTAGGTATTGTTAAAATCGCAATAATTTCAAGAACTTATGTTGACTAGATGTTTCTCAATAATTATTTCGAATATCAACAAACATCACATTACGCTGTTCATAGACAAAAGAGGTTTCCTTATAAATTATAGAACATTTTGTATAAAAGTAGAAGCTCAATAAAAACGATCAATGTCTGAATTCAACAAAAGTTTAAATATATTTTTGTCACGAATTTGTAGATTGGGACAAAAAATTAATAAATTAATTTCTACAGGTGGCAATTATTTCGGAAACGTTATAAAAAGGACTTTGACTAATCAACCAGACCTCACCATTCACGAGGAGTTCCACACGATAGATTCTTCACGGCTCAGGCACGCTAACATCATTACTAATGCACGGCATGAGCATTTGTACGAAGTGCCACAGCTAGCTAATAGGTAAGAACATATTTTAAGTACCTTCTGAGAAGAAAACACGTATAGCACTCGGAGACTGCCGCGGTAAAGCTATTGCATAGCATTTTTTATCAACTTATGCAATTATAATTAATTCATACTTATGCAATTATTATAGTTAATTAAATAATTAACTGTCCCCTTCACACTCATAAGCTAGACCGCGCGAGAGAGAAATGAGCAGACTTTTCATGATGCGCCTGCAGTGCGACGTCACGCCGCGCGCTTATTCACAAACACTACACAAGCACAACGTGTGAATGTGTTGAACGCGAGCTACATGGTAGGCGGAGTGGGTGGTGTTAGGTTTTATTTTCGTTACGGAATTTCTTGATTCGGTCGCCGCGCTCAAAGCCCGCGATAAAAGCTATGCAATAGCTTAAAAAATATGTGTGTAGTCGACCCTAAAAAGGGTCTTACATGTCAAAGAAAAATTGAGTTCAACTAAATGCCTATTGTTATGTTTGAAGAGCCGTAGAAGAAGCCGTTCTGAAACAAAAAGTGTTTTTTTTTTCTCCACCTTTTCCCACTACGTGGGGTCGGCACAACCAATTTTTCTCTTCCATTCTCTTCTATCAGCCGTCATCTCAACACTGACTCCTCTCTCTCTCTCATATCGTCATTCACACACTCCATCCATGTCTTCTTCGGTCGACCTCTTCCCCCTCTACCTTGCACTACCATTTCCATACATCTCCTAGTCACATGCATCTTCTTTCTACACATCACATGTCCATACCACGCTAACCGTCCGCTCCTTAATTTGTTGCTTACCGGGGCCACTTTCACACTTCCTCTGATATACTCTTGATTCCTCTGATTAATTGGCGATATTTTAATAGGGTTGATCATCAATGAATTTTCTGCATGGTGACTCAAATGTGATAGATACTGAAATCATGACCTCAAATCCAGTGATCTCGTATGTAGATATGCAACGGTATTCGAATCCCGCCGGCAGGTACCAATTTTTCCAATGAAATACGTACTTAACAAATGTTCACGATTGACTTCCACGGTGAAGGAATAGCATCGTATAAGAAAAATCTAACCTGCAAAATTATAATTTCTGCCGTGAAGCAGTAATGCGTTTCGGTTTGAAGGGCGGAGCAGGCGTTGTTATTGTTAAAAGTGAGACCTTAGAACTCATGTCTCAAAGTGGGTGGCAGCATTTACGTTGTAGATGTCTATGGGCTCCGGTAACCACTTATCACCAAGTGGGCCGTGAGCTCGTCCACCCATCCTAGCAATAAATAAATAAAAATATTTTAGAAAAATATTATAGAAATTTTAGTTTTTCTTATTGCCAAGACAGATAGCTGTCAATATATCATCATGAAGGACACAGAACTAACCAGCACGTTTACTTCCAGTTACATAGCACCCATAGACCACGAGGTAAGGAACGACCGGATCGCTTGCAACAAGGACGCCTCTGAGTCAGACCGCTCTGACTCAAGCTGCTTTTTGAGCTGTGAGTCTTGCACAAGTCACTGCGCGGCCTATTTCAGCTTGTTAGCTTTTTACCAAAAGTTTTGTTTGAGTCGATGCTTATTGTATTTTTCTGTCTCTTAATACGTAAATGTTCACAGTAAGCGATATTACTAAACAATAAAATTTCAATTGTGCGAACAAATGGCGATTTTAGTGTGTTGCTTCTTTAACTGGACCGAAAAATGTATCAAAAGAATTGTCTTCATTTTGCACGTCTATTAGAATTTTTATGTTGTTGTGTTTGTAATATTGCAATATTTTCAGTACAATTTATTTGTTTTGCGACTATTAGCTAATAGAAAATTTATATTAGTAAACTAATTAACAATTACCTTTGCACAGTACTAGCATTATTAATAATCTTCCAGCCGGTTCATCGTATAGCCACAGCGTAGAAATATCGCCTTCATTAAAAAACAATGCATCGTTAAACTCGAACTACGCAACGAATCTAGATACTTCCAAATCCAAGATGGTGTCGAGCGACGGCGACTGGTTAAATCTGGATAAAACCGGCGTTAGTCTGTTTGTTCCGGACGGCGTTGTTGATAAAGGAGAGGAACTGTTTTCTGTTGAAGTGTCTGACGAGGAATGGAATAGGCCCATGCTTCAAGACGGTAAGTTCTTATTTATTGTTAGCGTGACGAGTCGGTGGTCGAGTAATCGAGCGATTAGACAATACAAAGTCATATTTTAATTGGTTTAACTTAAAAACAATTTTATAATTGAGTTTAATAGTTCCATATTGGTCATAGAGCATTCAGTTATGCCCAAACGGATAGGTACAGCTGACCTTCCGTTTCTGTTCTGTCGAGCAATCATGTTTACCCTGTTGACGAATAGGATGACAATCATTTCGATACAATTGGGACTTTGGATATTTCAGAAGGTACGCAGTGTAGCAGCTACGTTGCGATATCTATGACCTTCAGTTATTATATCAAGGAATAATAATGTACTGGTGAAAGCGATTGATTATAAGGTCCAATCTAAAAGGTCCTCAGCTATGCTAATAAAAATAATGTGTCATTTGCGTTACTTATGATCCAAGTTATGTAGCTGTTATGAAATGATAGTGGACACCGAATGCTTATGTATATGACCTAAAAACCAATACACGCGATACCAGCATCTGTTACGAGAGCAATAGGGCTAAACATCGCATACAGGTTTTGGTCAGTCTAGGGAAGATCAATTTTATATTAAGCTTACTATTCCCATCTTAGATCTTTAAATATATTGGAATTGGAACAGTCAATTTTTAGAATAATATTGCTTTTGATACCGGTTTTTGATGTTTATATTTTAATATTATCTGAATAATTTTAAGGCGACATTTTAAGTCATTCAGTGTTTTGCATACCAGTTATAATATATAACTTATTTTTCTCCGTTATTATTTGTACTTCTCTTCCTAATCCGTACCTTCGTATTGGTGATTTGGTGAATTTGAGGCTTGCATCGTCCATTGTCTTATCTGTTTCTGTCGTAAAGTAAACACGGATTTTAAAAGGACAGAGGAACCCATTAGTCGGCGGTGCAACTAACTTCATCATCACTAGCTAACATAAAATTACAGCACATTTCCATTTTAACAGGCGAAATCCAATTGAGTCCGGTCATCAAATGCAGTCCTAAGAACTTTCACTTCCGTAAGGGCGTGGTCCTAACGTTTCCTCACTACGCATCGTTGAGGAACACCAGCTGGCTGCTATTCATCCTGCAGCGCCCTGATGATCTCCATACGAGGGAGTGGCGTAAAGTTTTGACTCTAGGCCAAGAGACTCCCGGCACGCCAATCTTCAGTCAAGTCGATCCTAACAAAGTGTACATCGTGGGCGAGTTCTTGAGCGATTTCGTCCTGGTGGGAAGAAGTTTTGCCGGTTCAGACGCCAAGAACCTAAAACTTGCCTTATTCATCTACGAAATGGACGAGAACTATCATCGCCTGAAACTGCACGTCTTCAACGATACGCCTCACTGTTTGAACGAGTGCTTCAATCTAGAACGGAGATTGGGCAGTAAGCTTCTGTGCGAACCGAAGCCCTTCTATTTCCAGGAAAGCGGCTCAGATCTGTGCGTTAGTATTAGAAATGTAGGCACCGGCTGGAGGGTTCAAACCTCGGGGAATCACCAGGAACTGTCCCATCACGATCTCTGGAATATGACTCTAAAATCGCATAGCTGCGTTTTTATACTCCAGCAAACGGATTCAATAAACTGCTTGGAATTAAGCATGTCAATATACCAGAAGCAGAAACAATTGAATTCGGTCAATTTCAATTTGAAAACGAACGATATCAATTCGAATTGTAAGAGATATAGTTATTCCAGCGCCGATACGATGAACGTTATCGAGAATCCGTTTAATTACGCTTCGCTCACTAGAAACGACTGCAGTTACGATTTCATATTCAAAAACACATTTAGATCGAATTACAGCGTTGACAATAATTACAGGATCAATGTTTTAACTAAATCGGATAGGATTATATTGTGTAAGCTGTTAGATCCTCAGACGTCTAAAGGAAACGATTGGAGGTTGTTGGCTGAAAAATTAAAAATGTCATATTTTTATTATTATTTTTCGAATACGTGCTCGCCGACTGAGAATGTTTTGAATCTGTGGTTGTGCAGGAATAACGATGGTGGTATGTTGGTCGATCTTTCTCGTATATTCAGGGAGATGGGACGAATCGACTGTGCTACAGTTGTCGAGCGTAGATGCTTCTCGAATTAACGTTTTTCTTTTGTAAGCCCTCATTTTGTTTATTGTCGGAGGTAAAACAGTTCGTTGCATTAAGAGTTTATTAGGCTTCAGAGACTTCAACGTAAGATGTAAAGTCGAAGTCACAATTGCGTATGAAAACGGCTTTAGTACTCTTCAAATTGGAACGCATGAAATAAGTAGCATACCTTTTTGTACGAGGCTCACAATGTGCCTATTCGTTAGTAGATTAGTTAGAATATCAATAGCAGATTTTAATAAGCAAAGTCTTCTTGGACAGTGTCAATTGCGATGTAATTGTTAACAATTAATAATTAATTAAAATGTTAAATGACACAGGCAGATTAATAAATAAAAAAATAGCTAAATACAGAAAGAAGTAAAGTAGTTTTTTTGAATGTCTTGAATTTTACCTCAGAATCCATAGTGTGATAAATAAGGGATAAAGTTAGCCATTATAGTGTTTTTTGGTGCAATGACATTCCGAAAATGACTTTATATTTCATGTATCTTTCTATTTGCAATAGGAGCGGTTCACGAAACAGAAGTGTTTCGTTTCCCTCCTCCGTGCTTCGTATTCCTCAGTGCGGAGGGTCGTGACCTTTACGGAGCACTTTTGTTAGGACTATGTTCCTCCATTCACTCCTGTCCTCCGCGCATTGGATAGCGACATTGATGCTGGATTCCAAAGTCGTCTTAAGCAGATCGGACCAGCGCATGGGACTACGCCCCCTAGGCTTCTTTCCTTCCATTTTGCCGGTGATGAGAAGTTTTTCGAGATTGTCGCCTTTTTTCCTCGCAACGTGGCCGAAAAACTCTAAAATCCTACTTAAGCAATTGGTGGAGAGTCTTGAGGAGACGCCTAGTTCTTTCAGGATTGATGCGTTTGCGTTTCGTTTAGAAAATAAATAATGTTAACGTAAAAGTATTCTTGTGTCTTAATATCGAGAGTTTCATTTTCAACTGTTTGAAACACGAAAGATTTATGTTTTCTAATACTAGGAACACAATTGATTGATTAAAAAAATGTGGCATAATATTATTTACTAGCTTTCTACCGACGGCATTGCCCGTGTGGACTTCACCTACAATTAAGATTCACTTACAATTGTTTATTTGTTTTTTGGTGTACAATAAAGAATACTCTCTCTCTCTCTAAGATTCGCTCAACGCTAGATATGTAAGCGTACAAAACGATTATTTGATATTACACTATTTCACCTACTAGGTCCAATGTATTAACAAATTATAAACTTTCTCACTTATAGCTATTTCGATTAGTGAAAACAGTATCAAAATCGCTTGCGTTGTTGCAAAAGTAAGGAGAGTAAAACAAAGGCAGATAGCGACTTTTTTAAACTATCTAAAAACGTAATTGTGCGGTTTTTGATCGAGAAAACATGTTAGTTCCGTTACTACTACGTACCATTATTAATAATTATAATTAATTGAGTATAATATATAACAAAATGTACAATGTAACGTGGTGTTGAATATTTTATATTATTATTATAATAGTGTTTGTGAACATTTAACTAAAGAGTATGTTTGTAAAACATTATGAAATGTAAATAACGAACCAAATAGATTTTATGTAATATTTAATGTACTATTAAATTGATTGTAGCGATTTAAAAAAAAAAACATTTAAAAATTAAATGAGAATTTTGATTCATGCGTTTTATTCGTTGCATGTTAGTGTTATTTATTAAAAAAACACAAGCATATTCTGTTATGCGGGATTTGTACATGGCGAGATCGTCATGTGTTTACTATATGTTTAAAAAAAATACTACAGAACTAATTTTAAGGAGTCATGACTCAGGATGGGTGGTGACATTTACGTGGTTAATATTTATGAGGTCCCTTTTTTTCCCTACCTATGCTGATAGCCTTGAGAGGTTATATCAGCTTCGCCCTAACGTGTAGGTGAGCTCACGGGGCTCAAACCGGAGCGGTGCTAACTCTAGCCCTAGCCAGAGCAGTGCTTCGCAGAATCTACCACCGGATCGGAAACGCGACCCACTGAGAAGATCCGGCGAGAAACTCAGTGGGCTGTGTCTGTGGGATGAGCTCCCACAGACACAGCCCACTTAACACCAAGGTCGACGTGATCGTGACCCCTCACCCGTGTGAGAACTTATGTCTCAGGATGGGTGGCATTTACTTTGCCAGGATGTCAACAGGCTCCAGTAACCACTTAATAACAGGTGGACCGCGAGCTAGCTAACCCGTGTAAGCAATAAACAAGAAAATTATTCCGTCAGATAAAAAAAAAATTGTCTACACACTCCCACACACACACTATGATGAAGTTTCCAACAATACGATGAAGCACATTTCGCACCACGCAAAAGCACCATAAAAAATCCCGCGGGCGAGTACCAATTTTTCTAATGAAATACGTACTCAACAAATGTTCACGATTGACTTCCACGGTGAAGGAATAACATCGTGTAATAAAAACCAAACCCGCAAAATTGTAATTTGCGTAATCACTGGTGGTAGGACCTCTTGTGAGGCCGCACGGGTAGGTACCACCACCCCGCCTATTTCCGCCGTGAAGCAGCAATGCGTTTCGGTTCGAAGGGTGGCGTAGCCGTTGTAACTATACTGAGACCTTAGAACTTATATCTCGAGGTGGGTGGCGCATTTACGTTGTAGATGTCTATGGACTCCAGTAACCACTTAACACCAGGTGGGCTGTGAGCTCGTCCATCCATCTAAGCAAAATATATATATATATACGTAGTCATATATTTGCACTAAAAATATTACGTGCTTTATTCTGTGACCCCCCGTTAGGTTATACTGTTGTGTTAAGAGTGACCGAAACACATTCACCTGTATCCCGAATCGCTAATCCGTCAAAAAGATAATACCGCCGACCGCCAATCAATTCTGCACCTTATAGTACAATAGTAAGGAATACTGTTCACCTGACAAACGAGGACAAGAGCTCCCGATACTATTGTAGGCCATCAGTATTTTTAGGCGACTAGCCGTACTCGCCCGCTTTACTGGGCATTTAAATTTAACATTATTATTTATTGTCATTATTATTAGGGAGTCCAACACTCATATAAATATTAGCCTATCCATTAAGTACACGTATTTTCTACATGGATACCAAGTTTCAAGTCAATCGGATGCACGGTTCAGTAGTTATAACGGAACATCTGTAAAAACCACTGTAGATTTATATACTACTAGCGACCCGCCCTCGCTTCGCTTCGGAAACATTAAAACACACATGAAACCAAAAAAAAAAATAAAAAAAAATAACAAAAGTAGCATATGTTCATCAGGAACAATGTCGGCTTCTAATGGAAAAAGAAAAAAAAATTTCAAATCGGTCCAGTAGTTTCGGAGCCTATTCGAAACAAACAAACAAACAAATCTTTCCTCTTTATAATATTATTAGTATTAGTATTAGTATAGAAGTATAGATTACTAACCGACCCGACAGACTTCGTAGTGCCTCAATCGATAAACAAAAGACCTAAAATTTTGTAATAAATAAACTTAAAACAAGCAAAAGGAATCCGTCCGACGGGGGACACATCAAAGGAAAAACAAAATTGTTATTTTTATTTAATTCCGAGCGTTTTCATATTTATTTACCTTTTAAACCTTTTCTGGACTTCCACAAATAATTCAAGACCAAAATTAGCCAAATCGGTCCAGCCGTTCTCGAGTATTAGCTAGACTAACGAACAGCAATTCATTTTTATGTATATAGATAGTATAGATAAAACAAAACTTTTCATGTCTACAAACTCCGATCAACAACAGTCCGGTCGCCGTCCTCGTCGAACCCGTCGCTTGCGACGAAGGGCTCGACGAGCGAATTAACCCATAGACACAGCCCACTGATTTTCTCACCGGATCTTCTCAGTGGGTCGCGTTTCCGATCCGGTGGTAGATTCTGCGAAGCACTGCTCTTGCTAGGGTCAGTGTTAGCATCAGTCCGGTTTGAGCCCCGTGAGCTCGCCTACTAGTTAAGGTTACGCTGAAATAGCCTCTCAAGGCTACCATGTAGGAAATTTAAACAACAGTCGGACATGCGTCGCTCTACGGAAAGCATCCGAAGGTCTTCCCTATGTAGTTGTTCCATAGAGACGCACTAACCATTGATATTAAACCAAGAACTAACGTATCAAATCTAATATTCAATTAGTGATGGAACCTGTAAATAATTTGATTCGTTCCACGGTCGGTCGTATAGCGTTTCTCGTTCCCTGACCCAAATACTAGGTATTCAAGTATTAAAGTTAGAGTCGTGTGGAGCGAGGGAAGCGATTGCATTGCTTAATAATTGAGACCGCGTTCCGACACTGTTCTTCGTTTTCGGCTTGGTCCGAAGTATAAGAGATAGCGGTACATTTAAATCTCATTTTCTACATGACATGTCATATCATATCATACAACATCATAAAAAAGCCAAATTAATCTTTGTCTACCTGTGCAAACCAGCTGCGAACAAACAGACAGAAAAAGTATATTAAAAAGTTTTTTTTTAGTGCTTAAATGGGTGGACGAGCTCACAGCCCACCTGCTGTTAAGTGGTTACTGGAGCCCATAGACATCTACAACGTAAATGCGCCATCCACCTTGAGATATAAGTTCTAAGGTCTCAGTATAGTTACAACGGCTACCCCACCCTTCGAACCGAAACGCATTACTGCTACACGGCGGAAATAGGCGGGGTGGTGGTACCTACCCGTGCGGACTCCCAAGAGGTCCTACCACCAGTGAATATAAAAAAAGTGCTTATGTTCTAAATTCTTTGATTATCCCCTTATATTTTGTTAATTATTCCTCAATAGACAAATACATGGGGTTCTACTGGTTTTATTATATATCTTATGTTTGTGCATATGTTTGTCCATTAATTAGGTGTTATTAGGACTTAGGTTAGCAATAATTTGAATTTAGGTTTACCTAAGTCGAAATCAACCAATATCTACATCTACATGTTTTTGGTTAGTGTTTGTTTGTTTGCTCTGGAAAAAATGGAGGCAATTCTTCCTTATGTTATTCCTTCATTATGGTAGGTAAGTATTTGTCAAGGAGTCAATCTCTAGGAGTTGCAACAGTTCTTTATCTTTGAACACAAAGACCTTTTTCGGAAAGAGACCCCTTTTAACAATAAAGCTTCATTGTAGAGATTTTTTGTAATACATAATTTTAGTGTTTTATCCTCTAAGTATGTATTAGCATGTAGCTTAAAAACATTTAAAATATGATACGAATTGTTTTCCATCGCTTCAGCTTGTGTCTTGAACTCATGGCCATTCCTCCAGTTCCCATTTCCGTTAAAGAAAAACCCTTCATAAAGATGAAGGTGTTATTCTGTTTCTGGTTTATTGCCCAAAATAAATGAACCAGTAACCCAAGCCCGGGTGGAACTGAATGCACAATAATTGCTCTTACTGTGCTTTGTCGAAATTACAGTTGTCGAAATGATTTTGTGAAAATAATGTAGAGTTTCTTACATTAAGTACCACAAAAACCTTTAAGGATCTTTGCTACCTTATAAATTGGCCTATAGGTCTTTTATAAAACAATATAAAAATACAATCTTGAACAATATTAAACAGTATATTGACATCTGCTAAACTACAACACGGATTTTTTTATTTTTTTTACTTCTTAGATGGGTGGACGAG